GAGTACGCGACGCCCTGGGCGTGGTTGCCGGCGGAGCAGCAGACGACGCCGCGCCAGCTCTCGGCCGGGTCGAGATGGGCCATCTTGTTGTAGGCGCCGCGCAGCTTGAAGCTGAAGACGGGCTGCAGGTCCTCGCGCTTGAGCATGACATTGCACTCGCACCGGTTGCTCAGGTTGATGGCCTTTTCGAGCGGCGTGATCTTGCAGGCCTCGTAGACTCGGGAGGTTGCGCTGGCAATCATGCGCAGGTACTGTCTCCGTGGAGTGGATGCGTCAGTCATCTTGGACTTGGATCGTGGAGGAACAGGGACAGGGACAGGGACAGGGACACAGCGTCCGCAAGGCTGCCGGTACTCACGTCGGGGTGTCCATCTGGAAGCTGCAGGTCTTGCGGCACCAGCGCCGCGCCGTCGTCTATCGTCTCTGGCGGTGGTGACGGATTCGCGCTGTATTCTGTCAGGGCCATGTTGTGCTTCAAGGCCGACGAATTCGAGGGCCGGCGAGTGCCGTGACCAACGTCGCCGTTGGGCATTAACGACGTGCCATTGACGCCCGGCATTGTGAGAATGGTAGTAAAAATGATATCGAAAACAATGCAACCGCTTGTGCCGTTCTTTTAAGGCTTGATTTTGTCAATTGATGGTGTTGTAGAGGTGGATGGAGGAGAGAGCAAGTGCAGCAGGCAAACTGCTATCGCAAGTTGAGGGATGGTTAAGGTATGGATGATAAGTAGCCTCCGATAAATCGGACCCCTCCGCGAGTTTTTTCTCTGGAGAAAAGCTCTGAAGGTGGCGTCAGTTGCATGTGCTAGCGACCGCCCTGATGGAATGAGAGGCAAACACTATTCTTTGCTCCGGATATCGTGCCCTTTTTAAAGGCGATTAAGCAGTTGAATTGAGCTGGATTGACAGAGTATCAAGTAAGACTGCAGATGAAGTCGCAATAAGCCAAGACATACAATGTCCTGATAGGGCTCACTTCGATGCATGTCTGTGAAGAAGCTGCAGCGCCCACTGAGTCAATAAGACACTGAAGGCGCATCGATATCGGAGCCAGCCCACTTCCCCCATGTTCCCCCGCCGGTATCGATATCAACACTCGTCCAGCTGTTATCGCGACAATTTATGTTAGTACTTTAATCAAACTTAGTCCTCTTCTCTTTTGGGAGGTCAGAAACGAAACATTCATTTACTCATTCCAATGGTATCTACAACAGAAAAAGACCCTCTCAATCATATAACCCCAATATATATTCCCACGTCATCCACGTTCAAGCCACAACTCATCACACCGTTACACGATGCAAGGGGAATGGGAGCTGAACCACCATCACGCTCTGCATCATCACATATCATCTCCTCGACTTGTCCGACCTGCGAACCGCCTGCTCATACGTCGGTAGCGTCTCCGAGGAGCTCTCCGGACGGTTGCGACTCTGACGAAGACCTTCATCTCGCTCTGAGACCCCTTCCCTTTGTGGCCCGTTATACCCATCCCGACCTCTTGAGCGCTCGCCATAGCCCACGTAAGGGACACCACCACCATGACCAGGCTGATGATGCATACTGGTAGTAGTATTATTCCCACCCGAAAGCCCTGCTGAACCGGAAGCCCCCCGCGAGCCGCTCATCAAGGACAGCAGCATGTCGTTGTTTCTGGCCCTTCGCTCCGCCTTGCGCGCCTGCTTCTCCATTCGACGCTCTGCGCGGCGGCTGCCGCTGCCCATCGTTTGGGGAGGGTAGGCGGCGTAGGGAGAGGACGTGGAGCTGCAGCCGTTGTGATGATGCTCATTGTTGTTGCGATACGGGTCGCTGCGGCTGCTGTTGTAGTTGAGGTTCTGTTGCCGGTCGTGGTCGTTGCTGCCCATGGCGCGGGCGGCCGCTGCGACGAGGCCAAGGACCAGGGCCATTGTTGAGATGGTTTGATGGTAGGATTAGAGCGTGGAGTGATGAATGGACTGACGAGACAGCCAATAGGTTTTATGGTATGATGTGGAGGATTATGAGAAGAGTGTTACAGAGTCTCGGACTAATTCGACTTGGTGCTGAATCAGACAGGTGAGGTTTGTGAGGTATGTTATGAGGAACAAGAACGATGAAGCAAAGAGTGATGCAGCGATTCTTATACAAGCTGTAATGCTATGCTAACCATGCCAAATTCCAAATACCAGCAAACGCAAACCACGGCAATGACTCTTCATACATACACACGTACACGTAGTATATTGAAATCCCCCCCTTCGCACCGCCTCCTCCTGCGAGGCCAGCTAACACGTCTGAGCCTCGTTCGCCTGCCCACGTCACACGGCCTCGAAACTCCCAAATCCTAAAATCCTCCCATCTCGAATCGGTCTGCTCGATTTGGCCTAGCGCAAGTGCCGCCCCCGGCTCTGAGCCTCCGCCATTTCAATTCGGGTCGCCGCGATTCGCCCCATTTCAAATGAGCCCAAAGATCTGCCCAGGGAGAAAGATGTGGGATTCGATGATGCCTTGATGTCTGGATGCCGACATTGTGCACCGCGTGGACACGCGGTCGATCTAGGGGATTGAAGCCTAAACGAGACTCAAAAGACTGTGACGTCCATATGAAGCATATCTCAGGCACGGTGCACCTCGACGCCACAGCCACAATCAATATCACAAGTCACAACCACCGTCATGATGAGACTGACTGCGAAATATCCCAATATGCGCGAAGCACGGCAAGCCCTCCCACCTGCGTTTCCACCGTCCGCCCTCTCCCCCGATCATTAGCATCTCTCGGCCATGGCCTCTTCCTCCCAGCATGTGATTCCCCCATCGACTCCATCATATCCATGTCCGTGTAATCCAGCTGCGGTGCAACAACCTGCTTGTCTAACCCTCTTTTCCGAGATCCGGGCAGCCATCTCGACTCCCGACCCCAGATGTCGTCTTGGGGAGTCCCCCGATTGCGATAGTCGGTGGTATTCGCAGCATTGTGGTCGATTCCGTCGCTCTGCGGAAACACGTAGGTGTGATTGCCAACAAGTCCTGCACCCCACCACATGCCAAATCGTCCTCGTTCGTCTCGAGACGTCAAGGCTGCCAGAGCATTGTGCTTGATCCAGCCGAGATACGCCTGGCAGGCTGATCTGTGAGCTGCGTGGATAGAGTTGAAGCTGTTCATGTTGAAGGACTCGTGCTTCTTGAAGCCGTGCCCATCGAGGGGCCGACAAAATTCGTCCAGGTGGTGAAAGTAGATGCCCTTGAACGTCTGGCTGTCCTGCGAGCATGTGCCGCTTGCATCACACTCGTCTTCTAGAATGCCGCTCCGCCCAAGGCCTCTCCATCTAGGCAGCTTTGGGGGCCTTGCCACCGCGTCGATTGGCTGGGTCGCCTCTAGGTCCCAGCCAGTGGCTTTGATGACCGCCTGGATGAGATCATGGCCGTCCGCTAGATAGGAGGGACTCCCGGTTACTTCCCATAGCCCTCGTTGGCCGGTGAGCAAGACGCCCTGGTTGTAAGTGTACACCATCTCGTCGCGGACATCGCACTCAGTGTTACCGTGCCTCCGTCGATCAATGTGGAAGCCATCGACAAACAGGCCTGCGTCGTTGGTCATGTTGCTATTGACAAGCCATTTGTAGCCCTCGATGGCAGCCTGAAGATGCACCGGATCCCTGCCGACCGTGCTCGCGTCGGCGAAGTGCTGGTACATGGAAATGGAAGCGGAGATGTACAGCTCGTTTGTGATGGCGTTCTTGTAGGGCTCCAGACGCGGGTTCCAGACCATGCCTCCGTGACACAAGTCCGTGTCCCATCCCTGAGCCCCGAGAAGCCAGAAGCTTTTGGCCCGGCCTTGGAACGAAGGGATCCAGAACTGGCCTCGCCAAGGCAGTGTTGCCAAAGCGGCATGGATATCGGCAGGGAAACTGGCGTTGGCATTGCGTTCGGCTTCGGGGAAATGGAGGCTGCCATGCAATCGCGCGAAATTCATGGCCTCTATCCAGCCAAGCACCACCCATAATATGTCATCAAAGGCCTAGATGAAAAGTCTCTCTAAGCCAAGTATATATATATATAGCCGCGGAGGCGGGTGCAGGGACGTAAGGGGACATACCTCCTCTCTTATTGCCATGATATCCTGCTCGTAATGATAGGCAATGATATGATCGTACACGGACGAGATGAGATTCTCATGTGCCGCTCGAATACTCGGGGTGATGCCCGGGACGACCAAATTCAGCGACTTAGTGAGGGTTGACAACATGCCGGAAACAACAGTCTGGGTAACGGCAGCTGTCCAGTCTATCGCCGACGGCCAAGTGCTTTTTCCGATCTGATAGTATTCATTCTGTAATACGGCGAGGGCTGAGTAGGCATGTTGCAGGATTTCACTGCTGGCATTATCGACAGCATAGGTCCTTGTCGGGACGTGGAGAAAGGCTCTTTGTGGCTGGTGGCAGTCGGCAACGCCGCGGGCTATCACAGAGCATTTTTCGTGTTCGTATAAGCCAGGAGCGCCGACCACGACAAGCAAGAAAGGAAGAATAACGAGCGTCGTTGTGGCGAGGGCGGATCTCATGATTGAGTTGACGGAGTGTAATAGGCCATAGAAAGTGAGGTTGGCTAGAGGTAATGTACGAAACTTGTTCGGTTTCTAGGTGTTCGGTTTCTAGGTGTTCGGTTTCTAGGTGTTCGGTTTCTAGGTGTTCGGTTTCTAGGTGTTCGGTTTCTAGGTGGTGTTGTATCAAAGAGCTGAAGGTTATAGGTATGTTCGATATCAATGTGATCCGAATATAGGTGAATGTGTGAGGGGGCAGTTAGGAAGCGAGCCGATGTAACAAGAGGGGAAGCAAGTTGGTATAATGAGATGATCGATGAGGCTACGAAATAGCACATATTAGTACAGACAGAATTATATGGACAGGAACGACTGCTATTCAAACGGAGGTGGGCAGCGAGGCTGGATCAATCAACAACACTGAGAGGGTTACATGTAGAGTCGAAGAGGACGTACCCTGTATTTGCTGCAGGTTATGCCGTATAGCTCGTAGTCATCACAAATGAGAGTCTTCTTTGTGTGATTGAGAGGGTTAATAGATCAGTTAAGAGATACAGCTGACCCAAGAAGTCGTCTTCCGAATCGATGCATACTATCGCTTGTTAATGAGAAGAATAGCCATCTTCGGGCCGGATCGAGGAGGCCGATGTTTGCGGCATGAGGGGTCAGAAGGTAATAGTAGGCCATACTTGGTTGGCTGGGTATTTGATGGATGACTACAGGCAGTCATTACTGGGTAAAAGCATGCACTAAAGCTTATTCTGTCATGGAAGGCCATGAAATCATCTAACGGTGAGGTGAAAGAGCTCGAATGGATCTTGATTCATCGCCTGCAAAGACGAAAATTGTCGTCTTCAAGACTTGAGCCTCTGCCAGTGTGCGGAAACAGCATGAAGGTCTGGTTGCATTTGTACACTAATTCACCACTGCGTGTGGCTGATATTGATGCGCCTGCCTCGACAACACCGGGCTCTATAGAGTCATTGTATTCACAATAATAGAGTAAGCAGGACAGGACACAAGCCGTCTCAAGGCATCAACCCTAAGTCAATGGAGAATCAGCTTTGAGCTCATTCGGTACCTTGAGTATACAAGCTCAATGTCTTGGTTGATCAAGAGGCACACGGAGCTAGAGGGTGCATGAGCTGGTCTGGGCTTTGCAGGGATCGAGACGGTGACACTGCGTCATTTTCAAGCTCTTTTCCCTCTTTAGTCGTCCTATATCTTTAGGCTACATAGACTTGTTACAGATGCTCTCTTTGTACAACATTGGATAGAACGACATCTTTCGCCTCCCAGTGAAACCCGCGAACAAGGCACTGCGTCTCATTCGCCGTCGCGGTCGTTGTCAGGGGAGCAGTCACTTCCAATACAAACATCACGTACTAACAGCGCTGCACATCCGCGCGCACGCAGGTACTTGCAGGTACTTGCAGGTACTTGCAGGGAACTCGCATGCGCTGAACCCGCCGCGTCTCTGCTCAATTCGATTGGGCGGAGCGCACCCAAGGCGAAACCCCGCAGTGCCCCATCCGGCCTAGTCTTTGTTTACTTTCGCACCCTCCCCCAAAACAAGTCCCCTTGGGAAGTAAAAAGGATCATGACTGTCAATTTCGGCTTCCTCTTCCAGCCCTGGCCTCTTTTTTCCCACCTTTCTTTTTGCACCGCCAAAAACCTGCAAATCCCACCGCAGCAGCAGCCTCATCCCGCATCACGCCTGGCGGCTTCATTGAGATACCCGACCGCTGCACCTTCCGCCGCATTGCCAGCGCCTGCCGCCAGCGCATCCGCCCGCCTGGCGCAAATCCGCCTTGCAGCCGCAGAAAGCGCACATAATAAACCGACGCGACGCGCAGCTTACCGCCATTCATTCACCAGCCCCCGAAATAGCCATCGTCGACTCTTGCAGCTCCGGCATCGCGTGCACCAGCGCGTGGCAGAGCGATGGAGTCTGACGCAGTTACCAGATATCGTTCGCGCATTCTTAGGGAAATGAAGGCCAACCGCGAGAATCCCTTCAACTCCCCGCCCTCGTCCACCGGCCGCGCGAGCCCTACCCTGTCCTCCGTCTTCTCCGATCCCGAGGGCGAGTCCACGCGCAGGCTGCAGGAGGACATTGCCCGCGTCGCCGCCCCCCGGAAGCTGCCCATCAACTGGGACGCCGCCCGCCGCAAGTGGCCTGAGTTCTACTCCCAGCCCAAGCAGCAGACCCGGCCCCTCTTCGACGACCACACGGACACGACGCCCCTGGCCGAGATCCCGCATCTCAACACGGACAGGAAGCCTGCGCCGCCGGCAACAAAGTACATCGACGACACCACCGAGGACGCGTGGAACGGCTCTAAGAGGACCCGCGCCGAGATGCAGCCACGCGTCGAAAACGACCCGGATCTCTCACAAATCGCCTCTCGCCCGCCTGTCATCAGAGGCCTCTCTACGTATGGCCTCAACTACGCGGCCCCCCACAACCCGAGCCCCCTATCGAAGATCCTCAACCAGTCTTCTCCCAGAGAAGAGGCTGCCGAAAAGCAGCGACAGATGTCGGTCGAGGAAGCGTTGGACAAGATTCGCAGGGCGTCATCCAACCCCCGCGAGGATGACCGGCGAGTCTCCTCCCACAACCAGAGCTCTCCTAACATGTCCTCTGCCAAATCCAGCTTGACGGCGGTGCCTTCTTCGCCGCTGATTGCCAGCCCAGAACGTGACACGCCGAATGCCCACCGCTCACTGTTGATGCCGGATATTTCGCATCTTGACGACTTCCTCACCGGCACTCTGAAGTTTGACGGACAGGTGAAAAACGGGGTGCCGGTTCTTGTCAAGCACGGCCAGGTACACGACCAAAAGGTGCAGCCCTTTGGCGTGCGGTACGCCGAGGTGGACGGGATCAAGCTTCCCGAAGAGGAGGAGAAGATCTTCGTGTCTATTGATATGATCCGTGACGAGATCCTTTCTCTTCGAGAGCAGCACCAGAAGCTGCAAGAGTACTCTGCCACTCTGGAGAACGAGGTACAAAGGCACAAGTCTCGCAGGAACACAGACGGAGGCCTCAACGTGTTCAATGCAAATGCGAATGAGCAGCTACTGGCAAAGAAGAATGGTAATTATTCCCCGGTCTCCTCTCCATTCGCAATGACCGCCCTTGCTCATCTAGACCCATGCAGAACTGGAAGCCGAAGTGGCATCTCTTCAGAGGCGACTCGACCAGGCGGCACGCCGTATCAGTACTGGTCATCAGGAGAACGACACCTTGACCCAAGAGCGTGACCGCGTCATTAACCGCCTGCAGGAAGCTTGTGAAGACATCAGCAAGCTGACGCGGAAGCTTAACACTACGGAGAAGCAGCTCGAAAACACTCACAAGCAGCTTGGATCGACCGAACAGATCCGCCAGGACAATGATGCTCTACGGCGGGATGTTACGGCGCTGAAGCAGGACAATGAGGCGCTTCGAGAAGAGGTCGAGACGCTGCGGCGCGAGCTACAGCACTTCCGTCAAGAAGCCCAATCGCTGCGAACTGACGGCAAGGGCCTTCGACAGGACCAGCAGACCCTTGCCAGCGAGAACAGGACGTTGCGAACCAACAACAAGACTCTGATGGACGAGAACGAGGACCTGCAGGACAATCTGGATGGAATTCAACACGAACTCGACGCCGCTCGCGAGGAGAACGAGGCGCTCCGGCGAGAACTCCAATCATTGAAGCAAAAACAGGCGACGCTGCGCGAAGACAATGCAAACCTGGTTCGGCAAAACGAGAAATATTTCAGCGAGAACAAGATTCTTCGCCGTGAGAACGCTGGCTTTGAGCACAGCGTTCATGATCTGCATGATCGAAACCTCAAGCTGAAGGAAGAGATTGAGGCTTTGAAAAGGCAGCTGGATCACTACCGCCCGGCTGGCAAGAGCGAACCCACGCGCCAGGATGGCGAGACGGAGGAAAACATGACATCTGCTTTCTTTGTGCCCGACATCACGCTCAAGTCCAACGACGACGCCACCGACACCAAGGACATGCCCGATACAGATGATCTCGCGACAGGTGCTCACGAATCCGGACGTCGAGAGAGCAGGACTACGCAGAAGCGTGAGGCTACCGGTGAGAAGGCTGATGGACGGCACCGATCTAGAAGCAGTGTCAGGTCATCACCCTCTAAGAACAGCGGCACCGCACAGAAGGTTGCCTTTGCCCTTCCCGACAAGGCGGCCGACAAGTCGACGCAAGGATCCAAGTCTACGGTGGCCAACCAAGGCAGCAAGCGTCGCAGCCGGCTCTCAGTTCCAGAGATGGACCCCTATGGTGACGAAGATACGACCGGCCTGCTGTCCATGGATAACATCTCCCAGGATCTCGCCATATCCCTCAACTTGGATCATAAGGACGCCACCATGGGCAAAGAGGCGAAACAGGCCCGTAGCAGCAGCGGTGCGAAGTCGGCGCCCAAGATTGTGCACATTGAGTCCAAGTCACAGCCGTCCAAGAAGACGGTCTTCGTCGGCGAGACGGGTGTGCGAACCGTTAGAATCGGCGAGAGAGATGTGTGCCCTGCGCTGTCGAATAACGCTCGACGAATCCTGGACGACCTCTGCGGACACAACTGCCAGAACTGCACCGTGTGCAGCCGCATCACGGCTCACTCGGGCGTCATCTCCTCCACCGACGTGGCCGCCGGCAAGAAGCGCGTGTCGATACCGCGACCGGTTCCTGTCAGCGATCGCGGAGCGTCGGGAGGTGACCACACTGTTCGACCGGCGCACTCCCCCGGCTATGCCCTGGCTCTCGTGATCAAGGGCCTGGAAGACGAGTCGCAGCACATCCAGCTGGAACTGACTCGCCTGCAGGCTCGGTACAATAAGAGCGACAAGTCTATGGGTCGTCGGGAGAGGCAGGCCCTGTCCGACGCGATCCACCAGCTGCTGAAGCGCGTCGAGGCCAAGAACGACCAGATCTACAGCTTGTACGATGTGCTCGAGGGGCAGAAGGCTGCCGGCCAGGAGATGACGGACGAGCAGGTGGAGATGACGGTCCTGAACATTACGGGCATGACTGTGCGAGACGTTACGAGCGCGAGTGACTTGACATGGGAAGGGCTTGTGGAAGCTTGAGCCGTTTCATGGTGGTTGCTCCAAAGTGAGTGATCTGATACGGGAAGGGCTCGCAGAAGCTTGAGCCGTCTCTGGGGGTTTACTCCTTTTCTCTAAAGTCATCGGCAGAGATGTGGATTTGGAGAGTAGAACTGGCATTTTGGTTTGTTTGCTTTAGGGACACCCGCCATTGAATGCAATGGGCACTGGCACTGGCACTGGCACTGGCATTGGGATCAAGGACCACGGGGGCGTTTAACAGGCTTGATCAAGGTCTCTTATGACTCTTTTCTTTGCTCTTTTTCTTTTTGGTAGCTTTTTTTCCTTTTCACACATTGTCATTGGCATCGTGTATGGACGGCGTTTTGGGGGAAATGGATCCATGGAACGCAAAAGTCGTTCTGTTTGTGTATGATTAATTGACTCGAGCTGTCAGGCTGATTGATGCTCTTTTCTTCTTCCCTTTTGTACATTTCATAGCGAGTATGAGGAAATGGCTACGTGTTCGATGGGAGAGAGAATCGACATGTATACGAATTGAGCAATGCGACGTGAGGTAAAGACAATGGAATGTGTGATGCGCAACATGAAATAGGAGGTTCTAATGCATTCATCAACCCCAGTTGTTCTCTACAAAAGACAGCTACTTAGACCCCCTTTTTCTTTTCAAAACAAGACAACCAAAACTCCATATTATCTGACATCAACCGGGCTATATACAAGCTATCTTTCTACTCGTCGTCCTCATCCCGATCTTCATCATCGTCATCACCCTCCGCCAAATCAACATCATCCCCACTGTCCTCTTCTTCATCATCCTCACCATCCCCCTTCTGCTCATCCTCCTTCCTCTTCTTCTCATCCTCCTTCCTCGCCTCGGCAAGCACCTTTGCGCGCTCCGCCCTCGCCGCCGCCTGCGCCACGACGTACGCGCCCAGCGGCGTCTTGGCCGCGTCAAGGTCCTTGAGGAAGGCGTCCACCTGGCTGCGGTGCTTGGGCGCAAAGTCCACCCTCGCGCGCTTCTCCTCGATGAACTTGGCGTTGGCCTCGAGCTTCTGCACCAGCACGGAGAACTGCGAGACGAGCTTGGCGTTCTTGTTGCCGCTCGCCTTGTTGCTGACCTGCTTCAGCCAGCGCTTGAGCTGGATGATGACGGGGAGGGCGAGCTCGGGGAAGGAGATGGACTTGGACCAGATGAACAGGAAGCCGCTCATCAGCTCGGCCACCTCGTCGCCGATGCCGTCCTGGTAGACGCGCGTGCGGAGATAGGACTTGGGCGCTCTGTAGGAGACGGCAAAGTCCAGGGGCTTGAGCGTTGACGCCTTGGGGGGCTTCTTCATCTCGGCCGAGTTGAGCACCTCGAGCAGGGGCGAGGCCAGCGGGATGTAGACGTCGGCGGCCTGCGACAGCACCAGCAGCGAGCGGACGAGGTGGAAGCGGAGGGGGAAGTAGAGGGATGTCGGGATGAGGCGCATGGCGCCGAGGGTGACCTGCACGAGGGGGTAGATGAGCGGTCTCAGCTGGCTCTCCTTGCCGGCCTCGGCCTCCTTCAGGGGCGTGCAGTGCTCGGCGAGGACGCGGGCCCAGAAGTCGAGCGAGTGGGTGAACTGCCAGTTGTAGACCATGCGGAACGAGTTGTTCTTGTTGTTGACGATGCTGTTGCGGAGGTGGATGGCGAGCTGGCGGATAAAGGTAAAGGCCGTGGTGTAGCCAACGGCCGGGTCGATGCCCCAGAGCCCGGCGGCGGAGAACTTCATCATGTCGATGCCCGGCAGCGTGTTGTGGTTGGTGACGCGGCAGCCCTGGACGAGGCCCTGGTAGACGGCCTTGAGGACCGTTTCCCGGATGCCCTTGTCGCTGATGATGACGAGCCGGCGAATGACTCGGAAGGCGGTCACGCGGGACGAGTGGGAGCCGGCGGCTTGGGCCCACAGGTTGACCATGGACTTGGCCAGAGCCTTGATGAGCTTCTTGAAGGAGAGCAGGTACGGCAGAATCTCGACAATGGCCAGGAGCGTGACCGTAATTGTGCCATCGTCGGAGAGCGTGCTGAGGAGGTGCATGATGGACGAGATGTAAGACTTGAGCAGCAGCGACAGCGTCTTGAACTTCTTTCCCTCCGTCTGCACATAGACTTTGCCCGCCGCGGACTCCTTCACAGGCAAGTGGTGGTTCATAACCAGCGGCACCTCCTTGAGAGCAAGCAGCAGAATGTCGTTGAAGACCTCGGGGCTGTTGATGGACCATCGCTGGTCGGCCTGGCCTTCCTCGTCGGCCTCGTTCAGGTGGGCAGCGCATCGGAACGCGAGCACCACTTGTCTGGTGGCCCGTAGAGACTTGGTCTCCGTCATTGCCTTCCTCCAAGCTGCAACCTGGCTGCGGGTCAGCTCGTTGGTTTGCGCCGCCTCCTCATCCGCCTTGTTGCCCTTCTTCCTCTTCTTCTTTGGCAGCTCCTCGTCCGAGTCTTCCTCGCCGGCACTGAGCTCGTCCACCTCTGCGAGGTCTGCGTTCTCGTCGAAATCCAGCGCTTCGGGGTCGTTCTCTTTCAGGAACTTGTAGAACTCGGGGTCCTTCTCGGCGAGGCCCTTCATGGCTTCTTTGCTCATGCCAGGCCCCGCAGCATCGTCGTCGTCGTCGTCGTCGCCGCTATCATCCTCGCTGTCGCTCGCAACAGGGGCGCCGCTAATGGAAACCTCAGAGTCGCTGCCCTCGCTCGCCTCGTCCTCCGCCTCCTTGGCGTCGCCTCGCTTCCGCTTGCCCAGCTTGCCAGCCTTGGCCTTGTTATTGTCGATGATGTCCTCGAAGCCGCCCTGGAAGAAATCGTCGACGCTCATCTCGGTGACCTTCTTGACCTTGCCAGCAGGCTTCTTGACAGCGGCAGCATCGTTGCCCTCTTTTGAGCCCTTTATGAATTCCGAGTCTTGCGCTCGCTTCGCCTTTTGCTTCTCTCTGATCTGCAGCTTCTGCTTGAGCTTTGCGCCCGCCTTTCTCTTGTCCAGGACATCCTTCAGGTGCTTCTTTTCGAACTTCTTGGTCGCCTTCAGATTCTTTTTTGAGGACCCCATTGTAGAAGATTGTGTTTGCAGCCGTCGTGACGAGGCTGCGATGTGGGAATGAGGAAGGAAAAAAGAAGGACGGGAAAAAAAAAAGAAAAAGAAAAATAGATGCCGATCTGGAGATGGGAAGCGTCGCGCCTCGACGGTACCAATTGCACTTTCCAAAAATTTTCGGCCGTCGCCCACTATCGATAACAGCAGCTCCACTGACTTTTGGGCGGTCAAGGAATTCTGCCGGCTGGTCCCTGGGCCATCCATCTCTTAGCGCCCTGGAGCTGCTGGAGTCGGCGCCGTACAGCGGCTCCAGTGCTGCATCAACCGCTATCCTGCAAGCGGATGGCCTGTAGAGTGTCGTCACCACCAACCTCACGTAGCTTTACATCTCAACCTCCCGATTCTCTCCTTCTCCCGATGCCTCGCCTCATGCCACCATCATGAATACGCGTCAGAGCTACGCACCCACTCCCCACAGCTACGTCCCCAACACGAACCTGTCAGCGACCATCAACCTCGATGAAGTAGGTAAAAAGCCAGTCAAGTCCCCTCTAAACCCCTCCCCCGCTTCCCCAGCACAAGTTGTGCATGGTGATGGCTTCATACGGCCAGGACAAGGCATAGCTGACGAAAACTGCAAAAACAGGAGGTGACACTCACCACCACCCGCGCCGAGCGCGACCTCCAGGACTCCCTGGGCGAGCTCTTCAGCATCATCGTCACGCTGGACCAGCTGGAAAAGGCCTTCCTCAAGGATGCCATCCCCGAGGCCGAGTACACGGACATTTGCGAGCGCTCGCTGAGGCAGTACAAGGCGCTGCTGGCGGACGAGACGATTGCCGCCGAGTTCCGGGACCTGGAGGACTTTAAGGCCAAGTGGGAGGTACTACCCCCCCTCTTCCTCAATTCGAAGCCGAAGAAGAAATAGAAGAAGAAGAAGCATCCCCCAGCTAACACAGCCCCAAATCACAAACAGCTCGACGTCCCCCGCGCAACCGAGCGTCTCCGCGTCGGCATGCCCTCCACAACCGTCACCGCATCCTCCTCAGCGCCCTCCTCGTCGACCCCAGGCGGCGGCGGCGGCGGCGGCGGCAGCGCCGCGAACAACCCCAGCGGCGTGCTCATCCTCGAGGCGACGCAGGAGTTCATCACCTTCCTCGACGCCGTCAAGCTCGGCCTGCTGTCCAAGGACCAGCTGCACCCGCTGCTGTCGGACGTGATCCAGTCCGTCAACCGCGTCACCGACAAGGACTTTGACAACAGGGGCAAGATCGTGCAGTGGCTCATCACCCTCAACCAGATGAAGGCGTCGGACGAGCTGAGCGAGCAGCAGGCGAGGGAGCTGGAGCTGGATATCCAGCAGGCGTACCAGGGGTTCAGGCGGACGCTGACGTGATGGGGAGATTGTATGATGTGTGTTTTGCAGCCGTCTATATGTTTCTAGGGAACCCAACTCATGCCATGATAATGCGAATGATGATAGAAATGATATGCCAATGCCCGTGAGAACCATCACACCAGAAACGTCCAGAAGCTCGGATAGACAAACTCCTCCTCGAATATCCTCCTCACCTGCTCTAGCACAAACCTCTCCACCTTGCCGACATTCTTGAGGCTCTGCCGCCCGCTCTCCCGCTCCCCAATCTCGCTCTCGACCTTGATCTCCTGCAGCAGCCCGCCGAATCTCCCAGCGGGCTGCTTCTTCCCAGCCGACGACGACGCCTGCAAGTCTCCTCCTCCTGCTGTCGTCGTCGATGCCTCCTCCTCCTTCGCCGCCTCCGGCCCAACCGCAGCAAGCGCGTCATCCGGATTCAAGAAGCAAAAGTGCACCCTCTTGCGTATATGCGCCAGCACGCCCACCCCGTCAAACGTCAGCCCCGTGATGTTGAGCTTGAGCGGGATCCCGACGAAGCTCGGCATCGGGTAGTCGAGCAGGATCTCAGCCGTCAGGTTCAGCCGCACGTCGCCCGAGTAGCGGATCCGGAACACGGCCTGGACGTCCTCGACGCGGGGCTCGCGCCTCCTCTCGTTGTCCGCGCCGTTGTCGTCGTCGTCGTCGCCGTCCTCGTCATCGTCAACGGCCGAGCTGCTCGCCGGGCCGTGGCTCGTAGACGGCCTCGACGGCGGGCCCAGCGTGCTCGACACGTCCGACTTGGCCATGCTGTGCCGCTGCTGGCCCAGCTGCTGCCCCGACGCCGCGTCCTGCCCCGCCCCCAGCACCGCCTGCAGGTTGTCGATCGAGCTCAGCGACGCCTCCCGGCTGTGGTAGCTCGGCAGTTGGTCCGCCGTCGACGTCGACGACCCGACCCCCATCCACCCCGTCGCCGCCCCGAGATGCGCTCCCGCCACCGCCGCCAGCGGCGTCTGCGTGCCCGTCGCCAGGTGCGCCTGGAAGTAGCCGCTCCGCCCCTGCCCACCGACGCCCAGGATCCCCGGCGTCGACGTCCCCAGGAACGCCCGCCCGAGGTCGTGCCCGCTGAGGTTCATGCCCGCGCTCGTGTTGACCGTGTGCATGTTGGGCGTGCTGGCGTTCATGTGCGAGCCCAGTCCCAACCCCAGGCCTCCCATGTTCATGCTCAGCTCCCGCAGGCCATTCTCCCTCCTCCTCGCCTCCATCATCGCCGCCGTCAGCCGTTCCTTTTCCCTGTCCTTTTCCCGCTCCCTCTCCGCCAGGCTCTTCTCATCCCCGCCGCTCCCCCCAGCTTCGTCATCCTCGTCCTTGTCGCCCTCGTCGTCGTCGTCATCATCATCCTGCTCGTAGAAGTCCGGTAGAGGGTCCGTAATGTCCTTCAGTTCCAGCTCCGGAGGAATCGTCCCAAAGTCGAACCCGTGCACGTTGACCGACCGGATGAAGCGCGGCAGCTGCACCGTCTGGAACTTGCTGTGGATGAAGGTCCGGATGCTCTCGGCCAGCGCCTCGCCGTCCGGGCCCGTCGTCAGCGTCTCCCAGTTGAGGTCAATCGACATTAGGGTAAACTGCTGTTTGGCAACTGCAATGAGTGGTTTAATGCTGCCCAGCAGCTTTGGTCATGATATCATGGAGAGATGAAAAGGCGTGGAGCAAAGGATGAAGAAGCCTCAAGAAGTGGAAGTCGTAGAGTGAGCATCATTGATGAGTGAGTCGAGTGGGGTCCTTTAGTGTGAGTTTTTGGTAGGTGGTGAGAGGGCTGGGACTGTTGACATTCGTACAGGAAACTCACCAGAGCAAGATGCCAGCTGACCTGGATTACCTACGAGGAGATGATAGAAATAGAAAAGGCTTTAAATGATTGTTCTCGTCTAACTAATATAGCTGGGAGTGAACCGCCTGCATTTTCGTCTTCTAAAACAGCATAAAACTCCGTCTTACAACATTTAGGGTATCTCGGCGCTGCCTCGTTGATATTACCCCTACTCCGACCACGATACGAAAAGTACGCGTCGACAGCTCTGTAATGGATTTCGTAAAACAAATGAGACAATCATAGATATCTGGTACCAATACACCAACAACGCCGTGCGAAAGAATCTGCCAAAGCGCTGTTTCTCACTCGGCCCACTACTGAGCGTGAGGTTTCTCCTGTCGATTATCAAGCCTCTGCATCATCAAACCGTGCCCGACCATAATACATGTTGATCTGAGGCTTATTAAACAGATGCCAACAGTTTGGAGCTTGCAAGATGTATCTGCAGTATGATTAGCCACCAGTACCACAAGCAACGCATACATGGTAACAAAGAGACAAAGCAAAACCTTACCTTGCCATGGCCTCCCTGAATCGAGACTTGTATTCCTTCGGACTGGTCACGGTCGGCCTATTCCGGCCACCGCCTGCAAAGCCCCGGTCCTTGATCCAGCTTTCGAGCTTCTTGTCCCACGTGTACGTTCTGATGCAATCGATGATGCCCACCACCAGCTCCTTTCTCTTCTCATCAACTGCAATCATCAACGAGTAGTCCATCACGTTTTGGCGCGCCAGGAACAGCGTGTCGTTCCAAACGGACGCCCTCAGCAGCTTCTTGGAATGTTCTCGCGCAAATAGGGGAGATTCGTAAATGTACTCCACCATGTTCTCGTCCAAGAGGACTTCGTTTTGTTCGCCCGTCGACTGAATCTTGCGGTTGCGCATCGACCCCTTCAAGTCAAAGATTCTCGTTGGAGATCGGTCGTAAAACAGGTTCTCCGTAACGAGCAGGTCCAGCTTGATATCCGTGCCCGTCACCGGATTCTTGATGACGACTTGGAAGAATCCCATCATCTTTGCAATCACCGACGGCAAGTCGTGGAAGAGTGCCTCAGCCATGATGCTAAAGTATCCTGGAGCAAACCGCAAGAATGCAGACGTCTCGACTGTGGAAAGGGACTGTAAAGGGACAATCTGTTAGCACAACACAATTCTCATCGAGCGCCCCCCCCCCCGTGGTCTCCTTACCTTTAAGACGAGCCGATCATCCAGCGTCTTCAAGAAGACAGACTTTGTTTTACCGCCCTTTGAATCCCATTGCAGGCACCGCGACAATGATTCCACGATGCGCTCGGCAACACCACATTTTCGTCGAAGCGCATCAAATTGCTCCGCGTAGAAAATCTTACAAGTCATAACCGCGGCGCCTTCCTTGAACTGATACTTGAGGTGCGTGCCGGTGGCTCGGAGTAAGCTCTTCTCCAGCTCACTCTCGTCAGTGGCCCATTCTGCGCTGTCTGATGCCGGCGCCGATTTGGGACCAGCGTCCATGTCACCATCAATATCACGCTCAGCATCTCCATCATGACTGCCATCCACATTGCCGTCCACCTTGCCGTCCACCTTGCCATCCGGCACACCGTCTGCTTCACGGAGCATCGTCTGGTGGGCATCTCGGCGAATGTTGGCCAGCTTCTCCTTGTAATCGTCGCTGTTGAGGGCCAACGCAATAACGGAGCTAGGCTCATCCTCACGAACAATGATGTCCGAGTCCACAAAGATGTGATCTGTGGCATTGACAGGGTACTCGAGCGCAGGCCACCCGCTGGCTGAGCGTTCAGCCCAAAAGTTGGCCAAGTACTTCATCAGACTCATCTTTTGGTGCTTGGGAAGCTCCAGTGGGACTTCAGCATTGGAATCGGCCATTTCTTTGATGTCGGGCATATACTCATCAGTTACCGAGGGTTCGGCGTCACTACCACCGCCCTCGTCGTCAGAAATGCCCTGACTCGTATTCACGTTGGTGGTGTCTTCGTCCCATCGGGGCTGGCCATCCAAAGGTACAGCAGGCTCGCCAGGGGTTGGCGGTGCAGTCTGCACCTCTAGCTTGGCTGATCCTTCCGACTTGCCCCCTGGAAGGGACGAGGCCGCATCCTGCAATTCAATGTCTTGCTCCGTGTTTGGCTCGCTTGTCAGGGCTGGTTCGTCAAATGCCTCGTTGACGTTGTCGTACACTTGAACGATTGCTTGCGTGGACGTCTTGGGGAGCATGGGACGAGGGTTTCGCATGCTGGCCGCGCGCTTCTTACGGTCTCGAATGCGCTCCTTCTCAAACTCTCTGCTGAACTCCCTGCTGAGCTGTTCGAAATGTTTCGCCAGTGTGGTCACCTTTGATTCCCTCTTCTTCGCGACAAGACGTGGAATACTTGATCCGGCCATTTTCCCTCGGTTCTTCAACACGTTCAAGCCGAGTCGCTCGGAGAGTTTCTTCTCTGACTTGATGGAGCCCCCCTCTGACTGCTGCTCTGGCTCGGGAGACTTTGGTACAACGTCAGAGGGACCGGTCGATTTGCCGAGAGACTGCAGCCTAGACAGCGTCCGCGATGGCTGTGAAATAGTTCTCGTAATCGGAGGCGATGTGCTGGTAGTAGCAGATTTCCGTCGGGCGCCTTGTTCGGAGACCTGCCTGTGTGTTTCCACATCGGCCGGCCGCTCGCTGGACTCCTGCGACGGCCTCGGTTGCATAGATTTGTCACGCCGACTGGCCTCGACCTTTTCGCTGAGCGACTGCCCAGAGATGGACGAGTTCGTGGGGCTTCTAGCCATCCTGCCGGGTGATGCAGGTGTTTGTGCTGTTGGCGCTGCCTCAGCCGGTGTCGTTATGACCACAGGTTTGACACCATCACCGTCGGTTGTAGCTTGGGAATCAGGAATCGCGGCAGGTGCTGTCTTGGCCGACTCCAACGGCTTGATAGGCTCAGTCTTATCCTCGGTAGACGGGGCCGGGCCGTTGCCGTCCATGTCGGGCTTCTCTTCAGCCGGCTTCGCAGAGGCGACACTGGCCTCCATACTGCCGTCGGCGGGGTCCGTCGACTGCGTCGGCTTCTCCTCCGTTTCAGAAAAGGTCTGGGATGGACGTTCCTCGCTGTCTCCCGCAGATCCAGTTCCCTCCGTGGACACAAGCGATTCCTTGGACTCGTTGTCGGTGAACATCTTCTTGAGCTGTAGCATTGTAAGCTGCCGCATATCTTTGTCTCCCAAAAAATCGGCCTCGAACGTGGCAAAGATTTGGTCCCATTCGCTAGCTGTCTCCAACATTTCTCGAACGATAATGTTGAACGGAACGACCTCGTAGTACTTGGAATTCACGTATATCTCCTGTAGGCGCTGTACCATGAGGACCTGATCCTCTTTGGCCTTCTGCATCAGCCGTTCCAGCTCAGACTTGCAAGACTCGGCCTTCTCGGGGAGAACACTGTCGATCCTGATGCTCTCGAGCCGAGCTATCACAGTTGCCATGAACTTCGCCCAGCGCTCATCCATCTTGGCGTAAATGTCATTTTTGAGCTTCAAGTCGTTGCTCACTTTCCAGGTGAGTCGAGCTCGAGGGACAATGATCTCGAGAAGATCGATGGGATCCCAGTGAATACGAACACGAGAATCATGTAGACTAAAGTAGCGAACGTGGTCCTTTTGATGGTCGTGAGGGCATTCCATGGCATCCTTCATCCGCAAGCCGCGACCCCAGTAAAGGAGCTCCAGATACTTCCCAAACGAGTATTTGTAAGTAGTCTCAGACATTGCTATCTCCTCTGAGTCCTTCTGGCAGATCTTGCAATAAGTCCACATGACTATTCCATCGCCCAGTTCTGGTGACCTCGGCGGAGCGTTCGGCAGATGCTCTACGAACACGGTGATTCGGAACTGGTCGTGGACAAAAGTACGATGATGCTGGGACATTTTGCGATCGCACCCGTTGGAGTCGCAAATCTCGTCCTTGCTGTTTATCAGATACTCGATATATTGGCCGAGGGTGCAGTCCGGATCCATACTAGTGTCCTCGCGCTGCTCATCGTAGAAATTGATGCCGACTAAGCTGGGCTCCGTGCAGGGAATCTTTGTTTCAGTGCAGATGACGGAGTATAGTATGATGATGTTTTGGTGAGAGTAAGGATCAAACAAGTCCAGATTGCCCTGGATATACGTCTCCCACTGGCGAGTTTGCGTCTGGTAGTTGTAAAGCGCCTTGTCGTACTCGGCGTCATGTACGGCGTGGAGGATTTCCATGATCTGACGAGGCGCCCTCCGACCCAGCTCTTCGACCATCTCGGGCTTGATAAGCTGGAACTCTGGAGGTTCGTTCTTCTCCAGATTCTCTTCAATCATGTCCTGGTCTCTGAGGCGTTTGAGATACAGGAGGCGTCTTTCTTGCTCGCGAGCTTTCATGAGAAGATACGGCTGAGGGAACCGTACATATGGCGATGCCGAGAGAATCTTGGTTTCATACTTGGCCACCATGTCGCTGTAGAATGTCGGCATCGGGACATCATCTGGGACCTGGCTGAATGTAGAGTCGTGGGCATGAGCATCGTGCAACGAGAGCAGCTTGGGGGGTTCAGAAGGCACTTGTTCCACCGGAGGCTGCGATTGAGCTTCATCGGTGCCCCCGAAGCTCGAGCTTTCCATTGTAGTCTGTGTGGGCGCTTCGCTCTCACTCGAGGGTTGGTTGACCACAACAATTGGGCCATTTCTGCCGCCGCCGCCGCCGCCGGTCGTATGGCCAGCCGAGCTCAGCGACCGGATACTATCGTTCAATGCTTGGAAGGAATTGGACATTGAAGCGGCTTCGTTGGCATCAGGCGGCTCCACGGATTCGTCCCGTAAAAGACTCGACTCAAGTTTGAGGTTGTACACGACGTAGACCATGAAGTCGGTGATGTACTTCATCTTGGCGAGAAGAGCGTCGCTGGCTCCTCGAAGAGTAATGGTGCAGCCGAGCTCGGGTCTGCACCCAGAAAGGAAGATGTAAGACTTCTTTCGGCCTGGATAGTCATTGTTCACAAACGTGCGGACTTCAAAGGCACTGCATCTCCCGACCTGAGCTTCCAACATGTCAAGGGACTCGATGATTTTGGTCTCTGTGCAGCGGGCGACGGCGGCAATGACTGACCGCTTGACATTGAAGGCCACCGAAATGTTGGCCTCGGAGAGATACTGCAAGGCCAAGCCAGAGATGGCCTTCTCGGCGAGCAGAACCTGAGGCTTAAGGGCTGCGATCCTCTGGACCACAATTCTCAGAAACTCTTTCTCCTGTGCAATGACCGGCTCCAAGCTCATAAATTGCTGCTGGTGTCTCTGGTACTCAATCGGGAATCCGACAAGCAAGATCCTCGGGTTTGCGATTTTGCGTGGCATGCTCTTTAGCGCAAGATTCTTGGTGAAGACTATGCCGGAGATGTAGGATGTATCGCCGGGCTTGCCTCCCGGGATTCTCTTGAGCTTCACATAGGTTCGGATGTCCATGGATTCGCCGTTTGCGACGTCGGGTGATACATCGTCGGTGGCTTGTAGAAGGATAGGAACGAGCGCTTTCTGCCAGGCCGCAGGGTTGGGAATATTGTCGTCAGTTAGGAGCTGGTAGAGGAGCTTGTCGACATGCTTCAAGCTGGATTCGTTGAGCTTGGTTTTGGCAGCCTTGAGCTTCTGCAGAGAGTGGCTCCTAACCAATTGAGTGCCGCTATGGTTTGGGTGAAGCGAGCTATCTCCGGGGAACAACATCTCAGAAGACGCCGACGGCCCCTTGTAAACGGATTTGGGGCGTGGGGATCCAAAGTGATGAACGCTACCGCTGACGCTGAGATTGCGGCGTCGCGTTGTCCTACGATGGCTGGAGAAACCAGGTGCCAGCTCATCGAGTCCGAACCCGCTTCGGCTGAAGTGGCTCATTCCACTGATGCTCTTCTCGCCTCCTCTATGGCGGTGGTGGGGTTTTCTGGATGTGTTCACGAGCGCTGAGAGATTCGACTTGTCCGGCTCGTAGGAGGTGGGAGACACCTCGGTTGGCGAGTTGAGAGTCTCAAAGATACTGCCAATCTGCTGCTCATCATCACCGCTTGAGTCATCCGACATGAAGTCCGCCAACTCCGGATCAATGATGTTGTCGTCGTGGAAAGCAGGGAACTTTGTTCGTTTTGCATATTCTTCCTGAATGCCTCTCCTGAAGGGAGCTTGGTCAGGCTTAATCCTCCCGAGCAACCCATGCTTTGAATGGTGCCTCTTATGGCCGGCCGATGATTGCGGCCGAACCGAGGAGAGGGACCTCAGAGAGCGTGACGAACTCGGCCGACTCAGCTGCGGGGCGCCAATTTCCAGGACAGAGGAGGTGTTGTTCGATTCTTTGAGTCGACGGGTTGCGGGTATCGTCATCATCGGAGTCGTGACTGGCCTCGAAGACCCCGAACCCTCAAATATCTCCTGCTCTCTGGAGTGCTGCGCAAAGGACAGGGTCGCCCTCCTGGGGTCTTCTGCGCCGAATATCCTTGGTAGATAAGACTGCTCATCTCCAGAGTCCTCAGAGGCACTGGCGTCGAAGCGCCGAGTGATGACGTCCAGACAGCGCTTACACACCCTGAGAGTGCCGGGAAGGCCAAATCTGTCGCCTGGAATGACCACGGTACACTTGGAGTCAAAGATGAAGCCGCACGTCCGGCAGTGATGCTTCCTCCGGAACGCCGTGAACTGAGCTTGACAAAGAAAACATTCTTTTACTGTCTCGTCCTTCATCCAAAACTCCTTGCTTAATATCTGCCTGCGCATTCTGTCTAGCTGGGCATTCATCTGATCGGTCGCTCCCTGGTGGCTCGCCGTGGTGCCTGGGATGCGGACGTCACCGGTGCGCAAATGCTGAGGGTTGGACTCTTGAGAAAAAGAATTATGATGCACTATGTTGTGAGCAGATGTGCTAATGGGACTGGCCTCAGCCGTTCCGCGATCCACTGACGAGTCCCTCGAGGCCGGATATCTCAGGCGATTTGCATGGCTGATACGATCAATAATAGCCGGCTTCCGCCGGACATCATCGACGGGGGAGAGCAGAGACGACGCCGCAGAGGGACTTCGCGAGTGGAGAGTCTGCAACGGCGACAGAGGTGTCTTTCCCTTGACCGGGCTCAACGGGGCCTCGACGCCTCCCCCATCCATGCTGGATATGCTCTCGTCTTCTGGCGACCTTGACGGAATGCTGCCATCTGGAGAATCGACGGGAGGAAGTCGCGTTTGAAAATCGGCTCTGCTAGTGCTTCTTCGTCGCGAACCCTGGGTCCCGCTGTCTTCAGTGTGGACAGAACTACGGCTTGGCTCACGTTTTCTCGCCGAGGTGATGGTGGGATCAGCAGTCACATCGCTTGTGGCGTTTGTCGGGAGGCTCTGCCGACCAGATGGATGAGATTTAGAGCCGCCAATCAAGCTGATGCTTCCAGACTTGGCCGTGGAGGGCATCTGCGGCCGGCCGTCCGCAGGGCCGGGCGTTGTGGGAGAGACTGCATCTGGCTGCACATGCTGAGACGATGCGGTGGATGCAGTCGCCGCGGTCTCTGTGCGGCTCAGAGAAGATGTGGACGGCTTCGACCTGTGCCCCTCGCCACTCGCTGAGGACTTTCGGGCCAGGTTTTCTAGCTTGTCGGCATCGTCTTCCCGCTGAGCAGCCTTGGACGAGCTGCCGCCGCCAACCGCGACTCGAAGTCGGCTGTAGAGCCCACTGAGGCCTTGCTGCACCGTTCCCCGGCTCTCCGTGTCCTGGGGGACAACCGGAGGAGGGTTGAACTCGTTGAAAAGGGTCAGCGAATCGGTTCGGCTGGCCGTGGTATGTATCTGGTCGAGGGCTTGCGCCAGCTGCTCCTTTTCGAGACCGGAGCTTACAGAAACAGAATTGATGGAGTCACGACGGTCTCGCGAGCGGGTAGGAGAGATGAGGGAGCCGGAGAAGGAGGAGCCGTCGAGGGGTTTCGAGGTGGTGAGGTGGCTCGCCATGGTCGAGTATCACGGGCAAGACGGAGAATTATCTGCGAGTCGGCCGCACCAGATTGTGTTTTGAATCAGACACTTTCGCTATGCGTGTTGTGTAGAGACACAGGCATGGACCTGGGAAGGGAGAGAGGCATGTAGATACGAGCAGGTAAGGTATGAGCAGGTGCTTGGTATGGAAACACCGGCCCGCCGCTCAGACGACTATTTCCAAGCGAAGGCGCATCCGGAGTGTCGCTAGCATGGTGGTGTAGGAAGGATGGCGAGGAGAAGCCGTCGACAGCTCGCAGGCAGCGTTCCAGAAGGCCTGAGGCGAAAGCGTTGAGCCTGCTGCGTCAACACCTGAAGCCAAGCTCCTGCGATGCAGCCGCGGGGAGCTTTTTGTGCGCTGCCGCTGCCCCTACGTCAGTCCGGCATGCAACTCGGACACGCAAGTACTCTGCGTGCTATCGGGGGCGCTGTAGGTACATACACGCAGGACCAGGACCTGGATCTGCTGGCTGTATGCGTAGGTATGTAGGGGTTGTGTAGGCTGCAGGCGGGACTATGCGAGACAGCGAGCAGAGAAGGCTGGAGATGCGGGTGGAAATGCAGGCAGAAGCTCGTCTGCGAGGGGCTCACGAATGTCGTCAATGATTGGGAGGCAACGAGGCACCGCCCGATCTGGCAGATGCCTGACGAGGAGCTGGAGCTAGTGCTGCGCGCGGCCTAGGCGGGAGACGATGGTAGGACAAAGAAGCAATAGGATGACGGGAATCAGCGCTGGTGATGGCAGACGATGGAGACTGGCTGGAGCAAAGATGATGGGATAATGCCTGATAGTGTCACTGCTGGAGCTCGCATCGTCCTCGTGCACCCGCCGCGATAATCAGAACCGAACCGAACGCTGCAAGCGCAGGGCTCGTACCTGGGTACTTGGGCCCGTGCAGGCCAACGGCGGCGGTGGCAGCGGCGTTGCGGTCTGGACCGCTGGTCACTGGGTACATTGATGTGCTTGCGATGCGCCGGCCGTGCGCTGGAACCGCCCGCACATCCCCCGGCCGTTAGCGCTCTCGTGCGCTGTATCTCGCCAATCCCAGCACCCTGCAAGCCTGTGGCCTCCCCACCTCCGGAACGACGCGATCTCGAATCCTCAACTCCAAAAAAATTCCTGGACCGCGTTTTGCGAACGTCCCGCTCGCTTGCATGGTGCCTGTCATCCGAGTCATGGGATCGAGAGCCCTTCCAGCGCGCAACAAACTCGCCGCGTTTGCCTGACGGAACTTGCGACTGTCGAGCATCGGCTGGCGGTCACTCGGCACTTGATACCGACAAACTTCTTTGTTACTGCCGGCGCCAATGTGCCCCCCGAGCCGCATCATATGAAGCCTGACAAGCCGCCGCCACGTCCAGCATCCATGTCTCTCGCAACGTCCCCCGCCCACGATGTCGCCAAGCTGATGGGCCGCCGGAGCATCAGCACCATCCCCAAGGACCAGAAGTCGCTGCTGGAGCGAAAGGACTCGTGGGCCGTTGACCAAGATGGGCGGCAGGGCCTGGCGACGGTGCCGAAGCAGGTTCTGCAGACGCTGAAAGAGGCCTTTATCCGCCTCCAGGGCGAGACGGAGAAGGAGGACCCTGAAGAAGAACGAGAGGAAGAAGAAGAGGAGGAGGAGGAGGATGACGAAGAAGAAAGCGCCGAACTGCCTCGTCCTTCTGCTGCCAACGACCGCGGCAGGCAGAACGGACATGTCCCCGGCTCAACGGCCGTGAGGCCAAGCAGTCCGCCGCCATCGTCGCCGGAAGTCCCCATATCGTCCTGGCCGGCGTCTCCGGATCGATCGAGAGGCCGCGTGCAAGATGCAATGTCCGATGTCGATTCGCCCGACGAGACGCCCGCAAGCCCCGCGCATATGGCTGTTTCCGAGGTTCTCAGCCAGCCGCTCTTCCATGCCACGCCGAACCCGTCGGCTCTCAGCGAGCCCGAGGATCTCGAGATGGAGCTCCCGCAAGCTCAGGAGACTCGCGAGGCGCCAATCAATCGCGTGGCCACCGTGATCCGCCAGGCAGTGGCGTCTCAGGAGCCCGCGAGCTTAGTGACAAGCCTGCCGAGCACCACGGATACGCCCCCATGCGCGCAGCCGCAGGCCGCTACTTCGTCGGGAACTCCAAAGTCGTCTGTGGTGCCAGCTGATCCCGCTCACGGCCGGTCGCGACGCATGAAACCGATCGCCTTTAGCGAGGACAACAGCCCGAGAGCTGCTGAGCCTGCGGCGAACCCGGGCCCCTTCACGCGCAGACCTTCTATGCGGTCATTGCCCGGGCCAAACGTCCAGGACGCATTCTCCTCGAGTTCGGATACTCCAGCCCCCTTTGAGCAGGAGAGAGCGCAGAGGAATTCATCCCCTCCTCCGCCTCCGCCTCCTCCGCACAACTTTACCAGAAACGCTACCTCGCAGCACAGAACGTATGGCCAGCTCGACGGCGCCATTAGCCGAGAGATCTCTCCGTCCCGACAAACCCCCATGCACCAGCTGTATCGGATACAGGCGGCAGTCAATGTATCCATCAGTGACCGCGTGGCACCCTATCGCGCTTTCACCGCTACGTATCCCGATTACACCACGGTTCATTCCGGTAACCTGCTTAGCTTTATCCAGGCCTGTGTCTATCTGCGGATGCTCCAGGAGGAACGGCGAATGCGCGAGTACCTGTACGACGACTTCATCCGTGCCTGGTCAAGCGGCTTTCTACCATATGTGCGGAACGCCGGCCCTGGCCAGGAGCCATTGCCTGCGCTCGAATGGTTCAACATGCTTAAAGGCCCCATTCTCTTCAACCGCATGTGTGTGAATGCAGGCAACATCGACCTGGTACTGAACGCATATCCTGAGGAAGCGTCAAGGATCAAAGCCATACTCGACAGAAGTCTGCAGCAGCCGGAGGAAAGCCCCGAGTCAGAGCCGGAGCTTCTTCCAGGGATCGAAATGGAGCTGGAGCCGGAGCCGGAGCCGGAGCCGGAGCTGGTCAGGAGGCCTGAGCCTCAGCCTCGGCGGGAGCGGAGACATGAGCCGGAAGTCATAGACATTGCGACCAGCGACGGCGCCATGGACATTACTGCGGACGAGGAGCCGCAAGCCGAGCGGCATCATCCTCGCCCGCCTCCTCCCACGAGAGAAGCGCCATCCCTGCCGGCGCCGTCACGGGCAGCCCCTCCGCCGCCTCCGCGGCCGGCGTCCCCCGAGCTGGGGAGCGACGACTATGCTTTCGACACACCTCCTCTACCGCCCAAGCCGCCGTCGCAAGCAAGGCCGCGGCCGAGGTCACGGTCACGGTCGCGATCGCGGTCACCATCACATCAGCGCTCGCGCGCACGTGAAGCACAGGCTCAACCAAGATCTGTACTACCGCAACCACAGCCGCAGCCACAGCTGCAACAACCACACAGGCAACTCACGCTTCCCCAGCGCCAATCTCCCAAACGTCGCCAAGCCGCCTCCTCCAACCCTCCCATACCTCCTCCCCCCATCCCAGTATCTTTCGCAGCGCCTCCTCCTCCTCCCCCATCGTCATCAGCAACAGCAACGCCATCCAACAAGCGTCTTCAACGGAAATCTCCCCACCGCCCAGCCGCCGAACAAATCCAACAACAACAGCACGCCATCTCGAGCAGCAGCAGCCGCCCCATCATGCCCAGCTCAACAAGCAGCACCACCACCAGCCGGCCGATTCCGAAGCCGCGCAAGAGATCGGCCGAGGAGCGGGCGCGGCTGAAGGAGCATTTCCGGAGGAAGGCTACGTCGTCGTCGACGAGCCATATCGGGAGCGGGCTTGATTGATGGGGGACTGAACTAACCTAATTTTGTCTCATTGCTTTCATGGTCTCATTGCTTTCATGAAGTGATAAGAATGGGGGTTAAGAACAGAGCAAATGGGTGTTGGGTACTGATAAAGGGTGTGTGTGTGCGGGAGAAAGATTGGGAGCGAACCTGGGTTTGGATTCAAACGATTTGTATAAATGGAATAACTTACTTATGCGAGCGAGCAAATTGGACTGACACATAGTGAATGACAGCAAAACACAATGATGGTTGGATAAAGCAAAGGCAAAATAGCATACCGGGGCGGTTTTTAATGACTACTTACTTACCTTGCTCTGGATGAAAGATCGGGGTGTACAATATCCCACAATGAGTAATGATACCCCCTTCAAGGATGCAATGACAATGGCACTTCAGAATGGGAACAAGGGGAGATAGAGGAGAGACGAATGTTTCCATTTCGTATCTCTCGCCTTTCTCGCATTTTGTGTTGAACTCTGTCTCATGATCTGGTCTAATTCATCCTGCCAAAAGCCTGTCAAACACACAGGTGTCATGTCCGAGAAGAAGCATGACATGATGCATGCATTTCCATTCACAAACACATGAGTATTCATCAAATCAGATCAGATCAAAACCCGACCGACCAAAGAATCATCAATAACAAAGAAACCTCGTCATGAAAAAGTAAAGTAAGATGAAAGAAGATAAGAGAAGAATAGACAAGAGTCTCGTCGAAGAAGCAAAATAAAACAAAGGCTCCTTGAGGAGCACTAGCGAACCATCTAATCCGTCTCATTCCAGAAGGATGAATAATAAAAAATCTTTTGTGTTTGAAAAAAAAAAAAAAAGCAACAGCAACAGCGATACTGCAACACCCATGGTAATTTTCTTTCTGCTTTGTTGGTTTCTGTTTTTTGTGTCATCTCGGCGTGTCAAAAAGCCGAATGATAAGATCCATGGCCACCAACGAAGGGGCCCTTGAGGGGTTTCTGTATTCGTCTTCATGTCCATTTGCTGTCTGGATACCTGGCGTCGAATAATAAAGAAAAAATCGTCGAGAAGGCGGATATGGAGGTTTTCTCATAAAAAAAAAATTGGTAGAAATGTAAATCATGACGTGTCGTGTAAGCATTAAAAATGGAAAGTCGTTGCGTTGATCCAAAGGTAGAGAGAGGATGGATGGTAGGTCCTGTCCGCTTGGGGGCCAGTGCGACATCAGGCTGCAGAGAGGAGAGCTGGAAAAAATGTTGTCGATGCGAGAGAACCGAGTACGAGGCATAGCATAGGAATTCAAAGTCGCGGCCCGCTGCACCTAGGCTTCTGTCGGCTCTGCCTCGCGCTTTGAAACCGGCGAATCCGTCTTGGATTCCGTCTTGGACTCGGCCTTTTCGGCAGCAGCGGCATCGTCGCGCTGCTTCTCCTTGGCGGCAGCCTCAGCCGCCTTCTTCTTCTGCTGGCGCCGCTCCTCCTCGGGCGTCAATGTCCGCAGCTGCAGAGCGTGGATGCCGCCCTCCTGGGCCATCTCGTCGCGCAGCAGGGCGTAGACCATGCGATGCCGCGCGGGCTGCATCTTGGTGGCGAAGACATCGGAGATGATGACGAGGCTGCGAGGAATTGGTCAGAGCGATACGAACAATGCCACCCGATCTGGCGGACGGCAGCCGAAAGAGCCTTACCGGAAGTGCGTCTCCTTGGAGGTGCTGCCGGCCATGGCCTTGTGGTGGGAGTGGAGGTGCGAGTCATTGTAAATCTCCAGCGTCAGCGGGCTGAGAGCCGCAGTAAGCTGTGGATGGGCGGAAAAGATGTCAGCAGCGCGCCCTCACACAGAAAGGTTGATGCATGGATGGATGAATTTGGTAAGATGAGATGATGCAAGAAAACACACCTTTGCGCGGATTGCATCTTCAAGGGGTGTTGCTGAGCCCATTGTGGAAAGTTGACGGCTCACGTTGGAGAAGCCGAGAGCGTATCGCCGGAACATGGTGACGGAGTGAGAAGGAAGAAGAAGAAAAAAAAAAAGTCGAGATGCGTCGTTGTTAGTGGAGCTGGTTGAGGCTCTGCTGGGCGGTCCCTGGTGCGGCAGGCGGAAATCACGAGACTTGGTGTGAAGCTGCGGATGGAGAGGCGGTCGCGGGTGTATGAGCCGGCAGAATCGAGATTTTTTTTTTTTCCAGCGGTGGATGAAAGAAGTGGCTGCTTGGTGGGCAAGACGCAGGACGGCGTGGGTGATTTATGTAGAAGAGATCCAAGGAGGAGAGAGAGTGGAGAGCAAAGTAAAGTAAAGAACAAAGACGGTCCTGAGCCGGGCGGGCAGACTCGAGAGAAAAGAGCAGCAGCAAGGCACTACTTGTATGTTATCGTCTCATGGGCAAACAAGGCGCGAGATTCGGTGAAGTCGGTGAGAAGAAGCAACAAGTGCGGCATGCATGACTCCTCCCAGAGTGGCGGCGATCCAATCAGGGCGCTGGCAGGCCCCGGGAACCATGGAGCGGTGACGAGGGGGGGAAGCGGCGGGTTCCTGGACCTGGACGCTGGGCGTGGTTCCAGCGCTGCATCTTCGCGGGTTGCAAGTGGTTGCACCAGGCCAGGGGGGGAGGAGGAGGAGGAGGAGGAAGAAGAAGCAGAAGAAGAGAAAGGGGGCAACGCAGCAGAAGGATTCATGTTCTGGGCTTTCTCACACGCCCCCCCGAATGGCTGCATGGGGGGTTGACTTGGGTGGTTTTCTGCTTCCTTTTGTCTCGATGTCGTTTGTCTTGTGCTTGATGCTATAATTGGGCCGTGGGCAACAGGAGACATCGGATGGTGCTACTCGGGAGGAGACTAGCAGTGCGCCACCACCACTGACAGACACCAGACTTCTTGACCGTATAAACCAAAGATTGCTGGATGTACAGGAATCTGTCTCGACGGCCCAAGGGAAAGCAAGCCGTGGCCTGCTGGCTGCTGCTTGCGAGCCACGGCTGGAGGCAGGGAGCTGTACGAGGCGGCCGAGTCGTGACAGGAGCCGGCACGAGCAAGCCAATGCCCAAACCCGCCATCATGACGGGCGCTGAGACAAGGCACGATACCGATCACTTGGTGAGCTCCAAACATGAACTGCACAGATCGATAGATACCCAACACTGTTTGATGGATCGCCCGGATCCGCCCACAACAAGCAAAGATGCCCTCTCTGGCGTACTCTCTTCCGGCACAGCACTTGGACGCAGCAACGCAACTGTTCCCGCGTCCCTTCACCTCCTCTTTGCTTTGCCTGTAAGACCATGTATGTATGTTCCTTCAGCCGTCCACAGAGCCAAGGCCGGCCTGTCCCATCGGCAAGGGGGTGGGCGAGCCTCCTGCAGGGCTGGTTGCTTTTTTCTTTTTATTTGCTGCCGGGACCAGGGCCTGGCGTGCCACGCACCACCCACCAGGTCGGGATTTGGGAGACCGCCCTTTTTAGCTCATGCCCACCGTCTCTCTCACATCGATCGAAGCCGCGATGATGTCGCATTGTGCGGGCTCTCGTACTCGTACGAAGCACTTGAATCAGCAGGGCCGGTAATACTTGTGCCCATTGGCAGACGGTGCCTTGGAGTATTAGATACCTGATGACTTGGTACGCACAGATGCAGTGCCACACACATGCAAAGGCCGTCAAAAAGAGAATGGAAGAGGGGGGTAGTTCTGGCGGTGCAACCACGCGAGCGGTGGAGAGAGACTGGGAGGTAATAGGCAAGGTACAAGTAGTAGTACTGGTAGTAGCATGGAAGATTGAACATGGACATGGAGCATGGGAAGAGAGAATGTTGGGGCACCGGAGCAGATGAGCAGGCAATGGAGTGAGAGAAAGAGGGCAACAGATGGAGATTTCTCTCAGGAGTGCTGCGTACAGGCAGGCCTTGTTGCGGACAGGACAGGCATTGGACGCTGCTGTTCATCTCAGGTGCATGATGCGATGTGCTTCAATCTCCCCGGCGTCTATTGGCAGTTGTAGCTGAGATGCCTGGCAAGGGAGTGCCTTGGTAATTCGCCGTCCATCTGCAACTAGAAGAGGCGGATATTAGTCTATTCTGTTGCTGCTCTTCGCCGTCTCCCTTACATGAGGGTATCAACGAAGAAAATGTGACAACTCTTTTTACGTCTCGGCCTCCGAGATTGCTCTTGGTTCGACGTGTATCCATCCCGTCTACAGCAGCTTGTCATCTACCAAGACATCCAATACTCGTCCCAGTCAAGTTGCAACGGCTCCGTGCAACCAGAAAGCCCCGTGTCACCCTCGCCGTGATCCGCAAGGTAGCATCATCCCAAGATCCAGCGATGCACACAAGTCAGTCACTCAGTCAGTCCCCTCCTCTTCTTACTCACTCCCTGAACCCCCTCCGGCCCCCCTGACCGTCTCCAGCCCGCCGGGTCGCCAAAAACCCGCAAAAAAAAGAAAAGAACCACCGCCGAACGGAAACGTGACAGAAGCGACTCACTGACTGACAGCAGATCTTCTGGCAAAAGTCGGGATGCTGGTTGGCCCCATGCTTGCTCACTCCTCTTTCCAGTGACCGCCCTATTGCCTTGCAACACCCCTGTCTGCTACCAAAAAGTGGCGGTCCCCGCTCACACACACTCTCACTCACCTCTTCTCCCGCGTGGGCATGGGGGGGGCCAGCCCAGTCAAGGAGTGCTTCTCTTAGGTGTTCTTTTTCTCTCTTTTTTCGCTCTCCGCCTTTTTGTGACATTTTTATCCCGCCTGTTTGGTTCCGCAGCCCACCGACTTTGGGATCGTTGCGTCCATCCATTGCCTCGGTCCCTGCCAGCCTGGTCCAATCTCCAGCAGCCCATCCCTTCTTCCTATTGTCCATGACCATTGATCAAGTCATCATCGTCCCATCTGCCGTGTCCTTGTGCAACATGACACACACAACGGTCAGGCCTGGCGTGCTCTGGTGTGTGTCCAAGTACCATGGACTATGTATTATCGATGTGCTGCCGTGCAACCCCGTCCTGAAGATCCCATAACGTATCACCTGTGCTTCGATATTGGTCCAACCGTCCGATGTGAACGAAGCCGGATCAATCCTCCCGGCTTTCCATCCATGGATCCAGTCTGTTCTAGCGGCCTGCGCTCACTGAAACAGCGCTGGAACCCGTAGAAGCCGCCGCCAGAAACAGCGCTGGCCTGCCCTTCCCGGCAACGGCGCCCTTGGCCCGACGTTCCGGCGGCTCGTCTAACGCCTGAGCCGACCCGGATCAAGAGGCCGCGGGTGACCTGGTACCTTAGGTAGTCTAGTAGCTGGTGGGTGCCAAAAATTGAAGCCGAACAACTTCCATGAACCATCACCGTCAAACCACCAACAAACATCGACGGCCGGCATCAGCATCGGCATCAGCGCCAAACGCCCAATCAGTCCAGATCAGCACCAGCAACACTGTCCCGATCGTGGGTTCACTCCCGAACGGCTGCTTGACTCGTCACTCGCAGCAGCAGCGAAACAACCGCGACGGCCGGAAACGAGGCCGCATGTCCACCCCCCCTTGTCTCTGGAGTTGCTTCTACTACTACCCCTCTCTGCCCTGTCTGCTCCGTCTGCCTCTCTCTGTCGTGCTGGGTTCACTGGCCGGCCATAGATACTGAGTAGCACGAGTTGTGTCAAGCACTTCTCGCGCTGCTTCGAAGAGCGCCCATCGACAACAGCAGCAGCATCTCCCCAAGGTAGTTCCTTGAAGGCATACAACGGTAACCCCAGGGCCATAATCCAACCTCAATCCTCGTTCAACCGCCCACATCCCACCCTCTCCAGATGATCTTCTCACCAGCCCTGCGCCGCCTCGCCTCGGCCTCCTCCTCCCGCCTTCGCTCGCATGGCCCCTCTTCTCTGCTTCTGCTTCCTTGCCGGCCCTGCGGGGCCCCTCCTCCTTCTGCACCCTCTTCCCACTCCCCCTCGCTCCCTCTCCATCATGCTGCTCTCTCATCCTCCTCCTCCTCCTCCTCGTCTTACTACGCTAGCATGAGGATGGCGTCCACCATGTCTGCAGCTGCCGCCGCCGCCGCCCTGCCTCGCCTGCCCGTCTTCGAAGCCGTGGCCCGGCACGACGCCGCCTCCCTCGCCGTGGTCCACTCGCTGTCTGGCCGCCGCTTCGCCTACGGCCAGCTGCTGGGCGATGTGCGCCGAGCCCGGGGCCGGCTGCTCGAGGCGCGTGGGAGGGGCCACGGCGAGGATCTCGACGGCGAGAGGGTCGCCTTTCTGGTAGAGAATAGCTACGACTACGTAGGTGAGCGATTATCCCAAGGAAACCATGTCCTTCATCAATCGTGTTAATGCACCCTTTCGTATCGTTCCTCGTACACGAGAATAAAACATTCGCTGATATCACATGTCCTCGTCATTCCCACAAAAACAGTCACCTTCCTGGCAATCCTCGCCGCCCGCGCCATAGCCGTGCCGCTCTCCCCAGCCTTCCCCGTCCCCGAGCTGGAGTATGTCGTCAACCACAGCGAGGCCTCGCTCCTCGTCTCGTCGCCCAAGTTCGCCTCCAAGGCCCAGCAGCTCCTGGCCGCGGACCTGACGTCCAAGCCAACCTACGTGGAGATGCCCAAGCACGTCGAAAGCGCAGTCGCAGACGGCGAGCATGTCCCCCTGGAAGACGACCTCAACCCGGGCCAGGCAGGCCTCATGCTCTACACCTCGGGCACGACCAACAAGCCGGTAAGAAACCCCCCCATGCCTCGTAAACTCTTTTCACATATGCTCTCTCTTCATAGTGTGTATTCTAACTTCTTTGGAAAAATCTCCAGAAAGGCGTCCTGCTCCCCCAGTCCGTCCTAACCGCCCAGGCCCGCTCCCTCCATGAAGCATGGGAATACTCTCCCGCAGACCACCTCCTGCACCTCCTCCCCCTGCACCACATCCACGGCGTCGTCAACGCCATCCTCACCCCCCTCATCGCCGGCTCCTCCATCGAATTCATGTTCCCCTTCAACGCGGACGCAGTCTGGCACCGCCTCGCAGCACCCTTCCTCCCCCCATCCTCATCCTCGCCCACCACCAACGGCAACAACAACACATCATCATCATCATCATCATCATCATCCCCTCAAACCACCACAAAAGAGAAAGTCACCTTCTTCACCGCCGTCCCAACAATCTACAGCCGCCTCCTCTCCTCCCACAAATCCCTGCCCCCCGCCGTCCAAGCCGCCTCCAGGGAAGCCGTCTCCCCCCAGAACCTCCGCCTCAACATCTCCGGCTCCGCCGCCCTCCCCACCCCCGTGAAATCCGCCTGGGCCGCCCTCAGCAACGGCAACGTCCTCCTCGAGCGCTACGGCATGACCGAGGTCGGCATGGCCCTCTCCTGCGGCCTCTCCTTCGCCGACCGCGTCGACGCCTCCGTCGGCTGGCCCCTGCCCTCCGTCCAGGCCCGCCTCGCCGACGTCGACTCCGGCGCCGTCATCCCCCCCGGCCACGACGTCGACCCGGCCACCGGCCGCGAGCGCTCCGGCGAGATCCAGCTCCGCGGCCCCACCATCTTCAGGGAGTACTGGCGCAACCCCGAAGCCACGGCCAAGGAGTTCGCCGCCCCGGACCCCGGCGACGACGACCCCCGCCCCTGGTTCAAGACGGGCGACGTCGCCGTCCGCCGCCCCGTCCCCACCGCGGGCCTCAACGCCCTCCGCCAGCCCTGGGCCCACGGCCCGCTCTACTTCATCCAGGGCCGCAAGTCCGCCGACATCATCAAGACGGGCGGCGAAAAGGTCAGCGCCCTCGAGGTCGAGCGCGAGCTCCTCTCCCTCCCGCAGGTCGCCGAGGCCGCCGTCGTCGCCGTCCCCAGCGGCTCCTGGGGCCACAAGGTCGGCGCCGTCGTCGTCCTCGACCCGGCCTCCGTCCCCCAGGGGCAAAAGTGGTCCGCCCTCGACATGCGCCGCGCCCTCAAGCCCAGGCTCGCCAACTACAAGATCCCGCAGGTCCTCAAGGTCGTCGACTCCATCCCGCGCAACGCCATGGGCAAGATCAACAAGAAGCAGCTTGTGAGCGCCGTCTTTGCCGATGAGCACAGTGGCGATGAAGCTGCGTAAACACACTCTTGCTCGCCTCTTCTATATCTCACCCAAGACATTCCCGCTCTCCACTCTCGCTATTGCCTTTCGCTATTGTTGATTGCCATCGTTCTTGTCAACTAGTCGTCAGACACGGAGATGGTAGAGCCGCATAGATAGTGGTAGGTAAACACCACGTCTTTGTACATGGACACGAAAAAAGAAAAGAAGATGAGAATAAAACAAAACCCAGTACCTCTGTCACATGGATTCCTCACGCAGTACACAAGGTGGTAGAAATGTCTTGAATAAGAAAGAGAATAGATGCATAAGAGTAGAAATAGCAGAGCATTCTTGGTCTGAACATCAAACATCTATTTTTGTAAGAGGATTCCTCCCCGTCTCGTCCCCATCCGCCGTACACCCTCGTCTGGCGCGGCTCCTTGACAGGTTTCACAAAGCACAGAAACGAGAGCGCCAGAGCCAACGCCATCGGTAATGTGAAAAGGATGCCATCGTTCCACAGCCATTAGTTGCCCCGAGAAGCCGAGTCCAAGCCTTGCCATGCGAAGCCCCCGGACCAAATCCGACAAAGGAAAATGAGTAAATCATGTCTCTGACCAGCCTCCATTTCAGCATGAAAAGGCCTTGAGCTGGAGAGACCGGGGTATGTGTTATGGATATATGGTTGAGGTAGGTGGGTGTAGCTGATGCGGTCCGTGTTTCGTCCAATCATTGTAGTCTCTCTTCAAACCATTTACACGACATACTTGGCCTTGGCTCGGGTGCTGCCGGCGTGAGCGCTGTCGGTGTGGCCTGAAAACTCAATCTGCTCGTTGGCAGGGAGCTCCAGCGTCTCCTTGAACCTGCGACCAATGTTCATGAGGATCTCCTTGCCCTTCTCGTTGCTTCGGCCCTTGCCGCCAGCAACGTCTCCGTCGCCTCGTCCGGGAATGCTCTTGCCAATGGTGCGAGTCCAGACACCGATACGGTAGAAGCCCTTGCGCACGTTGACAACCACTCCCATGACTTCGCCATCCTCCTCTTCCTCGAGCGTCTCGCCAATAGCGGCCATCATGACTTGGAGCCAGAGGCGGTCGACGTCGACGTTGCGCTTGTCCTTGTACTGGTAGGACCACTTGCCACCATGCTTATTCTGGGGGTCTTCCCACTCAGGACGCACGCCAGCCTTGAACAGATGGTAGTCGGACTTGAGCGCAAGTTCTGAAACAGGAGCAACGTTGTTCTGCGCAATGCAAAAGTCAGCAGGGTGAAAACACACGGCATTGAAGAGTCGGCACTTCTTCGCTGCTGTCATGTGCGCGCATTTCAGTTTGCGAGCGAGGATGGACCTACGTAGACACCCCAAAACTCCTCCACGGAATCAAAAGTAATGACCTCCTTCAACAGGTCGTTCCAGTTATCGCCCTATAAAGCACACACAGAATATTAGCTCCAGTCTCCTCAATCAACGCACTACCCCTCCCCCCCAACCCGCGTCACAGGCTCGCCAGCTCAACACGATGCCTCCCTCTTCCACCTCTTGCCAGCCAGCCCGCCAGCCCCCGCCACCTTCCCCGGGTGCCATCAACTGGAAAAAAAAAAAAAAGGATTGCTCCATACCTTTCCGCTCGGAGGCTTGGTGAACCACAGAGTCCACTTGCTCTGGAGAGGGTGCTTGACAGTGAAGTTATCCTTGTCATGGAACACGGTCACCGGCTTGCCGTCGTCCTTGTTCTCCTTGGTCTCGCCCGCGTGCTCGTCGCCGTTGGGGGAGATGGGGATCGTGTTGAGGTCGACCTGCTGGTCCATGTTTGTCGCATCGACAGCTGCGCTAGCCATTGTGTTTGTTGTAGATTTTTCCAAAGACTCGTTGGGCGTCGAAAAGCGTTCGCAGCTGTTGGTGATGAATAAAAAGTGACGAGGTTCGAAGGAAAAGTCGAAGAAAAGCCGGAGGGAGAATAAGAGAGAAGGGTGAAGAAAAGCTCGATGCTTTTTTTCAGAGAAGGCGGGATTCGAGAAAAATCGCGGGGCAGCAGCGGTTGGTGGGTGGGATGCAGGGGAAAAAAGCGACACCTAAGGTTAAGTTAAGGTAGGCAAGAGAGTGATAAAAGAGTTTGGGAAAAAGTCCTGCGGTGGTGGCGACGGATCAAGAGTCTCTGTTGGATTGCTCCTCCTGCTGTTTGCTGTGAAGAAGGATCGATGAGTGATAAAGAAGAGGATCAATGAAGGTGGCGATGGCCTTTCTTCCTTCTTCTTGTTCGCTTCTTCGTTTGTCGTCCGGATTTGCGCCAGGCAAAACTGTCGTCAAGTGTGAGCCAAAGCTTCAATCGGTGCTGGGGGAAAAAAATGTCACGTCTAAGCATGCCGCTAAAAGGAAGCCTCATCTGCGCCGCGGAGGAAAGTTGGCCTAAAATACGAGGCAAAAGTTGTTGAGTGGAAGTTTGACGCGAGGCCAAAGTACATGTACCTGCCACGTCTCCTCATTTCCTACGTGGCCTGGGTATTCTGTACATGGTATCGTCTGATGGGCATCCGTTACAGATTCATAACCCAGCCCTGAACCTCGATCCCATGACATCTTACAAGCCAAACTCTGAGATCATGGCCTCCTGATTCGACTTAATAGTCTTGACTCACACTTTAGATAAGCCACCCGAGTCCAGGAGAAGCTCTAGAAAACCTCGACAGGTAAGTAGTAGTATGTGTGATATGCCCAAGGTAGGTATGTATGGCTCTCTACCTATTTCGCCCCGAGCTTCAAGCATAGATACACTGCCCATGACAGGCTCAGCAAATCATCCTCCCATCCAGTAGGTATATGTGCTCATCCCGGCTCCATATATGTACCATCATCCCAGAATATTCACGTCCTTCCATCTCCCAATCTATCAAGGGAAAAGGGCAAAGACATCGCTCCGCATGAAAATACAATCAAAGCAAATAGGAAACATGAACCACAAAAGAAGCATAGAGAGATCCATTTCCCAATGTCCATCCACCCTTTTCCTTGTTCCTGGGCTAGAAACACCCTGCTCGTGATGATTCTCCTGTACTTGAATCGTCATGACACCAGTCCCTGTGCATATGCTGTCCTTGTCCCTTTAAACCCAAAAATGTTCAACCCGTTTTCCTATCAAACGCCACCCTTGGAGCAGACATAGCGTAATTCGAAGAAAGAGAGAAAGAAAGAAAGACAGAAATAGAGTCGCAGGAAAAAAAAAAGTCGTAATCGTGAGATTCAGCGTCTTACAGAGTGAGTGATGCGCATAGCTGAATGGGGAATTCGCTTTTTGTTTCAACCAGAAATTCCAAAGCTTTTCTTCGTGAAAAAAGTGAGCTCGGAAATAGAAAGCATCAGGGAAGAGAAGACAGCCGCGAGACGACTCATCTTGGTGTCCCGTTCTCCAGCTTGTTGACATTCTCCTCAGTCAGAGCTTCTCCTGCTCCCGACTCGGGAAGAGAATTCTTGCGGAGGTCGGCCGGTACGCCTCCCGCCGCATCAATGAGCTTCGTACCATGAAGCATGTTCGACCATTCCTGCTCGCCTTCAGGCCGGCGAACCTGGGGCGACATTTCAACCGCAATGGCCTGCTCAAACGGCGAGGGCTCCTCCTCTCCTCCGTTGACCGTAAGTGGCCGGGGCGTTATTGGGCTTGCGCGAAGTTCTTCAGACGCTGACAGGGGAGATGGATCGCTTTCATCAATGCCGAGGTGTGGGATATCGGCATTGTCGCAATGCTCGCCCATCTCGGAGCAATCAGAAGCTGGCGGCTCCGATTGCGGGCGACGTCGTGTCAGCGACCATCTGACCAGCATCCTCTCCAGCACCTTCATCGTCACCGGCTTTGGGAGGTAGTCGTCCATGCCGGCTTTTGTGCATTTCTCGCGGTCTCCTTGGATTGCTGACGCAGTCATGGCCACAATGGGCACATGCTGAACCAGGCTCTTGTATGGAAGATGATGTCGAAGAAGATGGGTGCACTTGTAGCCATCAATGATGGGCATCTGCACGTCCATCAAGATGATGTCTGGCATTTTCTTCTCGCCCTTTGAGGCGCTAATCATGTAGTCCAGCGCTTCTTTGCCATTCCAAGTGGCAGACACCTGAAAGCCAAGTTTTCCAATGGTACGCGTGGCAATCTTCTGGTTTACCGGGCTAGTTGCAGATGTTAATAACTGGACAAACGATATGATCATGAGTATCACTGCGTAACACTTACTTGTCCTCGACTACCAAGATGTGCAGTTTTGATCGTTCGGACAGGGGCAGCTCCTGCTCAGCTGGAGGGGGCGTCCGCGTAGATACGGGCCAACGTGGTTTGGCGCCAGAGCCGCTCGCCATGCCATCTGAGCCCTGCGAAGCCGCCAACTGTTCATGCTCTGAACTATTGCATGATAGGCTCAGCTCAGACTGAAGTCGGTCGGGAATAGCGCCAGGTTCCGCCAGTGTGGGAGCTCTGGCCTCCGTGGGCTTCATGAAGGGGATCCAAAACGTTGCCTTGGTTCCTGATCCCACATTCGACTCCAGCGTGATGCGACCATTCATCAGGTCCAGCAAATTCTTGCATATAGTAAGCCCTAACCCAGTCCCTCCGAACTTGCGAGCAGTGGACGCATCTCCTTGGCTGAAGGGCTTGAAGAGCTTTTTCTTTACCTCCTCCTCAATGCCAATTCCGGAGTCTTCAATGACGAATCGAACCTCGATTGTATCAGCTGTCTCGCGCTCTTTGAGAACCGAGAACCTCACATATCCCTGGTTCGTAAACTTGATGCTGTTTGTGAGAAGATTGGTAATGATCTGCCGCAGCCTGCCGGGGTCGCCAATGACGATCCGTTCGTTGGCAATGTCTTTTCCAACATCAGATAGGAAATCCAGATTCTTCCGCTCGACGGCAAACTTGAGCATCTTCCTCACATCCTGCACGATGTGTGAGAGGGAGAACTGGACTTCTTCAATGTCCAGGCGGCCGGATTCCACCTTTGAAAAATCCAGGATATCATTGATCACCGTGAGTAGCGACGTAGCGGAGCTTTGGATATTGTCGACATATTCGCGCTGCTCCTTGGTCAGCTCCATATCGCCCAGCAGCTCTGCCATGCCGAGAACTCCGGTGATGGGCGTCCTGATCTCGTGAGACATGTTGGCGAGGAACTGGCTTTTCAGTCTTGTCGCCTCCTTGGCAGCAGCCTCGTTTGCCATTGCGCGTCGCTTCTCCTTGGATTGCTCCCGCAAGGCTTCTCCTCTCACCTTGAGCTCGGTAACATCCATTATAACGCCAATGACTCCTTCAATACACGTCTCCTTGGTAGGCATGCCGTCTTTGGTCTTTTTCCCCAGCATTGGGTGGAACCGTGTTCGATACCAGCGGTCATCTGCAACGCATAAGTTAGTCCGCCATGTATTTCCCGAACAGCTAGCGGTTCATGAAAACTTACGGAGTCCGTGTTCCTTTACATCCTCGTTGCTCCGTCCCTCGAGAATGTCCTCAATCGGCCGAAGCCATGTTGGGCGTTCCCTGTCAGACGCTCGTTCGGCGATCCGGTTGAAGACGGTGTACATGTTCTCTCCAACATACCACCTGCTCTTTTCATGGTTTTCTTCAGAAGCGCTGTTCCATATCAAGGCGCCCTCCAGCATCGTAACGCGGCGATCGGGGTCAACAGTAAAAATGGTGACGTGCGAGTGAGCAATGACGCTGAGCAGCTGCTGACGAGTACGCTTAGCACTCAGTTTCGTCTGCATGCTCTCGTGGATGTCGGTGCAGGTTCCTGTTGAATCTCAAGTGATTAGCTTCGTAGCCGCACAGTCTTCCTCTCATAGACCTCAACGTACCGAACCACTTCTCAATCTCGCCCGTTTCTTTGTCGCGTACGGCAAGGGCACGGCCAAGGAACCACCGCCACTCGCCGGCCTTGCTAAGACAGCGGTATTCCATGACAAAGGCATCTCCGGTTTGCACAGAGCGATTCCAGCGGGCAAGAGCCTCGGCTCTATCGTCGGGATGGAAGGAGGCTTGCCAGTCTATTTCAACGCACTGTTGGCGGTTCAAGCCCATGTACGCATACCATCTGGTGTTGAAAAAGTCGGGGGTCCCATCAGGGCGTGCCGTCCAAACTAGCTGGGGCATAGCATCGCATATGGCCTTGAAGCGCTCCTCGTCACGCTCCTTGATGTGGGTGATCTCTTCCCTCATCATTGTCACATCGCGGCCAGTGACAACGCCAGCGAGGAACTCGTGCGTAGTGTCGTCATATATGCCTTCTCCCAGCACGTCAAAGATAATCTTCCGTCCGTCGCGTGCGTACATGCCTATTCGCTTACTGGCAAAGGGCGTCTCTGTCCGAAGCAGAATGGAGATTGGATACTCGCTGACATCCAGCTGCCTTGTAAAGTCTTCGTTCCACACCTTCCACTTGGGTAGCAGATGAAACCCGTCGCTGGCCGAGTCGAGATCGGCGTCGACGGGGAAGAGCTGCCTCGCAGCCTTGTTCGGAAAAATCACGCTGCCATCTTTCCATATGGCGACGACGGGCATCTGCGTACTGTCGATGAGGGCATCCTTCATCCTAATCATCTTCTGCAGCACCGAGGGGGTGCTTGTGTGCGAATGAGAAGCAATGGTCGGAGGTCCCATGGGAGGGAACGGGCTTGAAGACATGGTGATGACGCCCGGGCTGTAGAACAAGGGCGAGGTAGAGTCTCGGCTAGAGGCGACAGACGACGGGTTCGAGGTGGTGATGGACTTTTTGTCGACAGCTTCGAGGATGCTGGATCGAGCGATGGCTCTTCTGCCGCTGACGGGCATCGACGGAGCGGACTGGGTGTTAGTGAAGGTCAGAGTGAAAAAGGTCTGTCTGTCTTCAACCTCCCAGATTGTAATGATCATCTTCGCATAGGCATGGTATTCGGATTCTTTCGACTTGTACCGGCTGTTGAAGGTGGTCTTGGTGATGTCTTTTCTCGTAATTATAACCTCTACCGTCGCATCCTGAGTCGGTCGCTCGATAGGCTTGGGCCGTTCATTCACCTGATCAAGGGCCACGGTAGCAGTTGGGGTGGCGTCGCCACCTTCGAAATGGGACGGTCGTCGTTGCTGATTCGAGGCTGGTGGTCGTACACCGACCTCAGTGACCAAGGTGTCTAGAAAAGCTTCCCAGGTAACCCATACGGGGCGACCATCCTGTATCATGTCGATGCCCACCTGGGAAAGGGTCTGGCCGCGCAGCTTGTCCATCACAACCGACACATCTTCATCACTCATATCATCAGAGATGACACCGAGCATCCTTCCCATGGCCTCATTAGCGAGTACAACAGTCTTGAGGCTGTTGAGGATGATGACAGGGACCGGCAGGTATTGCATTGCGGAGAAGGCAACCTGGCCGGGCGATATTGAAGGCATGGAGAGTCGAAATGGGCTCTGAGACTTGGAACGGACGCCATCTCCAGGGTCTCTGAGGAAGCGTCCGCCACCCAGAGAGCGGGGACTTTGCTCGGCATGGCTGCTCATGTCTGCCGAGGCCATCTTGGGCGACGCTCGATCTTGCATGTCAGATGCTCCCAGGTGAAGGTCGAGGTCGAGGTCGAGGTCCGGCGGACCTCGCGGGGCATTGTGGGCGGCGGAAGAGGTAGCAGAGGCGGAAGCTGGAACAGACTGTGAGGTTCGAGACTGGCTGCTCTCATGAGCATCTCCCAGGGACGTCATATCGTGGTCATTCCACGCATAGGGAGAGATGCGCACGAGGAGGCTCGGATGGCGATCCAAAGGCAGCAGCGGGTGGAATCCGCCGTCGAGCCTCAGAACCAGCAACTCGAAGACTGCTTCTTCTGTCGAGACGGTCTGGAGAAGCAGGTCGAGGATGGCGGCCGGGTTGGTGAAGATGGTAAAGCCTGGCCAGGCTCACTCGGAAGCAAGCACAAGCTGGGAAAAGTCCAGCTCGACAGGGAGGGAGGGAGTCTGGCGGGCAGGGCTGGAGCAGTCGCAGGTACGGAGACAAAGGAGAAGGAATCCTAAAGAAGCACGGCAACCCACGACTCGATGCGTTAGTGCTGCTTTTACTTGACGAAGCTATGCCGGTATCGCAATGGCGTGGTATATTGCAGATCTCGGGCTCCACCCATTCGATGGCTGGATAGGCGTCTTCCTGGAGTCGTGAACCGGGCAGTGGGAGTGGCTCCAAGTTAAAAGGCGAGCGGCAGGACGGACGGACAGGACAACGCGGACGCAGGAGGGCCAAGTGCCGGCCTGGCAAGGCGAGTCGTGGGGGAAAGATCCGGCTGGCCTGGCGGGACGGCGATGGAGTTGCGGAAGGGCGAGGCAGAGACACACTGCAGTTGGCGAGGCAGCTGGATGGAACCTTGGGAGGAGGAAGATCAATTGCGGACCGGAAGCGGGGGGGTACAAACGAGAGGTCGAATAGAGCGGACTTGGTGGCTGTCGACTACTCTTGTCGCCGTCGAGGGCCGCGAACAGACAGCGTGGGGACTGGGGCTTGGAACTAGGAATTGATGGCTTGGACTAGAATCGACGGGACCCTGAGCTGAGACACACAGGGCAGCGGAAAGGTAAGGTAAGTTGAGATGCGATATAGTAAGTACTGTGCACGGTAGTAGTACTACTGCCGTGTCGAGTGCCAGCGGTGCTTGTCCGTATGTAAGGCGGTTGGACAAGGGCGCAGGGGGGAAGAGCAGAGAGAGAGAGAGAGAGAGGATGCAGGGACGCCAGAGTGAGGCGATTCGAGGGCAGGGCTTTTGGAGCTCGGGGGCTGGATCTGGAGGAGGAGGAGGAGGAGAGGAGGTACCTGAGTGTCTCCAGCAGACGGCCGTGGCAGCTGTGCCCAGGCGACGTTAGCAGCAGGCGTACCTCCGGGTACTCACTGGCACTCGCACTTTCTGGCTCTGGCTCTGGCTCGACGCACTTGACATGGAAACCACTGACCAGCTTCAAGGCACCGCATCAATCAAGGGGCGGTGCCGAGAGGGTGTCGGTTCAGGTTGTCCATTGGCCTCTGCTGCAATGCAACCAATGTGCCATGGATGGATCTGAGCGGTGGGACTCGGCGAGCTGAGACACGTCTGATAGGTAGGATCTACCTTCTCTTCACAACGGTACCTCGATGCTTGCTCTGTCGTAAGTACCTTACCCGTCAGAGGATGGGCGCCTCGCCCAGAACTGCCACATTCCTCCATCATTGTCCAAGCACGAGGCCTCTTAGGTACCTAGATACCTTACCTTACCTTACCTTACCTTACACCTCAACATACACACCTGAGCTCCGACAGGACCCCTAAGGTCCCTTTGCAGAACCTGCTGCATCAACCTCCCTCTCCCTACATAACAAGGCGTCCAAGGCATCCTGCTCAGGCAATCGATCCGTCTTGTCTTACGTCCCCGGCAGAACAGGCCCTGGCATTACCCATGGAGCGAATGGGCCAAGACGGCCGCTGGTCCTGGGCGTTTCGGTTCGGCTGGCTGGCGGGCGACGCGGCCAACTGACACATGGGAAACACGACGTGGAGTCGGGTCAAAGATCAGAAAGCCGCATGCAAACAGATGTGGTGGATCTCTGGAGCTGGAGCATGCAGCCTTCTCGCTGAGGTACCATGGGCTAACGGGGAGCTAGGGAAACAAGGTCACATCTGGTAAGGTGAGGTATGGGGGGGACTCGGACTTTAACAGACCGCACATTCGCACCCAAGGCTTCGGTGTCCATGTGCCCCTCCAAGGTGAGACGCCGTCTCGCCCACACACAGACAGCCAAGCAGGAGGGCAGCAAAGGACGAGAACCGGGGAGATGGACATCGGGTCTCTTTGTTTCTGCCACTTCTTTTGGTGTCTGGTACGAGTATGTAGGGCGCTCCGTGCTCTTCCTACCCAAGTCTGTCTGGCTCTGGCATTGGTGCGGGTGCACTGAGGGGCGTCCCTGCTCGAACGATTGCCCGGTGACCCGTCGTTGCTGCGAGGCATCCCTCCATTGAACCCCATGAACCCCTATTGCCCGCCCTATTGCCTTGCCATGAGGCCATTGTCGGGAATCTGCGAAGCCAAGCCGGCTTTGTGGTGGGACGCGACATACGTACAAGGCGTCAACTTGGCCCATCGTCTCCATCGTGACGAGCAGCGGTGGCAAATCCAAAATCAAGCGTGCGGGAAAGCTTGATTCCAAGGACGCGAGAGGATCAGCAGTGGCGCCTTACGCCCAGGCGAGGCCAAGTTTCCAGCATGAAGCTCCACGATCAGCCTTGCGGGTGCGTGTCGTCACGATGCTATACGAACGAGAGGAAGAAGACGTGCAATGCTCTGATTACTTGCATTACAGCAAGAACCCAGAGAGAACAAGAGGCTAAAAGGCACGAGTCTGGGCCTGCATCTGCCTTACACGTTTGTGGCTTTCAATGCGGCCGCTGTTCCCCCCTCCACCAGCAAATCGCTAATCCCTCCCGATCTGACTGGCTTGACCCTCGCAGGCCTCGGTACAGGCCCAGCTCGTCTCGAGAAGCTCGATGGTTTTTTCTGGCCCCTCCGACATGCAAATCACTACTGCAGCTAAAATGGATTCATTTCTCTGTGTGCTGAGACATCCAAGGGGCTGAGTGCTGCCACTCATAACTCGTACGAACCAGACACTGAATGACAGCGCAGACGGACCTGATCCAGCCCCGACAGCTTCCTGCGAAGCCAGCAGACAAGACGCGGAGGAGCTACCCATCTTGCAGCGTCCACGTCTCCGGCCACCCAGACAAAGAGCGGCGATAGAAGACCGAAGGAAAACTGTCAAGCCTATTGGCAGCGCGGCGTCTCTTCAAATCTCCTCTCCTTGTTTCCTTTTTCCCTCTTCCAACGGGCGCAAGGCCGGCGATAAGTTGCCGCAGAAGCCGCAGGGCTTAGGCAAAGACTATCACTAGCATCGAGAACCTAGTCAGAGGAAAAGAAAGAAAGAACAAAGAAGAGCGAAAAGAACAAGAGGTGAGCGCCTTGGCGAATCGGAGCGATCTGGTGGGAATAATAACATGAGTTGTGGCAATGCTCTGCCCCTCTTACGAGCCAACCACAACGACTCAGTACTCGTTCTATTATAGATTACTATCGTAATTCCTCTCCTCATATCAATCCTTTGTTCTATCAAGGGTTATTTTGTTGCTCTGTCTCAACCGGCCAAGAATCGAAACCCTTCCTCTTCTCCTCGCTCTCTTGTCCTCTCCCGTTCGCTCACCCGCTCTTCTTTCTTTTTCCTCTCCGGCCGCCTTGCAAGGAGGGCCCGGCTTGGCGTCTCTCTGGCTGCATGACAAGCCTTTTTCGCTCGCAACCCACAAGGACCCCTGTCCTGTTAGCACCGCTGTTTGCAGGCTGACCAGGGGTCCTGCCGATGCTGAGCAGAGCTCGGATCCACCCGTTTCGTTTATCTGGACCGTGGAACAGCCTCGGGAGAGGTTGCTGATGCTGATTCGATTCAGGAGGGGGGATCTAGTATTATCGACCGTGTTATTGTCGTTCTATTTATACACAATACTAGGTAAGGCCTCGTGTCTGTCAACATAGAGCTTATCCGGCCCTTGAAAATACTACGATGGAAGAACCATCTGTTGGGGTCAAAGACGTCCTCCTCTCAATGCGAAACAGCGAAACAGATACTCCGTCTGCACCCCGTGAGGCATGCATCCAGGGATCAGAAAGCGCCAACACCAGATACGTGTACCGGCATCCGGAGCCCATCCCATTCATCCATCCATCAAATCAATCCTCTCCCTCCTCCAAACCCTCCTGTCTTGGGTCGTCTTGTCTTTCCTTTTGTCTCACATCCCCTCGTACGTTCTTTTTTCCGAAATGCGACAATTCACAATTCATTTCTCCGACTTCGAGTCGCGGTACCCGTACAGTAGTAGCTGCATGCCTGCCTCGTACCACAAAGCGCGACATGCAGCAATCTCAATGGGCGGGCAGGCTACTACTTTGTCTCACGAGCAGCACTAACACAACACACACACACACACACACACACCTCACAGGACGGAACGAGGTCCGTCCCAACGCCAGCCTCCCACTCGCCCGCCGCACTTTTTTCTTTCTCATGTGTGTTATTTCTGCAACCCATGCAGGCTGCAGCTACTTATCAATTTGAAACAGGCCTATCAAGATGTCATATTGAACATGCTAACAAAATGACATGTAACCACGCGCAAGCAAGAAACAATAAGCGGACAAAAGTCGCTCGCTGGCCCCCATTTACATGCCCATGATTAAAAAGAAAACAGCTTCAAGCTTGAGAACAACAGAGAGGAGAAGACAAGACAGACAAGACAAGACAGCGAATAGCATCAAACAAGAAAAAAGCTGATGCTGGTAACCCATCTCCACCAAAAGGCGATCTTAACTCCATTTTCCAATCGGCGCCTTTCCTAATTGCTGCCGCCGGCTCCAGAATAAATGGAACAGCAACACGAAAAGACCCTTGTTTTTCTTCTTCGCTTTTTTCTCGTTCGCCCTGGAGGGGAGGGCTCCAAGCTGCAAGCAGTAAAGTGCGGATGTAGGTCGTGCTTTAGCTGCAGCACCACCACCACCACCACCACCACCAGCTGCCAGTCATGCCAAAGTCACTCCCGGCGCCGTATTGCTCGGAAATCCCAAGCAAACAGCTCGAAATTTGCATCTCCCACGGCACAGCCATCCCAACTGCATTCAAGTATTATGGGGCCCCCCAGAGACACACGAGGGGGACGGGCAACTCCACAGCAGGCTTCTCAAAATCAGGTCAAGTCGAGTCCAGCCCAGTCCATACCATGCTTCGGCTTCGATGAATGTACTCCTCGGTAGCGGTGACAGACGGATTGTAGCATCGGCCTATCGAGAGTTAAACTTCATCTGCCCGCAGGTAGAGCAGGTCCACCACTGCCGCTCCATCTCCGTACCGCAGTACTCGCAACGCCAAGTGGGTGGAGGTGCCGGTGCTGGACCTGAAGCCTTGGCCTGTGGGGGAGCCGACGCTGCTGCTGGGCGCTGAGCTGTTGTTCGCCGTGTCTCGCGAGGGTTCGTCTTCGTCCTGGGCGGACTGCTCGTCAGGTCAATCACAGCCGGCCTCGGCCCAGGCTGTCTCGGCGTCACCGGCGCGTGTAATGGTGCCTCGCTGCGCTCCACCTCGCAGGCACCGCAGCACAAGAAATCCTGAGGGTTGTGCAGAGTGCATATCGAACAGATCCAGAACCGCTCGCCATCTGGCTGATAAGTAGTAGGCGCCGCTCTCTGGTTGCCGGTAGTGTTGCCTCTGGTACCGCTGCTGCTACTGCTGCTGCTACCCGGGTTTCCATCAAAGGAGACTGCCGTGTTCCCGTTTCCTTTCATGACCTTTTCCGCCGGCGAAGGATTCATATATGAACCGCCCCCCAGATTGGCCATCTCGTCTTCCTGAGCCAGCTCCCACAGAGCCTGCGCAATGGCAAGGTCGTTGGCCTCATCCTCTTCCGCCTGCGTGCGGAATCCGTTCCTGGACGCGCTGTCGGCGATGGCGCGAATCTCACTGTCGCTCAGCTTGTCCGTGGCGCAGCCCTGGAGGGCCTTGTTGCGCTTCTCGGCCGCCGCAGCTGCCGCTTGGCGTAGGTTCCGACCTGGCCTCGGCGGCCGTGATACATCCCCTCCGCCAAGCCTCCGTCCTGAGCCGCGAGACAACTGCTCGTGAGCCTTTCGCTTTTCCGCCGCAGAGCGGGCAAGCCGCTGCACTTCGCGAAGCGGCAGCGCCTGCCTGCCTCCCAGCCGATGGCCCTCGGACAGGAACCCTTCGCCTGTGTATCCCTTGAAGAGGAGACCTTGCCACTCATCGCGCAACTGGTCCCACAGAGCGTGGAATCTGCCGTCGTGAGGCCCATGGACAATGTGGCACAGCTCGTGCAGCATCGTGTCGACGATGCTCTCGGTAGCGAGGAACTGGTTCTGGTCCTGCGGATACCGTAGCCGCAGGCATATCCTCATGCCGCGGTTGACGTTTAGCCCTACCACCGTCAGTCAGACTACCCGCTCGGAACCAAGCTATGCATCCAAGCGCATGCGCACCAAGTAAGTTTGTCTCGTTGGGATAGAACTCGGCCAGCTCCCTGACCTTCCACCCGCGGTTCCGCATGATGGGCTTCACAAGGGAGGCCACCTTCTTGAGGATGGTCAGCGCCTCCTCTGCGCGGCGGAACTGCGCGAGGTGCGAGTAGGACAAGACTTGGGGGTCGTGTTCCGGCATCTTGACTCTGTTCGGTTAGAATCTGTGTCCGCGAATCTAGAACCAGCCGCTGGACACGGAAATGAAGATATCGAGTGCGGTGTTGCAAGCCAACGCAGTAACGAGAACGCTGAAGATACAAGGACCGCGGTCTACATGGCTTCGAGGGTCTAGAATAGCCTCCAGTGACTCGCCACGTCACAGCAGATGCCTTGAGTCGTGTCACCACTCAGGCATTCCGGCCTTGCGATGTTCGCGATTGGGGTTCGGCGGCTTTCTAAGCATCATTCAAGGTAAGGCGCAAACCTGGTCTACGCGGCCTGATGACTAAGCCCTGTGCTGGGTGAATGGCCACCACCCTTTGGCTCCTCAGAAGTACAGCAGGGAGTCAGATGATGTGCAGCGTGTAGTCTAATCACTGGAGTAAGTATTGCTTATGTGATGGTTTCGCTTCAGTTCCAGGTTTGCTTGTGAGTGCATAATGTGTGATTGAAATGAGTGAAAGGTGAGTAGGAAACGTTGCAGTTTACGGATATCTTTCCGGTATAAGACGGCCCGGAGGCGTGGTGAATCTACACTCAGACGCTCTCCCTTAAATAGTTGCATGTACGCTTCGAAAGAGTGGGTGAAGCAAACGTCAAGGTCATTGCTCAAGTTTTACTTCTATATATTGCTCCTCGACTGGCATACTAAAGTCCGAAGGTGATTCATGCCCCGAACTCTGTATGCCTATTTGACTGGCATGCCCGGTCTTGCTCAAACACTACCATCGCGCGCTCTGGCGGATTCTGGTTGAGCTCTTGGTCATGAATCAATGATTTCAAAAATGTTTTAGGCCTCAACAATGGCCATACAGCAGTAAAATACTTGTGCAAACCCTTGTAAAACGATCCAAGCATGACCAGAAACCATCCTGCGCCTCGTACCTAGGTAGGTTAGCAAACATTTTCTCAAATTCAGTACTCATTACTGCGATTTCGACATATAAAGAGAAAGCTCCTTGCAGACTACTTTGAAGTTATCTAGCACACCACATCCCTTCTATTGATCCGGGATACCTGACCTATTTATCTTAACAGCCGCTACACACATATGCGAATGCTACAAAGGGGTGTACTGGGCAGTTACAACTTGACCGGGTCACAGTTCTGCAAGTACTCGCAGTAGTGCATTGACCCTGAGATGCTCGGCACCTAACATGAGAGCAAGCTCTGACATCTAAGGATGAACTACCTACCTTCAAGGGTCCTGGATTTCCCCCTTGTATCTCCCAGCTGTCACGTCTACAAATAGCGGAAGTCTTCTTACTGGCACTATTGGTCCGCCCTACAGATGGATGTGAACAGGGGCTACAGAGTACGGATTACTGTTTGCAGTAGTTGTAAGCATGAAGCGTGTCATATCTCTCCCACTATGCATGCTATATGTGACAGCAGTGACGGAGTGTTGCCACCTGAGTCCCCCGCCGAGGGACAGGTCAATGAGGCGTTACTACTATTGTCCTCTCCTACATACATATAGGTGTGATCGAGGGTAGACGATCCAATAGGAGGCAAGTCATGGCACTTCGTCACAAGTTACAGTACAGTAACACTCGTCAGTTCTCGTCTCACTATTCCGAGACATGACAGATTGTCGGCTTGACATTTGGTAGGGGTGGGATGGCCGAACAACAACGGGTTTGCTCGGTCATGCCCCGAACACCGAAGAACAAAGGACTTCGATACATTCACGTTGGGACAGAGGTTGATGGCTTGACACAGATGCATGCAGACATGCTGCTCATGTGATTTACGTCCATCATATTTCACCGAACAGTGTCTCTTGCAACAGTATCTCACGGCATCATCCTACACATATTTAACCATTTTCCAAATGGCAATCACTTTCTCCTCTTCTAGCCGCCGCTCGACGACCGGCGTACCGATCGGAATATCCCCGGCCTCAAGGAGATGTTAGCACCCTTCAGGCTCCTTGACGTTGGAGTCACTTGAGGACTGCTCGCATACTCCGGCCCCTGAATCACAAGTACAACGCCGGCAGAATGGGCCATCTACGAAGAATTTGGCCTTGACATATGTAACCACATGCGATCTTATTCATCCCCCTACATGTGTGATCATCACGTGTTCTTCAGTAAGGAGAAAGTAAGATGATCGTTACGAAGTTAGAGTGTATACTCACTGACCACTGCCTCTTTGTTGCCCGATCCGTCTTCTCTTCAATTCTTTCGCATTGAGCACCCGGCGTCCTGACAGGTTTATCTCTATGCAAACACATCAATACTCACAGTCACTCGCCAACTTCAAGTAAAGGTACACCCACAGCTGCTCACAGTAACACTCACTCTACTGTGAGAGCATTACATAGTCAGAGCGTTGAGAAAGTCGACCTCGCTCGTTCCCACCACCTCAATCATCCTCTTTTATACGTTTCTCCCCTGATGACTTAGCTGATAATGCAGGTATTTGATGACCAGAGGGGTCGACGTGTCGTTCTGCTGCGGCTCGATGACACGCAGCTTGCGCAGGACAAGAGCAGCCATTACGCTCGGAGCCTCCATGATGTGGTAGTTTCCCGTCTGCTCAGTCTTTCTCTTTCTCTGGATGGTAAGCATCTTTTTAGTAAATGCTTTATAACCGCCCCAGGTTGAGCAGACATTGGCGTTAAGGGACGGACGTGTTGACACACTCGTTGACACAAGCCTGGTAGCACTTAGGATATTGCCTATGGTTAAGGCCGATATACTTGAAGGTTGAGTTTATCAGCGCCCGTGAAGTTTCGCTGGTACCTTGCGGTATCTATGATGGGCCTTCTTCAAAGCGGCCGGACGTAAACGATGAAGTTGGAACGGCTTCGCTTGCGAAGTATTACTGTGTTGTAATGCCTGCTTGTCTTAGTGGTCAAACTGGGCGGTGATCTGGATGACTCTCTTGGTAGGCGTGGAATAGGAGGAGAAAGGAAAAGAAAGAAAAGAAAAGACTAGAAGGAAAAGCAGAGAAACAAAGTAGGTAGACGCCCCTGATGAGGTGATACCTAAGGAGGCCTGCCCAGAAAGCATCCTCCTGGGTAAGTTCAAGCCATAGAGGATGCGGGTTCTTGATACGGCTTGGGAATTGTTGAATATATATAGTATATATATATGTACATACTAATGGGACTTGGCATGACAGCATCCAGTCAACCGGTGCTCGCGGTAGGATGTAAGCCGCAAGACCCGGCCACGGAAGATCAATATCGACAGTCTCGTTCGCCAACAAAGAGCCGCCCCATCGTCCCAGTGCCCTTTTCTAGACAAGATCAGGCCTGACAACAATATTGTCGGGTTACTTTCGATATCACGCTTGTCCGACTCTCTGTCTGATCAGTCATCGGATCAGCAGTGCGTCTTTGGCTCCAGCTGGCCTTGCGATGGGCGAGAGATTTGCTCAGGGATCGAGCTGCCCGCGTTGTCAGACTCAAGTTCTTCGCCCCGAGGACGGGTAATACACCCTCCCGCCGGTATGCTGTGTGTGACTTTGTTCTTCAAGTGTTGCGGAAGTGTTGCTAAAGGATCATGATTTTGCCCTTGATATCCATGGATCAAGACTTAGTAACAACTTCGAATTCATCGATGAGTCACGACGTAGGTTGGCACAGTGGAGTCAATTTGCAGCATTCCGTTCTGATTGCTATAATCACTTAACGTCTTCTAAATGTCATCTCAAGCACGCGGATAATAGAGCCTCTTGTAAGCTGAATAGGTCTGGGGTCTGGCACATACGACCATACATGTAGTAGAGGAGAAGTCGGGTTTCCGTCAAGATCTTATATGAAGTTCAATGTCTACAATTTGTGGCGCTACAGATATGCAGCTCTAAAGTCGTGCTCTTCTTCCGTTATCAAAGGACAACCCCGCCTGCAAAGGTAGCTAACGCGATAACGTTGGCCGGTGTCGGCCCTACCAATTTTCCCTATGACTGCATTCTCAATTGATCGGCCAACTTCAATTCCTTCAAATCCTTAATAAACTTGTTGACCTTGATAACTCCCGCCCTCAATCTCGAGCAGTTTCAATTCCTCAACATCATCGGCAAATATCTCAACATGGCCGAGAAAAAAGCGGACGCCCCGGCAGCTGGCATGCTCTGGGGGGGCAGGTTCACAGGTTCGAACGGCTCGGGAAACAAGCTTCGGATGCAGCATACTGACCTCACGGTGCGCAGGCGCGATTGATCCTCTCATGCACAAGTACAATGCCTCCATCGGCTACGACAAGGCTCTTTACAAAGAAGATATCCTTGGCTCGATTGCTTTTGCCAGGGCCAATGCAAAGGCTGGCATCATCAGCCAAGACGAATTTCAGGCGATTGAGCGTGGTTTGCTCCAAGTCATGGAAGAATGGAAGCAGGGAACTTTCGCCATCATGCCGAATGACGAAGATGTGAGAGGCCACTCGATTCTACTCAGCCTCTCCACCTACCTAGGCTAACACAATGGACCAGATTCACACCGCAAACGAACGTCGCTTAGGAGAGGTCATCGGCAAGGACATTGCGGGTAAGCTGCACACAGGTCGCAGCCGCAACGAGCAAGTTGTCCTTGACATGCGCATGTGGTTACGCGATCGGATCCGCGAAATCGAGAGCCAACTCGTTGCATTTCTCAAGGTCATTGTCACACGTGCCGAGTCTGAGATGTAAGCCCAGCATCATCTTGGCCAAAAGCGGCCCCCTGCTGACTTGATAACCTCAGCGACTACATCATGCCTGGATACACCCATCTCCAGCGTGCTCAGCCAGTTCGGTGGTCTCAGTGGCTGATGTCATATGCAGCTGCCTTCAAGCAGGATCTCGAGCGATTGCGTCAAGTTTTCGAAAGGGTCAATCTGAGTCCACTTGGTTGTGGCGCTTTGGCCGGCAATCCCTTTGGAATCGATCGAAACTCAATAGCTGAGGAGCTTGGCTTCAGCGGAATAACCTTGAACTCCATGAATACTTCGGCCGAACGCGATTTCATAGTCGAATTCCTGGTCTGGAACTCGATTTTCACCAACCACGTCAGCAGGTGGGCTGAGGACCTCATCATATACTCGACCTCTGAGTTCGGTTTCGTGCGGCTGGCCGACGCCTATTCTACGGGTAGCTCTTTAATGCCCAATAAGCACAACCCGGACTCGTTGGAGCTTCTGCGCGGCAAGTCAGGGCGTGCTTTCGGTCAAATGGCTGGGTTGATGATGGTGAGTCCCCATATGAACATCTCGGCCAGTCGCCTTGGCTTCGAGAATGATCAGGAGCGTATTGAGAGTGGCTACTAACTATTTACTTGGAAGACTCTGAAAAGCTTGCCGTCTTGCTATAACAAAGATCTTCAGGAAGGGTGGGAGCCCATGCTGGATTCGGTTCAGACTGTGTCGGATAGTCTAGGCATAGCCAATGGGGTCATTGCTACGTTGAAGGTGCGGCCAGAGCGGATGGAGGCTGCTCTGGACAAGACGATGCTAGCCACTGATGTCGCAGAGTGGCTGGTGAGGAGGGGATGTCCGTTCAGAGAGGCTCACCACATCTCTGGACGCGTCGTTGCACTGTCTGAAAAGACGGAAGTTTCGATGGACAAGCTGACCCTTGAGCAACTGCAAGCCATTGATTCTCGGTTCACTGCAGACATTGTGGAGGCATTCGAATACGAATCGAGTGTCGAGGCGAAGTCGTCCAAAGGCGGTACCAGTCGATCAAGCGTGCTGGAGCAGATTCAGGTCCTCAGGGCTATTTTGGACTAGGGGATTGATGGCCTGGTGCAGGAAGGGGCCGGAGCAAGGGAATATGGGACGGACATGACGAATGGCATACTTCATTCTGTGGAAAAAGATATGACTCAAGAGAGACGCTCTTGAATGAGCCAAAAAAAACTCCAAAAATGACACAATTTCATCAGAGAAATGCGAGCAGGACAACCGCCGGGCGAGCCAGACATGGGAGGAGCCGTCGTCGATCGATCAACGTTTGGTCTTCAAGGCATCTTTATGAATAGTCGAATTCTTGAGAATCGGCAGTCAGGATGCCGACTTGCTGCTAATAGGAATACCTAGGTACGCAGAGGATCTCTGTCCAAACGAGCCATTGCATTCTGCCTGTGTGCTCGTTTCGTGAAGCTCCTTTGATCTTGTTACACACTCCAATTCCACTTAGCTGTGCCCTCTGTTCTCCATCTTCGAGGCCTTGCTGCATTGTTTTGCATGGGATAATCTGCCCCTCCCCCGCGCTCTGCCGAGATCGCAGTCTGAAGTCAAAAAATGACATCTCAAGCACGCGGATATCACAGCGTCTCATAAGTTGAATGGGCCTACAACCAAGCACATACGACCATAGGTAGAGGAGAGCTCGGGGTCCCGTCCGCTCCCCCATAGATAAGCCTCTAACCGGCAGATTAGTAGTTGGGTGGGTGACCACCAGCGAACACCGGCTGTTGTATGTTTTTTTCGTTTTTTTTGCCTTTCTTTTTCTTCCTTTTTTGCTGGGCTTTGTTGCTGTCGTGTACGGAGAAGAGATCATGTGAAAAAGGCGGCGGTTTGAAAGGTTGTGAGGGATGCAAGCAAAAATGAGGGGCTATGGATGCAACACAGTTTCTGTTGGCTTAATTGCACTGCATTGGGGGACTCCCGCCGAGCCCGGGTTTGTCATATGTTGCTCTCCTCTGCAGTACTTGGAACTATTAGATGACATGCTGAAGCAAAAAATGAGGTATTTCCACGGTAAGGTTGCACGTAGTATCACTCGTGCTTCTTGAAATGATGCGGGTTGTTACGTGTTGCTTGACATGTGGAGTAACTTGCCTATGAATGGAACTACAGCTCTAGATTCTCTATATAGCATTTGGATGCCATGAGAAGCGCAAGTGTATCGTTCACTAAAGGAACTGATCTCTATGAGAACGATGCTCTTCAGTTGAGGAAGACTGAGGGGGATAAAATTCTATACGGATAGTATACAGATAACAGGTGGTGTGTTAAAAGTCGTACTACTAGTATACAGCCATCGCCGAGTGAAGACCGGCTTCATCTTCCCGAGCCCGCCGTCTGTTCCGTTCCGTCTCCGTCCCGTCTTTATTCCCGCCCACGACTCAACCCCAGATCAGAGCATACACACCTTAGATCCACCTTTCAGGCAACCTCTACATTCAGATTCGGCAATGGCCGAGCCTTATCTGCGAGCCATCTGCGTCTCGCCGTTGGCTCTAGCAACAGACTATTGGCACATGCGTTTCTACTCGTGCATCCTTTCCAGTCAGTTGCACAGCAATCGTGAGCCTCAGATCATGTCGACTGAGTCACTGGAGCGCCGTCTCCAGATGGACTGCGACGCTGCCTTATCACGAAGTCCCAGAAAGGCAACGAATGACAGGGGCAGAGAAGCCGCACGCGCCCAGGGGGTCCGGCTGTCCCTCTTGCATGCTGCTACTAGCGAGAAAAGTATTGGCCGGGGCAAGGCAACACTGTCTCGGAGGCGACATGTACCTCTCTTCCTTGATGTTTTTTTCTTCTTCTTTCTCCTCTTCCACCCTTTCCTTCTTTCTGCCGCAGGCTGGCAGGCCGAGATCCTACTTTCGCTTCTGAGCGGATATCCATTCTTTGATCCCGCAGGACCGTCTTGTCCGGGGCTGGCACCCAAAGACGCCACTATTTTGCCTTCGTTTTCGCTCTTTAACTTTGTCCAACGCCCGATATTGCTGGCTGATGCCCAGAGTTTCTGACCTCGTCTGAACTCTATTCCTTCCTTTCGCTCCCCCCTCTTGCTAAGCTATATATGTATTCCTCTTGTGCGGATCCGTCTTGTTTATAACACCTCTGCTTGTCTGCTGTGTGCTTCAACAGTGGACAATGCAAGCAAAACGCCTCCTGGCCGCTCTCCTGGCCGCGTCAGTCGCCCAGGCGGCTCCCATCGAATTCGACGACAGCAAGATCTTTGTCGTTTCGCAGAAGCCGGCTCTGGCATCATCGCCGTATAAGCCCCAGGCCAAGAGCGCAACACTGCTCGCCAATGTCACGGATCCCGACCTCAGCCGCGATTCGTGCGGCTCGGTGAAGATGGGAAACCGGACGCTCTGGACCTGTCGAGACACGTCTATCCGCATCCCCGACACGGACCAGTACGGCTTCGTCTTTGCCAACTCGGCCGGCTGGACGGACTATCATCAGGACGGAGCGCCCAACATCCAGGAGAGCGGGCCGGTGGGAGCAGGATCGGACGGCACCAATAGCATCCTCCTGATGCAGGGCCCGCGGCCGACTCTCCCTGCCTTCTACCCCTTGGGTCCCAACATGTGCCCAAACTCGGGGATGTGTGCCGACGGGGCGACCAGATGGACTTCCTGGCCAGACTCACCACCAATGGTCGCAGACACGGCTCAGGATGGGACCGTCACAGCCTATACCTGGGTGTCCAACAACCACATGTCCAGCACCACACTGGAGGTACTGATACCTCAGCCTTCCACCACCCTCTACAAGATGACTTACACGCCCGACGCCAACCCGGACGTGCTTCCGGCTGTCACGACGGTGGATGTGGACTTTTGGGCAGAGCACGAGATCCAGTACGGAACCTATGGCAACGTCGTCAAGGGGGAGTACGCCTATCTCTACGGACTGATGAAGCCAGGAGGCGTCGCTCTGGCACGGGTTCCCGTCGACAGCATCGAGGACAAGAGCAAGTACGAGTACTACGTGCTGGGCAACTGGACGCGGACCAAGCCGACCATCGACAACGCAGCCGCCGCGGCGGTTCCCAACGCCGGGACGACAGGCCAGGGCACCTTTTACTACTCGGAACGGGCCCAGTCGTACGTCTGGATCGGCCAGGCCAGCCCCAGCGTTTGGGCCGACTTTTATGTGACGACGGCCCCCAGCGCCGAGGGGCCCTGGACGACACCATACCTGCTCTACTCGGGGCCCAACGGCGACGGGGACCTGCCGTCGTACAGCCTGCAGGCGCATCCTGACCTGCTGCGCGAGTATGACGACGGCATCTATCTGACGTGGACGCAGTACTTCAAGCCCAGCACGTACACTGCATATGTCACCCCGCTCGTGTACGTTTCGTTTGTCTAGGGAGGGAGCGTCTTGGTACATGTACTGACAGGGTGGAGGTTTGGTGGACACATGCGGGTTGATGATAGTATGTTTGGAGAGCCATTGAAGTGATACCCACGTTGTTTGTTTTCTTCTTTGAATGCGAGTGAGCGAGACGTGCATCAATGCCTTACATGGACATGGATATGGATAGGCATCTACCACGTATGTATGTATGTAGTCTTGGGGGTAGATGCATGTACGTGCATATATACATGTAGTTACAGATAGACCGGGGTCAGGAGCAGGAGGGGCATTTTAGAGATAGTACATACAACGGAAGTTACGTGACTGGAGTTTTGAATGTATGTATGTAGTATGTCCATCAATTTTGTTTTGTTTTATGCCTGTGGAGTCTGGGGTTGAGGGGAGAAAGGGGGGAAGATGCCTGCAGCTGCTAGACAGCGTCTTGTAACAGCCATTGAATGAAGACGCCCCTATCGTGACCCTCACAACCTTCCGACAGAGCCCTGCTCCCGCTCTAATAAAGCAACCTTCAATGCATCGCCTCAACGCTATTCGCATGGATCAGGGCTCGTCACCCTCTCCAGGTGCCCTGAGCGGTGAGCTGCAGCCGCCTCGGATCAAGGAGCCCACATGTGACACGTGTGAGCCTGTCGACGTGTGTCCGAGATCAGATGCTGTCGTGAGAACCCAATTCCCCTCACCTGGGGCCGCGGCTCATGCATACGTGCCTTACTCGTTTTCAATCTCACTCACTTTGCTGCCGTCCACGAATGTTGAACCGATATACTTCGAGCATGTAATTGAAGCATTGGAATCACCCACTTCCCCAGCCCTTTCAATTGCCTTATCAGATGTATCCATCACCGTCCCTCCCCATCAAGTGCCGCTAGCCCTAGAGAGCACGCCTCGTCCCCCCCCTAGCCGTGCAGCAACCACCAATCACAGGACCGCTCTGCCCGTTATAGCGCACTTATAGCGTCCTGTAGCGCCCTGTAGCGCTCGCTTCCCTCCCTAAAGCCGCATTCGGGGCCCCGTCTAGCCGGACCAGCTGGCCGTTGCTCCACACCGTCTTGTGAAAGCCTCTGCCTTCTGAATACCGTCATCAGGCTCCGAGCCTAACAAAGAGCTTTTTTTTTTTTTTCAACTCTTCTTGCTCTCCTCTGTTGAATCTTTCCCTCCTCCCTCCGTGATATCCTCTCTCTCTCTCCCCACAGGCTTTTGTTACAGAGAGCCTCTCCCTCCTCGTCATGGCGACCGACGGCAACCAGCAGGTGATGGACGTGGTAAATGCTCCTCCTCTCGCCTCATTTTTCTCTTTTTCGGCGGCGAACAGCAGCCATCTCATCCCCATATCCAGCCGCGGCTAACTCAGTCGTCCCTCTAGCTGTCTACCATCTCGGGCCACTTCCGGCGCGTCACGGACAACGCCGCCGACTTCATCGACAAGGGCGTCGACAAGGCCTCCGAGGCCGTCCGCGAGCGCCTGGCCACCGTCGACTGGCTGCCCGACATCGTCAAGCCGCTGCCCCCGCCCAAGCCCGAGGTCATCGTCGTGCCGCTGTCGACGCTCGAGAAGCTGCAGGGCTGGGTCGCGCGCAACAAGTACCTCATCGGCGCCGCCGTCGTCATCACCGGCACCGTCGCCTACAAGGGCTACCAGCAGAACAAGTACGTGCGCAAGGTCCGGCGGGCCAAGCGCAGCAAGAATGGCGGCCGCTCCGAGGTCATTGTCATTGCCGGCTCGCCCCGGCTGCCGCTGACCAAGACGCTGGCGCTTGATATGGAGAGGCGCGGCTTCATCGTCTTCATCGTGTGCAATGCGGTCGAGGACGAGGCCGCCGTAAAGTCCCTGTCCCGCGCAGACATTCTGCCCCTCACCATTGATACCACAAACGTGAGTCTCTCTATCAGCAGTGCTCTCTCTCTCATATCAGTCATAGGCCCCATGAGCTAACCGATGTCCCAAACCTCAAACCAGCCTCCCAATGCCGGACTGGCCATCGAGCGCTTCGCCCACTTCCTCACATCTCCCCGAGCTCCCGGCCCCAACATCAAGCCCAACCAGCTGACGCTCAAATCCGTCTTCCTCATCCCCAGCCTCCACTACCAGACGTCTCCCATCGCCACCATCCCGCCATCAGCCTTCGCCGACCTCTTCAACACCCACCTGCTGCAGCCCATCCTCACCATCCAGAGCTTCCTCCCGCTGCTCACGTCAAGGCTCAACCCCGTCGGCGAGAAATGGGTCCCTCCCAAGGTCCTCGTCTTCACCCCGTCCATCATCTCCTCCATCAACCCGCCCTTCCACGCCCCCGAGGCCACCGTCTGCTCCGCCCTGTCGGCCTTCACCGAGGTCCTGACGGCCGAGCTGCGCCCGCTCGATATCCCCGTCACCCACATGCAGCTCGGCACCTTTGACTTCTCCGGCTTCGTGCCGATCCGCACCGGCTCGCCGACCCAGGGCCTGGTCACCAACGCCGGAAACCCCGAGGACACGCTCGTCTGGCCCGACGGCGCCCGGCACGTCTACGGACGCAACTTTGTCGCCCAGACGGCGTCGGCCATCTCCGGGGCCCGCATCCGCGGCCTCAAGGGCAGCTCCCTCCGCCACCTCCACGCCACCGTCTTCGACGTCATTGACGGTTCCATCAAGGCCGACACGGTCCGCATCGGCCTCGGCGCCAGCATCTACGGCTTCGTCGGCCGCTGGGCCCCGCGGAGCCTCGTCTCGTGGATGATGGGCATCCGCAAGGTCGACGAGCTGTCCACCTGGAAGACGAGCTCGTACGAGGGCTCCGAGGACGGCAGCGACGACGGCGAGGAGGGCGGCGAGGGGTCCATCTCCGAGAGCAAGGAGTTTATCGCCGTCCAGTCCGACGACAACGTCTGGGGCTCGGGCGAGACGGCCAAGTGGGAGCAGCCTCCTGCCGACGCCCCCGCTCCTTGAGGGGGTGTTACATTGAAAAGGAAAAGACAAGAAAGAAAAAAAATAATGAAACAACTGCAAAAAGAACAAGCATGAGAACCCCTCCCATTTACTCTCTTTGACACTGATGACACAAAGCAGCCCCTTGCCGGAACAGCATGGCACATGAGCTGGAAACCCATGGGTACAACTAACCTAGTATATATAAGTATATGCTGGAGGCCCGTATTTAACGATTTGGATGTTTTATGTATTGCATGGAAAGGAAACCCGCTCTGATCTCAAATCATCAAACGGTACATAGATACGCTCACGACTTCTCGAATTTACGCCATTCACTCATTCATTAACTCGTTGATTTGAACTTTCAGTTTTCTTCAGTTGTAATGCCGTCTTTTTTTTCTCAGACCGTGTGCATATGCAGAGTATCTATAATAACGCCCATGTGTGTGGTTGTTTCCTTGACCCCAAAAGCCTCCATTCCAACAGGGTATCATGAAAGGTCTCCAAGAACTGTGAACATTGTGACAGCCGTGAGCCCTGCCCACCATTCGTTTTTTGGTAGATTCCCATCCTGCCTCTTGTATATCCCATTCCATCTCTTCCACCATCTTCATCATCCCCATCAGTGTCCCCTCCCCCTAAACCTTCCCCGTCCTCCACCACCCCTCCATCTCCCTCCTCCGCCCCTCCCATGCCGCCCATGCCCCCTCTCCTCCCGCCCATCCCTATCCCCCCTCCCATCCCTAAACCGATCCCCATCATCATCCCTCCCAAACTGCTGCTGCTGCTGCTCCCGCTGCTGCTGCTGCATCTCCAACTTGAGCTCCTCCTCGCTCTTCTCCGCGCTCTTCGCCACCGGCTTCTCCAGATCCTTGGACCACTTCGGATGCGCGCCGACCCTGCACTCGGGCCCGTCGGGACAGAAGCCCGCGAGGTAAAACGGGCACAGCTTCCGCCGGACGTGCTTCTTGGCGCACACCGGCCCCAGCGGGCAGAAGCCCATGTCGTAGTGCGGGCACGGCGGCAGCTTGCTCAGCGGGTCCACGTGCAGGTACAGGCACTCCTCGCCGTTGGAGCAGTACCCGTTGCGCATGAAGAAGTTGCACTCGGGCATCTTGCGCAGGTTGTACTCGTGCAGGAACTCGCAGTGCTCGCCCTTCTTGCACAGCCCGCGCAGCCAGTGCTTGCACACGAGCGAGTTGAGCCCCCCCGTCGGCTGCTGCTGCTGGTGGTGCCCCCCGTGCTCGCCTCCGCGCGACCGCCCTCCTCCCCCGCCGTCCGACGCCAGGACGTGCCGCTCCGAGCAGCGCGTCCCGTTGGGGCAGCTGCCCGCCTGGAAGGCCTTGCATATCGGGCGGTCCGGCGGCAGGCCCACCTGGTACGTCTGCCGGAGGAAGGGCGAGAAGCGGAAAGTGTAGGGCTGCGCGGCGTGGTTGAGGATGGCGTCGACGGGTTTTGGGTGCGCTGTCGTGGCCATTGTGAAAAGGGTTGTTCTTGTGGAATGGGCAGAAACGCCCCGGGTTCGTGGTTGTTTGGTTTGACGATTTGCTGTCTTCTGGTGCTGGATTGGCAAAGTGTACGGCGGTTGCGCGAGAAGTGGGGTCTACTCGTAGGTTCGTGAAGTCGTGACGGCGTAGGTGAGGGTGCTGTCGCGGAGCAATGGTAGAGAGCGCAGTGGGATGGAAAGGTGAAAAGGTGAAGCTTGGATGGGCAAAGTTGAGTTGAGGATGGTCGTCCGTTTCTTGTGCTTGGCAATCAACCCAGCTTCAGCCACTAGTGGCGTTTATGTCAGCCACACCTCCAGCCTTCGCGGCATCACTCGTACGCATCTCTTGCCGTCTACATCGTCTGCAAGGCACTGACATTGCATGAAACAGCGTTTTGTTTGACATTGAAGGTAAGAACAAGATTTATTACAATGTATTCTGGTTAATAGATGTCCCAGCATCAAACTCAACCATAGACGGTGTTGGCCTCGTAGGGCTCCTCGGGAAACAACCATCCTTGGCACTATTCCCGAACCCGAGACGAAGCAGCTATGCGAAATGAAGCCGGTAAACTAAGCGGCATTGCAGATGCCAAGGGTATTATAAAGCTGTATAAGCATCAAGGCATGCCTTGCGAACAAGACAAGGCAAACGAGAATGAGTGATCGAGAGAAGAAAGGAGAAACAAAGAAACACCACCCGAACAAAATACGCGAACAGACAAACAATCAGACGCAGACTCGGCAAGCTTTTTGAGACCAGCAATAAGCCCTGATACGCAATCTCTAATGAAGAACCCAGAAACAACTCCGCATGAAGAGAAAGGAAAAGCAGAATAATCCATGCACCCAGCTGCCCAAGTGTCAGGCAAGCGTTCAAGCCTGGTCCAGGTTGTGATTCCTTCCCAAGTAGAAAAGTTCCGTAGTCATAGTAAAAACACCGTAAAGGGATGGAACAAGGCCGTTCAGTACAGAGCGTCGGCAAAGTCGCCTTCTCTCTTTTGAGCATAGCACACGCAGCAGTTGACGTAGCGGTGGATCGAGGCGTCCTCGAGACTCTCTCGTGCCGCTTCCAACATGGCCACTCGCTGTTCCGGAGACAGATTCAAGGCCGCCAGGGGCTTCGCTGCCATGGCGCCGAGGGAGTCGTTGATGGTCGTCTTCATGAAAACACCGAGGGCCCGCAGCGTCTTGTCCCGCGGCCACGTCGATATCGGGACCTTCTTCGTGATGCAGTGGACATTGGTGAAGCCAGTCTCCCGAAGGATCTGTTCGATGTCGGTAATGGCAAGGATATTGATGCCGTAGACTCGCAGGCCGTCCTTCACCGTATCAAGGAACACTCGGAGGGGATCGTCGTCTTTCATGGTGCCATCGTCGCATCGGATCTCCGTCATGAGTTCGTGGAACTCGACCCAGCCGCCGTTCTTGACGTGTCTATCCGCCAATATCAGCCACCGTCCCTCATAGTCGATGCGTGTTCCACATCGTGAGCAGCGAGTACAAACGGGTATATCTTGGTCAGAAGGCCCTTGAGGTCTCGCAAAACATCCGTCATCTGCCGGAAGTGAACCAGGTCGAACTCGGAGCCGTGGAGCCATTCGGGCTCTTCGCTGTCTTCGATGAACATGCGGACGTTGATGGGTACCCATGATGGCTGGATCGGTGACAGATCGGTGCCGATGACGCTTGCGCTCGGATGCTGGTCAGCAACTACCAGGAGGACACCAGTCAGTCATGTGCGCAAAATACGAGTCGATGCGCCGCCGGTAAGCATGGAAACGAGGGTGAAGAGCGTTGCAGTACCATCAATGGGCCAGATTCCTGTTCGGTCGACTGATTAGCAAGATAGGCGAATGGAGATGCGCGTCAGCCCGGCAAGTAACTCACCAATTCCGGTGCCGATATCGATAATCTTCTGGGGATGGCCGCCAATGTTGGAATAGAATAAATGTCCGCCCTAGTACTCAGACATGTGAGCACTTCATTACCCAGTCGTTCCGACACGGCCGAAGGAATCGGCGACAGATGCCGGCGCAGCAAGGGGATGGAAGAAAGAAAATCCCCGCTTCCTCCGGACATACCATCAGCTGGAGAAACAGCGCGTGGACGGTTTCCTCTCGGTGCCGCTCAACCTCGTCGTTGGGCATGGGATAGATGCCTCTGCGGAAGCCGTGATAGCGTCGGCCGTACGCAATCTCATCCTCGTAGACGCTTGGCGGCACTGACGTGGACGGCCCTGACGACACCTCCCAGCCGCTCTCGAAGTCGCTGCTGGCATCGTTGACGCCCGCAAAGTTGGCCTCTGCTTCGGCCTCGTCGTCGGCGTGGTCCAGCTCGAGCTCGGTCCGCGTGGTGACGCTCGTGGCATCCGTCACCGACGCGGTTGACACCAGCGAAAACGTGGTGTCATCGTCGTCATACATGGTGCCCTAGAATCCCTAGATGCGTGTGGGTAAGAAGTTGGGTTGGACTTGAATCCAGACGGAGCCATGACCCTTTGTTTGGCTTAAGAGACAAGACGGTTAAGACCGAGTGGAACCTACAAGCTCCACCGTTGAAGATTAGTCCCTTTCCCTGTTCCCTGCCAGAAGACTAGCAGGCATGGCCGGTCCGTCCAGATGAGGGGTCCCCTAATTACCTACTGGACTAGCCGCCTGGCTCGTCTCTTTTGTCTTCCACCAGGAGCTTCTTTGGCATCCAACTGCCGAGGAGGAAGAGGCCCGGTGACAGTGACAGCTTGGCAGTTCGGTCGGGTAATACAGGTGGGTGGACGAGGTCGAGGTGCTCCTTTGTCTTCGCGGCGCTAATGGGCCGAGCAGGATCGAGAGGCTTGGGCCAATGGTTGGTGTCGGATCAAATCGCAATCGCCTCGGTTCGCACGTATCGAGTTGTGTGTACCTCATAAGGAGCACGGGGTAGTACTACTGGGTAGATACCTGATAAGTACACTCGTGTGTCGAAGATCAAAGTAGAGAGCCTGCTTGTTGGTTTCATCAGCCTTGCTTTTCTTCTTCAGAGCACATTTCCAGGTCGACTATGTTCGACATTCCACAGCGTTGGGGAGGCTCTCTATCCCCCCCCGACAAACTCTCTCGCAGACAGTTCGTGCACGCGTCTACCGTCCTTGCGCATAACCAACAAGCAACGGTTGGATGAGCCAGGCCCGTGGCACTGGGCTGATAAACAGAGGGTTGTATTTTGCCCTGTAGGCGCGCAGACGGTCAAGCGCCTTACACATATGTAGCAGGCTCGCTTACCAGGTCTGTTGTCGTGGCCACAGCTTGTACTCCTACGAACTCTGTACTCGCTCCGGAGTAATACCTGGTGTGTGAGCATGGATGTAGCCATAGGACACGGCACAGTAGTGCCTTGGACACATACAAGTAGCTGAGGCATTTTCCCAGCTGTCTTTGCCCGAAAAAAGAAGATAAGATGAAAGCTGATCCAGCTCTGTCCTCAGCAGCATGTTGTTGCGATCAGCTCAACGGCCTTTCCGACGAGATAGGCGTAACACTGCTTAGTGGTAAGAGCAATACCGGGGTAACGCTCAAGTACAAAGGCGGTAACTGTGATATTTGCGATACAACAACCACTGATGCCTCCCAGCCCCGGGGGCGTTGAGGGAGGTCTGGAAGCACCCCGGCAGCATCCGAGATCCTCCCCGAGCGGCACGCAACATACTACATATCGCTAGTGAAGCAGTAGATATGCAGCTGCGGAGGATGCGCAAGCGGGGAAAGAGTTGAAGAATCTCGAGGAGTGGCATCACGGTCGGGGAATATTCGAGCCGTGCTATGTTTGGCTCGTCCCGTCCCTCATTTTCCCTCCTATGACAGACTGCAAAAACGGAGTTGATGCAAGGCCACCATCGGCAGACATGCGATCCCCTTGGCCTATCAGGGAGGGCTGCGTCTCTGGTCCGAGCGGGCGGGCTGTGATTCGCAGTGTGCCCGTACCCTGTCGGTTTCATTTCATGAGTGCTGTTGGGCCAAGAATGAGCCGCGGTGGAGGATAACTCCGTAGCATATCTTGGGCACAGTAGACTCTAGCAGCCCACGTGAATGCCTCGTGATCACCTTTTGGGCCTGGACAATCATCTCAAGGGCGTTAACACTCGCTATCGGGTACCAAGAGAGAATATGCTTACCAACTGGGTGAGGCGTGATTCTACCCCATTCATCTTTCATCTTCCATGGATCTCTTGGGCAGCCAAGCATCGATCCGGCGGACAGGGCATGCCTGGACCGGTATCTGCCATTGCTGGCATACGACTCCAAGACTCCTGGTGCGCCTCTTCTTTTGCTCACGTGAACGGAGCACTCGTAGCAGATCAAAACGTGGCAGTCACAAACGGTATCCAGTCAAGACGCAGAGACGCCTGCAACAGATGTTTCGGTGCCCACCAAACAGCAAGGATTCTGACCTCTGTTCCCCGCCTTGCCTTGCCCTCGGAGACTTGTCCATGACTGCTCCATACTTTCGAGTTTACCTACTCAGGTCAACGGTACGGACAACTGGGGCTTTTCAGCCGGCGCGGCAGTTTGTGCAGCGTCTTGTGCACTATCCTGTATTGCTCGTGCAGCGGCTAACGTCGTAAACTGGAGCAAGACATGAGACCGATGTGAGCTGAGCAACCGGGTAGCCGCGACGGATACAACATCAAGGGGTTGGACGATGCTCGGTACACACAGAGACCCGTCTCGCCGAAGCTTGGAGCGTTCTAGCGATACCATTGGCTTCTAGAATATGCGTCCATGGTGGCCCTGAGATGGGCGGAAAGCTGTCCAGAGGCCAATGGTTGCGGTCTCAAAGTCGGTGAAGTGCTCCTGGTCATCCTGAAGGTCGTCATGTGCCTCCCCAGGGCTCAAGCTTGTATATGGGGCTCGGCTCAGCCAACGGTCAGGCATGAACAGCGCGACTCAGCTTGGGGTCACGGCTCGGTGTAGCCAAGCGCAGCTGCCATAGAAGCGATTACTGGTAGTTACGACTTCTTCTAGGCATGCAATCTATGCACATCGTACGAGAAGCATGATGGACAGGCGAGTTTCTGCACTCGGTAAGCACAAGAATGAGCACGGTCTGCCATCAACGATGAACGCTCTACGTTACCTATTCGTTCATTGGTCAACCTGAGGGGGAGGAGACGGAACAGCACATAGGTAGTCGCAGAGGGGGTAAAAAATTCCCTCGATGGAGAAACGACCATTCTCTTCTTTGTCATTATTCTCCATACAGAACAGCATAAAGGGTTCGTCGCTTAGGTCCTCAGCCAGCCCACACGAGGAAATTGCCTGGAGATTTACAATCTCCTTCCGGCCGGCCTGGTACGTATCGTGGCAGCACTCAAGCGAAGGGAGAGACAAGAAGAAGAGCAGCACCTCAGTGAGGAGAAGTGGAAGACAGCCTTGGGAGACGAGAACACCAGAGAGAGGCTCTGAAGTTGGAAGCAAGAAAGGCGGAGAGGAGGAAGGAATGGTTGATGCCTAAGGGTGCCGTTTCCACAGCCTTGCGCCGCAGGGCAGGTTGACTCACCCTGCACTTGCCAATCAACCACAGCCTCAGCTCTGACCTCTTCTCTATTCTCTCTCTTTCTCTGCCTTGTTCACTTCGCTCTCGCACAGATGCGCTGTTCCATGACAGACCGAAGCCCAACCCGGCCCAACCAAGCCGTACAACAAGGGCATCCGACGAACTACGGGCTGTGCCGTATCGTGTCGTGTCGTGTCGTGTCGGCTCGGCTCCATGCCGTCATTTTCCTAGCCTCCAGACTTCATCTTGCGGTCGACTTCTTACCTGTCTCACAGTGAGCATTTCACCACCCCCATCGCTTGCCAGCCAGTGCCGTTGAGCAGAACATCCTTTCCCGTACGATTCGACAAGTCAAGCCCCGGTCCGTCCTTTCCCTTTGCAATCTGGCCGGCGGTGATGGAGATGATGGCGTCGATGGAGCGACGGAGCGACTCCACGGTCATTTCGGTCTCGCCGCCTCAGCACCCTCGTCTCACCGTTGACGCATGGCCATGAGGCGAGTCTGACGTGATTCGAGATGATATGCTGCGTGTGCTTCGGTCAAGGAAGTCGGTCAAGGACGTCTCACACCTCTTGGAGCGTTGGCCGGCCTTATCACAACCGGGTCCCATCGGAGAGCCATCGTCGAGGCGTCGGGCTAATATCGCGTTAGCTTGTCTCAATCACGGCTGCCGACCCGAACAGACAAGCCAAAATGATAGGGCGAAGCAGGAAAAAAACGAAGCTGGCGGTCAAGAAAGCAAACACGGGTCATGCCTGCCATCCATGGGACGGGCTGTAGCCACGGCGCTTAGGAGGTTTCTGTGAAGTCACGAATCCGATCCAAGACGACGACAAACATGGGTGGAAGCAGCCTATTTTTAGGACCCAGAGTCCGTGCGGCTGAAGTGAGAAGGGATTCCAGAGAAGACGAAGAATGACAAGGACAGGAATGAGATAGCCCGGACAAGGCAATATTGCAAAACTTCGAGAAAGGAATTGGCCACGGCCGCCGCCGTTGCTGGCGAAAAAAGAACGGTAGCGGGATCTGGATTAGGACGGGCCTTTTGGGACAAATGTCCACCTCACCAGTCTAGCTATCCAGCGTCCATCGTGTCTAGCCCTCCCAACGGGTCGCCATCACACCCCCCTCCACTGGAGTCAGATCGCCGACGGCCCAGTCAATTACGAGCACGAGATGCTCTCAACTGAGCATGGGTGAACAACGAGGAGAAGCATAGCTCTATCTAGCATATACGTGCGAAAGAAGGGAACCACGTTCGCCAGGGATCCATCCCATACAACGTTGGAGCAGACTGGACGACTGGGTCCGCCAGAGGTGGCTCATCAAGACGGCCAGCAGGTACCGGCTCCATCCAACACTCTGTTCGGATCTAGCCATCCCACGCATGCTGTCACTGCCTCTGTTTCTATACATGCCATTCTCCTCTTCGCACGCAAGTCAGCAGTTGGGCTCCCCGCAATTATGTCATGCATCGTGGATGGCCTCGTCTCTTCCTGGCCTCTGACCACTCCGAGGCCTTTCTTCGGACCCTCATCTCTTTTTTACCTGTGCGTAATTTGCATTCTTCCTGGCGTCCCATATCTGCGTTCTCAGTGCCCAAGACACCTCGAAGTCCCGGTCCCCACTGCGACTTGCTACTCGACTGTTGCCCGTCCCACTGTCTGGACCGCTGGTCTTTCGCTCGGCCTAGGGTTTTGACTCCCTCTTGCTCTATCGGTGTATGCTCGTATGGGTGAGCGCTCCGTACGACGCCGCGTGTGAATGGTGTTTGGCAAGCCATGCCCCCAAGAAACACACGACGCGCCGGCAACGAGCCCCAGCAAGGCCGCCCACCCCTTGATGCCTAACCCTGAGTTGCTGTCTTTGGTCGTTTGGTCTTCCGGAGCTAGCCCGCCCCGAGTGGTACATCTCCTCCGGCAGGGTCTTTGAGGTTGGATCTTCACAATGTTGCCGATTTACTACAAAACTATCCCATGCTGCTGCCTCTCTTGCCTCTTCCCCCCCCTCTCGAAAGACTCCGAGAGCCATCTCTTGGCGCTTCTCTATATGCTTCAAAAGACCCGGCTCCCAATTGATGACCCCGTTCACGGCCACGGCTATTCCTGAACGACGCCGTCCCTGTCCCGCGACATCGCCGTTCTCCTCCGGCTTCCTCTGGCCGTAAACCGACACAGCAACATGAGCGGCGTCTCACGCAAGTCACGGATGGCCACCAGTGTGGCCAGAGTCATGTACACCAATGCAGTCTATTTCCCTAGCAGCAGGATATACCAAGGTGATTCGCCGGGCATGCTCAATTACAGCTGCATCAACCACGTGTATTATGCTTACGCCAGCGTGACCGCGGACGGCAATGTGTTTGTGAGTCTCTGATGAAAGAGCCCGGAAGCCACCATTGCCAAAGTGGCTTCTCCCCGAGCTCTTGTTCGGGACATGTTTGAGAAGATTTCACCTGCATGATGTTGCTCGGCTGGCTGACTTTTTGTGACGTGTGGCCCAGCTTGGCGATGAGTGGGCCGATGCAAGAGCGCCAGTGGACGGCGTTCAGGGTGGCTTGGGATCCTTGATGCATCTCAAGCAGAGGCACCCTCACCTGCAGGTTGTCTTATCCATTGGCGGCAGCACGGCGTCCGAGGTCTTTCCCATTGTTGCGTCGAACACCCTGCTCAGGGACAACTTTGCCCGATCTGCCCTCGGCCTTGTTGAGGCTTCCGGGCTTGATGGCATCGACAGTGAGTACAAAGCTCTCTCACACACAATTTCAGATACCCATTTCGCACGCTCACACTCGATCACCCTTCCTCAATCACTTACTGTTGCTCTCACTCTCATATCCAAGTCCACAACTGACCGTACGCTGGCCGGATGACTAGTTGCGTGGGAGTTCCCGTCCGAGGCCAAGCATGGCCAGGATTTCCTGGCCCTGCTGGCAGCGGTCCGGATTCACCTGCCCGATGACCGCTATATCTTGACAGCCGTGCTACCTGCCGCCAAGGAGGTCCTCCAGCTTATCGACCTGGCGACGGCAGCCGAGTACCTCGACTACATCAACCTTGTGGCGTACGACTTCTTTGGCACATGGACGTCCAAGAGCGGCCATCACGCACAGCTGTACACGATGAACAAGGACGAGCCATCGGCGTCGGCTGGCGTGGCACACCTCATGGCCCAAGGCTTCCCTGCAAAGAGCATCCTGCTCGGCATTCCTACATACGGACGAAGCTTCTTGAAAGCCAACGGGCCGGGACAGGACTTCAACGGCGTCGGCGGCCAAGACGGGACCTTTGAGTACAGCGAACTGCCACGGAAAGGATGCAAAGAGATTGTGGACAGACGCTATATTGCGGCCCAATGCGTCGGTGGCGACGGGGGATTTGTCACGTACGACAACCCCGAGACGGTCAAGGTGAAGGCGGAATTTTGCAAGCAAAAGGGCTTAGGGGTTTGTGGAGCTCATATTCATCCCAAAGTTCGGAAGACGATCAGAGGATTGTTTGCTAACGCTCACTTGTCTGTTCCTCGGCAATACAGGGGCTCTTTTATTGGAACGGACCGGCGGATTCTCGAGATCAATCCAGAAGCCTGATCGCGGCGGGTTTCCGCGCCCTGCACACGTCTTGAGGCGGTGCTCCCACACGATGATTATGACGTCTTTTCTATTTCTTTCGGCCAGTCTGGTTCATATAGATTTTTTAAGGCGCATACGCCTACGGATTTTGCGGTCTTCGCCTTACCGCTACTGTTGACAGGAACCGACGGAAGGGAGGGGGCTGGACTTGTCCAAGCAGCAGCATGACTCGGACGTCTTTGCAGCAAGAGCCCGTCGGCCATCGTCCCGTTCTGCGTTACGGTGACAAATCTTCTTTCTGGGGGCAAGGTTTTCTCTCTCGGTCAGGGCAGAAAGAGAAGAGACGGGGGAAAAAAAGGAAATGGAATCAAAAGCGCAAGTTTCATGAATACGTACGCGGGCTGGGAGCGAGGGAAGCCGATATCTTTCGATGATATCCCTTTATAGACTATACAATAGATGGGGAACAGGCGTTTGATTTTCTTTTGGTCTTTCTTTGGGTGCACTCATCGGGGAGAGGACTAATCACAACGATCTTTCTGTTTTTGTTTCTCCTCTCCGTCTGGACCGTCATTGTCCCTCCCGCGCCACTTGGGGAGCTTCGGTGCAACCAATGCTTCTCTCATCTCGACGCCCTCCGCCACTTGGAGACCACTTGCTGATTGACACGGACTACACGTACGGGTCCATGGCTCTTGGTAGCGTCATTATATCGCAGTCTCACTGGAAAGGCACGTCGAAGCAGCCAAGAGAAGTTTTTTTGTGGCGCCGGGCAGAGGAAAACGTCACTGAGCAGAGCGGTGCGTTTCAAAGCCAAGTCGACACGCCCAACTGGGGTAAGAAGGTCGTCTTGGTCTGCATATGGAAATTGGGACCCCCAAGCATGCAGCTTGTTGCGGTGCAGAAAATCGGGCCCGTGAGCCTTGACTGGTCGGGCGGCTCTCGTCTCGAACGGGCCAACGCAGGATCGGTGACGGTTTGGTTGACAGACACAGAGAGCCGGGACGCACTGGAGCGGAGCGGCTGCGGCCGAGGTCGGGCTTCTTGGGCGACAAAAAGGTTCTCGACTCGAGCGTTGGGACTGACTTGTGGAAACCTTTTGTTAATAAGGTCGGTGCCATTTGCGAGCTCCCATGGTGCTAGAACGCAATCGAACGAAGAGCTTCGACCTGTCTTCGCTCCGTCCCGCTCGTCTGGCGCCGCTATGAGCTGAGGAGAAGCTGCAGGATCTGCTGGCCTTTCGAAGAGCCCCTCTCCCGGACTCTAAGACAAGAGTTTAGCATGAGGAAGCCGTCGTGCTAAGTCGATGCTACTGGTATTAGCCGTTCGCCTGAGCAGTGGCTGTACACGACTTAATGCCGCTGGTGGGCATGGGCATCACGCCAACAACAGCAGCAACAGTCGGACTTGGTGTCCCCATGGCCCTCTTGTTGACCACGATGTCGACCTCGCAGAGATCCAGCTCCATGGCGTCCTGCTCCGCATAAGCCCAATGGCTTTGCAGTAAGGTAGGACAGGTACTAGATTAGCCTCGACGCTAGCAGAAAATGGAGTCCCCAGACAACAAAGACGCGGTGGCCTTTTTTCCTTTCCAATGGGCGACGTTGCTTGTTTATTACGTACGGATACAGACATGACCCCGTGGACTTCGTATAAGCACGTCGAGCAGAAAGAGAGAGAAAAGGCGCCGACCGAAGAGGAGGTTGACAGACCAGCGATGATTTGGCGTCAGCCCTTCTTTTTCCCGAGTTCTGCCCGACCATGGAGAGATAACGGGGCTTCTCTCTCTTGGGCGGACTTGGAGCTGCTGGATTGGTAGTTGTTGGGAGAGAGCAGAGATGAGATGGATGCCTATTCTGGCACTCTGCGTGTTGTCTTTTTTTGCTTGGCATCTGCTGTCAGTCTCTGTGTGTGTGTGCGTCTGTGAGCCTGTGTGTGTCTTTGTTGCATGTGGCTCATCCGTTGTGCGAATATGCGGTATGATGCTTGCATGCATGCGGCTCTCACGTGGCGATAAGATATGGATGGGATGGGGTTGGACAAGCTGCTGCTGCTTGCTTCGACGGGTGCACGTCATCTGCCATGTCGGAACGAAGTTGAAGTGACAAGTGGGCATTTGCTGGCTGTTGTCTCTGTTGCCGGGTGAGAGAAACAGCGGGAGAGCGGTTTGATTGGTACATAAGGTAACCCGGCGTCGGGGGAGCTGGAACAGTTCAGGTTGAGCTCGTCCAGCTGTGCCGCAGCGCCTCATCAGCGTGACTCCTGCTGGGGATCAGCCGACTTGCAGCGAGGACGAGGCGCCACCTACGGGTGCCTTACGGTGCTGAGCTGGACCGGACAGCGGTTGGCATGACCTGACAGGCGAGCTGTGTCTCTGCTGCTGACCTACAGGTAGTTGTACCGTACCCCATACACGCGCTGTACCGGCTCTCGGCGCGAGTCACTGCCGCCCATCAAGGTCCGTTCCACGTACTCCTTACACGCAGCCCTCGGCAGGCACCTGGACGCTTCCGGTAGCCGCGCAGCCTCACTCTCACCCGCACTCCCGCGCTCCATCCCAATCGAACACCAACACACGGGCGGTGGCACAGCACAGCTGACGGACAAGCAAGAAACGAAAGAGAGGGGAAAAAAGGAAAACCCCAACAGGCCCCTTTCCCTGCTGTGCCTTTTGGGATCTCTTTTCTTCTTCTTCTTTTTTCCGGGACGGGATGGGCTTCTTCTTCTCCTCCTCTTGAAGATGCCGTCTCTGTCGTCGCCCTTCCTCTGCGTCACCGTCCAGTCCCACCACCATGTCCGGCCCAGATAGGGACCAGCCTGTCGCGGAGACGTCAGCTTCTCCCGCGGGATACTATCATCACCATCACGGCGGCTCGTCGTCGTCCTTGGCGGCATTGTCGCAGCAGCGGCATTCGAGCCAGAGTTATCGCCAGAATCCACCACATCCGGGTCAGCTTCATCAGAGTCAGAGCCAGAGCCAGGGAGCTCAGTCTTCTCCAGATCAGCAGCAGCATCAACAGCATCATCAGGGTCACGGACTCGGCAGCGGCATCACCAACGCCAACGCCAACGTCGTCGGCAATGACGACAACCCCAACGACGACGATCCTCCAGCTACCACCGCCGCCGCCGCAGACCACGAATCCGACTCCGCCTCTTCCCTCCCGCCCTTCGAGCCCATCTTCACCCTCCTGACAAACACCACCACCAACACCACCGTCCACCCCCGCGTGCACTACCTCTTCAGCGACGACGACGCCTCCGCCGTCTTCACCGCCCCGCACGCCGACCCCCTGCACCGCGCCCTCGTCGTCGACCTCGCTCCGCCCGCCGCGCCCAACGGCAAATGGAGCGTGTCCTGGGCGTCGAGCCTGACGCCCGACTTTGCCGTCACGAGCTCGCAGCTCTCCCTCCAGCAGCACGCCGCTGCCGCTGACAGTGGCAACGATATACCGGGGTCCACGTCCGTCGTGCTGCGCGTCGAGGGCGTGGAGCGCGAGCCCGTGAGCTCGAGACCGAATAGCCTTCCTGCTTCCGGGAGCGGCATCGTCGGGAGGGAGAATATCGAGCAGCTTGTTGACGAGTTTAGGCGGCGGATGGTAGTGCTGAAGAAGGTGGTCGATGAGGGGGAGAGGCGCAAGGAAGCGATGGCGAGGACGAATGAGGGGCTGCATTCTGAACAGGGAGAAGATGCATCAGGTGCACCACCGGCAGAGTCAACGGGGCCGCTGGTTTTGGAAGATGATGGTACTGGCTGAGAGAGGCTCTGACGGGTTGGAAGAAACGGATGGATGACGAGGAGACGAAATCCATGGCTATCCAAAGTCATGGACGCTTGCTCGCCATGATTTCCTTCAAATTCCGTCTGCCTCTGCCTCCCATGTCCATCTCGATCTAGGCCTACCAAACTCTAACCGTCCTCGACCCCCATCTCTCTTCCTTTTGACGCAACCCTCGCCCACGACCAGCACGAACGACAATGACGTAAAAGACGTCATGACAAACCACTGTTATTCTCAGCTCAACTCTACACTCTGGACCTTACCTGTCAAGATGAAAACGATTCGCGAGGCGAGCTACTTGGAAAGCATCGTTTGGCGTTCAGTCGCCGGCATTGGGCTTAGATTTTGGCTTTTGTTCGATTTCTCTATTTTCCAAGGATGTTCGGGAATCTCTCTTTTTGTCTGCTTCTTGTTCTTGACTATTGGGCTCAAGACTTGTTCTCCGCTCCTTAGATTTCTTTCTCATCTGCGATAGTAAATCTTGATAATACTCCTTCTTGAAATCTCACATCGACTCAATTGCATCATCATCAGCATTCAGGTATGAGGCAAGAAGGAGAATAGTTTGATTAAAATTCGATTTAAAGGTATAACTTTCTGCTGAGCGCCTCAAATGCTAAACTCCAAAGATATAATCTTCCCAAACAGAAAAACTTGCAGCCCGACAAGCGTAAACGAACAAGAGACAATCGCAGAGGCATCTAAACAGTCAATCCAATCGGCCATCTCCCAGTCTTCGACGACATAAGAAAATCAAAAATCCAAGGCTCATATCCCCCTCGACAGACGTCGGAATGGTTTCAGCCCTTGTGTGGTGCCCGGATCCAAGGGGCAAAAACAAAAGAAATCGAGGCACATGTCCTTGCCACATGTCGATAGCTACTTTTTATACAATGTCTTTCAATGAAAATGGAGTCGAAAAGTGTGCGGGCGCCTTTTTGTGCTTCTTCTTTCCTTTCCTTCCTTGAGGTCACTTCGTCGTTGGTAGCCCTCTCCTGTTGGATGAACCATCTACTGCCCAAGTGCGACGGGCATGTGAGGTCTTCCGTGTGCTATGCGGCCAATCCTCGCGGCCAAATCGGCGTTAATGGGCATGCGCGTGCTGAGACGAACAGCAGGCACGGCAATTTCTTCCAGCAGAGCTCGCTTGCTGTTGTTGTTGTTGCTGCTGCCTCCTCGGATGACGAAGACGTAGATGAGAACGATGATGACAACAATGGCGATGATGGCAACTGCAAAAGTTGGTTAGCTTGAGGTTCGAGCCGCATTGAAGGGAACCAGGATCCAACATACCAACAATACCGAGGCAAATCCACTTCTTCTTCCGGGTAGCTCTGGCGGTTGTGACAGCCACCGCAATCTCCTCGTTACCCTTATCGAGGTTATCGACAATCTCCTCGCCCTTCTGCTCAATCTGCACAATGGCAGCGTCCTGCTGGACGACCAGGGTATCGAGATCCTGCATCAGCTGGAACAGCTCCGTCATCTGCTGTTCAATCTTGAGCAGCTCCTTGTGACGATCCTGGACGGCGCTCAGTGCCGCGCGAGCACGGCCCTGTCTGTCGCTCTGCATCAGGGCTTGGCTGAAGATCTGGCTGTTACCCGTGCCGTCAACCGCAGCCTGGACCTCTTCTTCCGTAGCTTCGGGCCGAACAATACGGTACTGGCGGCCCATCTGTTGCTTGACAGCGGCCTGGAATTCGGACTCGACGGTCTGGTACTTGGTGATGACGGCCTTGACCTCTCGATCGACTCGGTCCACGTGGCCGCTGTTCATAGCACTTCGGCCTTCGGGTTTGGACTTGACGGCACGCACGCGCTCGGCGAGAGCACGGTAGGTGGCCATGGTCTCGGTGGTCAGGGCGTCCAATTGGCGGTTGGACTGGCTGGAGGAAGAGCTGTCGACATCGCTGAGGACTCGGGACTGAAGGACTTTGATCTGTTCCAGGTTGCTTTCGACTTGGCGGACGCTGTTGCTGATGTCACGGCACTCGTTGCGGATCGCGTTGGGGTCTTCGCGGGCCATGCCGCCGGCGTTTTGCGTCAAGGGAGCCATCTCTACTGCATTGCCTGGTGATTCAAGGTTAGCGTCTAGATTATCTAGATGGTATAAGGCGTATCATCAGACGTACCAGCTTGCGGGTAACCACCACCACGGCCACCAGAGCCGTAGGGGGCGTTGTTGTAGCTGGGAGGAGGGTTGTCATAGCCGCCCTGATCATAGCCACCACCGCCGTAGTTGTCGTCCCGTTGGTCGTACGGGTTTTGCTTCCCGTTGTATCTGATGTGAGACTGTTGTCAGCGACTGGAATGTCGGAGTCGAGGGCATCGCAAGCAAGCCCCAGATCGCGCGTGGCTCATTCAAAAGGTCTGCTACTAACCCGTACTGTTGTGACATTGTTAGCGAGTTATTCGCGGAATCATAGATTGACGCGTAGAGGTGTTATGCGTTTGTGTATGGGAGGATATCATGAGAAGAAGGGGGGAAATTGGGCAGACGGCAGAGCGAAGACAAGCAGTTTTCTTGTCTGGTCGACCGTCTGTGTTGAAACAGCAGCGGTAGGAGAGTCGGGGTGAAATGAAACACTCACACTCATTGTGGGCTCGGCGAAGGAGGATCCCGGGATATCAGAGGCTGGCGAGACGGTGCGGGCTGCAGAAGCTGGTCGAGTGGGAATCGAGGGTATCGACGACGGCTTCTGGCAGTGCGCAGCTCAAGAGGAAAAGGAGAAGAAAAAGGGCACCGGCACAAAAAGCAATACGCTCTTCCGTGAAGCAAACCAAAATGCGGACAGTAAGGTAAAATTGCAGAGGCAGAGGGTTGGAAGCAGGAGGAGAATAAGGTAAAGGTACAAGTGAAATGGCCCAGGAGCAGGAGGCCCAAGCCTGGGTTTCCAGACAGGGGTCGTGAGGAAGGCGAGAAGGGGGCAGCTGCACAATAGCGGAGCCCCGACCAGGAAGGAGCGGCCCTACGAGTTCTTGGGGTCTGGTGGCCGTAGCAGTACCTGCCGGAAGCAGCTCACGGGGGCAAGTCGACGCGACACTGAGGAGACGAGGCGGTACCGGTACAAGACCCTGTGCCTGGCGCCAGGTTTAAAATGAAGACCAAATTGAACTGGAAGGCAACCGCAATAACACTATCGCGAGCGTAATCTTGCACTCGCCGCTAAGACGCAGTGCCGGCCAGGAGATCGACGGCCAAACGAAATTCACAGGCCAGGTTCAGCGCTCGTATAAGTACTCGAATGGACATTTGATAGGCGAGCAGAAGTCCTACCTAGGCAATCCACTGCGAGAAGCCGCATCGAATCCTGGGGCAAGGCTCATTTTCCTTTGTCTCCCTTCTTCATCCTCTCCTCCAGCCGTCAGATGGTCTCGACAACCAGCGGCCGTGATTGGACCAGCAGCTGCAGCTCGGCGCGGGCTAGTGGACGGCCGGCCAGTGGCGTGCATGGAGTTTGCCCTGGCTGAATGACCGGGTGTGGCATCGGGACCCTGCCAGGGTTTTGATGAGTCGCAGAGATTGCACCACAGAATACGGGGGTATCAGCTGGTAGCGCCAGGGGATCACCGCCATGCCTGTTTGGTGTGTGCCTCTTCGCTCGGCTTTTCCTGAGTCGTTGATGAAATTGATGCGCTTTGTTTGAGCTTCGGCTAGACAGACGATCAGACAATCGCCATTCACAAAGATTGAAGCTAGCAAATGGGCTTCGAGATTCTTTGCTAGACACACCGAATTGAAAGAGCTTGGCTTCCAGATCTTCACGCTGACGACGGCAATAGCGCCGCCCATCATGCGCCACTCCGTGCTTCGTAACGGCATGGCCGTCAGCAGTGACACAGGCGTCTTAAAATAGAACCTGCGGGCAGCCTCGATGGTTAGGCGTCCATCGTCGACACTGCCTCCACGTTCAGTGAGGCCCAACGACGGATTCGGATAAATGCAGACGCACGATTCTTCAAGAATATGGATGCAGAGCACTTGCTTTCAGACTGACACAGAATGTTATTTAGAAAATCTAATAATCTGCTTGGGTCCACAACGAGTTTAACCAACAAGTTCCTCGCAGAGAAAAGCGAGTGAGCAGGATTCGAGTAGTGTGCAACCGATGCATCGATTCCAGCCAGCTTTAGCTCGAGCTGTAAGACACTTCCGCAGTAATAGAATAGCGTTGACAAAGCAGCTTCATAAATGGAAATCTATTACTGAACTCCTAGCAGACAAAAAAAAGCATGCGGCCTTGTACTTCAAACCACCTACACTAACCCGATATCCAGGTTCCTGGTTCCATCTCTTGCAAGCACGTTGCCCTCACAACACGGCATATGCGGAAACATAACTGACGCTCGAGTCATAGGGCCATACAACCTCGCTGCTGCGGTCATACTTTACAATTTTGAAGCGGCCCTTGTTCTCATCGCTGAGCTCCTGAGCATAGAGCTCAAGGGCAGCCATGGCAACTCCGATGGGATGCCTCCCACACACCGTATTCCCCGTATGCCGAAGGTTCTCGACAAAGGCGTCATGGCTGCCGCTCTTGACAGCATCCATGGCCGCCTCATCAAGCAGGCGAATAGTCTCGTAAATGGGCGGTCCGGACGGCTTTGGGCTGTTCCTGTACAAAGATGACAGTCTCCCAATGTCCCCGTCTCGACTGTAGACAGCATAACGAAATCGCGTGCCCCAATGGCAAAAGTCCGAGCTGATGATGAAAGCATTTTCTTCATCTTTGAGATATGACAGTAGCAGTCGGCCAAGGTCTTTCTCTTCTCTTCGACTAGTACTTCCGACGATTATCGGAACGATTTTTGGGAACTCATCCGGGGATTTGAAGGTCTGTTGACAGCGTTTGTAGAGATAAGGTAAGTGCATTTCGAGGGAGTGCTCCTCGACATCGTTGTCCCGCGGCGCATCGGCCATTCCTCCTGCCTCTTTGACTCGCTCAATGGTATCTCTATCGACAGTGAAATCGCCGAAAGGGGTAGCATACTTTTCAAATGTTGTGGCGGCACATCCGGACAGGCCGTAGGTGTGAGATGGACCAAGGATGAACACTCGCTTCGCCTTGCTAAGGTCTAGGCAGCTGTAGGCCCAGGCAGCATTGGGCCCGGAGTATTCGTATCCTGCGTGACTTTACCAATCGTTGAGCAAGCAGCTTGGATTCATGGTCTACATGGGATAACTCACGGTGCAATGATGACTCGCGCCCCAGGAATGGGCAACGGAGAGCCGTCGACGGTCTCGGGAACCTTGGCAAGATGCCGGTCGAGATCCTGCATCAGTTCATCTGGTTCGTCTTTATACCACGAGCCTGCCTTTGAAGCCGGCCTGGTACCCATTTTGGTGGTTTGAATTCTGAGGAAGCAAATAAAAGTCACGGATCACGAGTTATTCTAGAAGTTGCCTGATCATGAACTGTTGACACAGTGAGCAGGAAACGCCCAGATTTAAACTGCCGTCGCAGCCCCGCCTTCACATGCGGGGTCGTTTCCAGTAGTGGGCATCATCTTTAAGCAAGAACCTTCATGAAACCTTCTTCGGATAGAGGAGAAGGTACTGCCTAGTAGTAGTAATACTAGTAGTACGTCACAGGCCAGGTACGCTTTCAGCTGATGGAAAGAGTCCGTAAAGCTAAACTCCGGTGGGACATGGAGCAAGTGAAACCCACGCCATATTCATACTGCTGCTGCTCAAGTATTGCAATGCCTTTCAGGGCGGTGGCTATTATACGTTACCCACCTTGACAAGCTCACTTACTACTATCTTTCCACTCTTTGACATCATCAAATTTATCTCAGTCTGCCATATCTAGCGACATTCATATTCGCAAACTCTTCTAAATACAAGATTCATGTGGAAGAACGTCGGGCAAATGTCATGCCTAGGTAGGTATATATTAGATAAGTAGACGCGTAAGGAGGTATATACGATAGGTCGCTAACCAGATATGTCGCTGCCAGCTTGCCCGGCAGGCCATCTCTCCTGGGCGATGCCTCCCCATCCCTATTTGATTAACAGAGTTAGGTATGTTAAGATATCTACCTACTCTTCACCAGTCCATCCAAGCTCCAGGCATCAGCACTTTTTCAGGTTCCAATGAGTCCCAGAATTGACAAGCCATATGCTCAAATTCTGGAGCCCATATCAACTTCCAATCGCTCGGATCTTGACCGACTTCAAGATCAATGATACGAAAGGGTATCCAATACTCTTCGCCAGATCTATCAACGCAAAACATGCCACCTGCCTCGCCCCTTTTGCGGCTCTTCTTGACACCCATATGATACAGCTTCGCCTTCGGGGTGCCCTGAGTCATGGGATGACGCAGCATTGTCCTTGAAGCGTCAATCGCATCAGCATCGAAAGCACCTTTAGTGTTCTTTTGAAGGTCATGAAGGACTGCCCGCTCTCTCTTGCCATACTCGAGTAGGTTTACACCAGCTGACTGGAGCAGGACGAGCCACTTGTGTAAACAGCCGTGAAACAATCCGTCCCAGTGATTGAAGCTGATGTTAGGGCACAGATAGCACAGCGCCCCTCCAATGAGCGACATTAAGGGCGTTCCCTCCCACGCCGTAACCTCGTATGCATCCCATGGCACAACCGTCTCGATGCTGGTGAGGTCGTCAAGGGTGGCTACTGACACCACCTTGGTCACAACATCTCCCCATCTTTCACTGTATGCGTTCAACCAGGGTCGTGGTTTTTGGTAACGCACCAACGTCTCCGGATACCGACAGCCAAGTGCTAAAGCTGCGGAGTGTACCAGAGAGATCTTCTCGCGAGTTGACTGGCTGACATCTGCTTTGGAGAAAGTCCTGTCTTCCGAAAGAAGGCTCCCAAATGTTTTCACGTCCAAGACATTGAATGCCCCTAAGCGGACGGCTTCGAGTCGGTCCCTCAGCATACGCAGGTAATAGTTTGGCATAAACAAGTTCCGGAAATTAGAAACCATCATGTCATCTGGTGAAAACTCCCTTATAAAGTCCAAAAGCCTCTCGGCAGGCAAAGAGTCGGGCTCCTGGAGGTATGACGCAAATAGGTCGGCTATTCTCTTTGGATGTCTCTCGGCAGGCCAGCTTCTCTTTTGGATAATTGTGCTTACCATGTCACCCGCTATAGACTCAGCAGGTGACTCGCTGGTACTCCTGGTCAGTCATACCAAGAATCGTCAAGAAGCGCGAGATATACCTACTATCTGCCTCTACTGTCCAGCAGCGGTTGGAGACCAAGCTTGAGTAAGAGCTGGCATATCTCATATCGTCGATTGGAAGCCGCATACTAGAGAAAGGTGAGCATTTGTAATCCAGTGAGATGAAACTAAAACGAACATGTAAAAGAGATTCTCCTCCTTGACTCTTGTCGAACGGAGACGCTTTTCTACTACTAAACATCTGCCGAACCCCAACCACGTCCCCCATTTTGACTCTTGCAATGATTTCCGAATTATCTGGTATCACGTTGTATACACGATAGGTATATGTCCATCCCGCAATAGCGGGCTCGGAGATCAGCTCGTATACTGAATTCGACAGCCATTTCGGCATCTGGAGCCGTGCTTGCCAGGCACCTGTTGACTTGGTGTGAGCCAGAGCAAACTTTACATATTGCGCGAAACTGAGAGTAAACTCTGTCGTGTGCCTAGATCTTGAGGCGGCATTCTCAAGAGCATAAAGGTACTTCTCGAATTCGGTCTGTTCAGTCTGTTTCTGGGGCATCTTTTCTTCCAGTTGCAGTTGCGGTGATGGAGGTCGTGAAATCAGAGTGTGACGTTGTGGCTGGACTCGGGCTGCCAACGTCTGGGTGTTTGAGCTTAGTTTTCGAAGCATTGCCCTAGTGATCCGAGCTTAGAAGCACATTCCATGTAAACCGATGATCCGAGTATAAGTCGTCTATAGGCTCACATCTGGTACGCTTGTATAGCCAACTGCAGAAAATTCATACACCGCGAAAGACTCTGCTCCAACCTCGCCAAAACAGTCTTATTGAGCAGGATCTTGACGGCCGCATACTTGCGCCTGACGCTCTTCTTGGCCTGCAGCTGCGTCCTCATATCCGCCACCAGCGCGCCCAAGGAGTCGTGCGCCTTCCGCGACAGGTCGAGGCAGTTCTTGAACGGCGTGGAGGCTTCATCTTGGCTGAACTGGTCCTCAATGTCGGCAAAGATGGGCTCGAGGGCTTTGAGGTGGTCCACGAGGTCCCGGATCCCGTCGGGCACCTCCCGGATTTCTTGCCATAGCTGGTGGGTTTGGTATATGAGCGTTGCCACGCGGGGGACGCTTTGGATCACATCGAAATTGGTGCCGGGCATGTCTCCTTTGTCGCTATAAGACCGGCACCGCGGGGAAAGACGAGGTGATACACGTATAGAAGGAATGAAGCAATTACACTAGAAAGAAGCAAACTACAGTTGACGAGGAAGGCCTCCGTGGGGAGAGAAGAGGCTTCCGCTCCTGGAGGATCATCCCCGGCCGCAAAACGGGCACTGCCTCTTCAAAAAGGCAGCAATGCATCATATGCAGAAAGCCCACGGTTTCAGCGAATGTACATGGGGCCCAAAAGGTGGGCAATTGAGTACCGAAGGGGAAATCGTCACGTAGCATTGGTTCAATGAGGACTGATGCTACGCTGTTGGTTCTCCTCCATCAACTTTTGTCAAGTGGTGTAGAGGACAGAGGCAGACTGGGCGGCTCGGCGCATGTCCTATTCGTCCTCTCTTACACGAGCAGGGGTTTGGGCGGCAAAAATGGGTGCGGCTGGATGGGGGTTTTAAGACCAACTGCATTGCTGCAGAATCAGGCTGTGGAGTCTGCGAGTCCTACTTCGATGATAAAGACGATTCGTTTGACTAACATCTTATTTGTATATCATGATGTTCACGAGTTGTGTTTGTGTTCTCAGCTCGCAGAAGCAATGAGCTTTTGACGCCAGAACCCGGGAGGATGGACGCTGTGGAATCTACGTGGCATGTCTCATGTAAGTGGTGTCTCACAGCCGTACATTCCTTTGCAGACACAAGAAAGTCCTCCGAGGGTTACCTTGTAGCACAAGAGTGCCGTCATGACATTCGGGGCTACAGCTTTCCAAGTTGCCTTGTCCGCTTACTGAGCTGTGTCCTTCCGAAGTCATATGAGCGGCGCTGTTCTTCAGGGTTACACGACCTTTGAAGCCCTCACCGGTCAACAGCCTGCAAGGTTCAGATTCCTTCTCTTGATTCATCGAATATTGTTTTTCATTGTCTCGAGTGAGATGCGTGCATTGAGATTGAGGGGGTCATGGAGCTATGGAGTTGCTGTGTAACGCTGCGTGACATGCACCTTGCCAACCACATACGTGAGGCTTCACGACGACCTACCCTGTGATACCGGCTGATGCTCCGGAGTGGCCTGACTTATGGAGCATTTGCTGGCAAAAAGCCATTGCCGACGAGATGATCATTCGGGTACGCGCGCAAAGGGTCTTTCAAGAGATGTACGAGGTACGGTCTTCAAACATTTCAAGCAATGTGAGTGACTGCTTTACGAGCATACGGAGTGCATCAAGGCGAGATGCATGTGTTCGGAATTCGTGTCATCACTGGCGTAAGTATCTCAAGCAGCCGTTTGGATATATGCCCGCATGTTGAAACACGCATATGCACACTGTTGCAGCGGAGTGACATTCGATCTAGATCAGCTCCCCCTATTTCGGAGACCTGATGCGCCTTGGTGGCTGGTTGACGTCGTGGTCTCTTGCCACTCAAAGCGATGATGTCGTGTTCGGGTTGACAGGAGAGCGATGCTCAGCCGAGCCGATGAGGACCGAAGTCCAGCTGCGAACCTGACCGCTAGAGTGCCCTTGACAGGGCCGTTTGCACAGTGTAGGGCGATTTGAAGATTCTTGGTATGCGAGGGGGTCGCATCGCGATGCAGGAACATGGAAGCCATTAACGCTTGCATTTCTCGAAGAGCATCGACCCCTGTTGAATATAGTAGGAGATATCTAGTAGTGTACCGTAAGTCTCTGTTTGAATGTCGCATTCAAGGGTTGTTTCCATAAAACAATACCGTGACTCCATAAAGGAGACGTTGAATGCCCAAGTGCTGCAAACAGTACAATTTCTAATCGCCTTGCCTGCGCGGATATACTGTACACTCCTCCGATTCAGGTGATTGCTTCGTACTTCCGAGTCGCCCTCGAGGGCACTCGAGGTATGACTAAGGTGAGGCTCTGACTGCATTCCTTCGTACTATATAATATGACACAAACTGCCGGCCTATATTAGCAAGCGGTAGCTCGAGGAATACATAATAGCGCTGGACTCTATCGAGAACCTTGTTGGCCCTGTTGAATCTTATTCTCGCCCAAGTGGCAAAGCTTCTGTTCTCTGCGGGCGATTCTTCTACCTCTTTCGCCCCTCCTGTCATCATTACCTCAGCAGCCTTGGTACCTGATTCTCTCACGTGTTGCCGTCATTACCGTATCCTCTCCTCTGCATGCCGATGCCCGCCGGCCTCGAAAACAATACAAACACGCCTCGCAGGCCCAGCTCTTGAGCACTGATGCTATTGTCAATGCATTCAGTGCTCTGAAGCGCGGAAACTTGCAGTCCCAGCGCCACTGACGGCGGCCTTCTAGCCTCAATCTCCATTGAATTACAGTGGTCTGACGCTGCGACCCCACCTGCGACCAACAACATTTCGTCTCCCAACTTCTATTAACGAGGCGCATTCTCTTCCACACAATACACGTCTGATCCCAGGCGAAAAAATTCGAAGGCGATTGCAAAACTTTGCTCGCTCTTCGACGTCCCTCGAGAGACATCGTCGGTCTCTCATTTGACTTCTATTCTCCCGGACCAGATCGAGTGCCGTCTCCTCCTGCAGCTTCCGGACACGGCGCGCCAGCTCCGGCGCCTCATTGCTCATCACAATGGCAAACTCCTCCTCCCGGTGGGCGTGGTCCAAGAGCACCCGCATCAAGGTCATGATCGCTATCGACACGGCCTTCTTCCTGCTCGAGCTGATTTGCGGATTTCTGGCGCATTCCCTGGCGCTGACGGCCGACGCCTTTCATATGGTACGATGCGCGATACTCCCTCCTTTTGCTGTGGCGATATGGCCTTCGGAGGGCAAGGGGGAAACGTGCTAACTCTCTGTAGCTGAATGATATCATCTCGCTGGCAATCGGACTTTGGGCGGTCATTGCCTCACAAAAAGCTACGACCGACGAGTTTACCTTTGGCGTAAGTAGACGTCCTCGCGCAAACCGGACACGGCCGAATTGTAACTGACTTTCCCTTTCTCGCAGTGGGTTCGAGCCGAGATCCTCGGTGCCTTCTTCAATGCCGTCTTCTTGATCGCGCTTTGCGTCTCCATCATTCTCGAAGCCCTGACTCGCTTCGTCGAGCCGCCCGAAATCAACAACCCGAAACTCATCCTGATCGTGGGCTGCGCCGGCCTCTTCTCCAACCTCCTCGGCTTTGTCGTCTTGGGAGGCCACGGACACGACCATGGGCACGATCATGACCACGATCACGACGGCGAAGAGGGGCACGCACACGGAAACGGACAAGACCACGGTCATTCGCATTCTCACGCCCATGGCCAGCGCGACGGTGCTACAAGCATCGCTGATGAAAACGGGCCCGTTGGCGACGTGCTCCCTGAGGTGATTGTCCAGAGAGCCAACATGACAGGCCGCCGAGCTAGCACGGAGAGTCCCGAGACTGCTAGGCGCATCCACTTCGGCGACGAATCCACGAGCCGGGATGAGTCGAACACCAGAGCAAGCCGAACCTCTGCCCATTCCAGGGGCCGAGATCACCAGCGCCAATCCACCAAAGGTCACTCCCGCTTCTCCAGCATCGAGGACATGAGCATCCACCCGGCCAGCTTTCGACAGGAGATTCTCGCTGTTAGTAGGGCTGCATCACACAATGTCTGTGCAAGCGGTTCTGGCGACGAATCTCCCAGTTCTGACACGGAGACTGATCATCCGAATGAAACGTCACCACTCCTCCAGGACGCAAAGGGATCCCGCCGTTCCTACTCCCGTAGATCGACTTCGAAGAATTCGAGAAGCCGGCGTGATTCTAGCGTCCACATCCACAATGACCACCATCACACTCTTCCCGTCAAGCCGGGCTCGAAAGTCAGTGGACACAACCATGCCGACATGGGTATGCACGCCATGCTGCTTCATGTGATTGGTGATGCTCTGGGAAATGTCGGCGTCATCGTTACGGCGCTCATAATATGGCTCACCGAATGGCCTGGCAGATTCTACGCTGATCCGGCAGTTTCCCTGGTTATCACTGCCATCATTCTCAAGACGTCCATCCCTCTGACCCTTGCTACCTCTCGCGTCTTGTTACAAGCCACCCCCGAGAACATTAGCATTTCTCACATTCGTCAAGACATCGAGAGGCTTCCCGGCGTCGTCAGCTGCCACCACATCCACGTCTGGCAGCTGTCTGATACCAAGATCATTGCTAGTATGCATCTCCAGGTGTCATTCTCGTTCGACAAGTACAGCGGGGAGAAGTACATGCAGCTGGCTAAGAGAGCGCGGAGATGCCTGCATGCCTATGGCATCCACAGCGCCACCATCCAGCCCGAGTTCTGTCTTGATAACAAGCACCAGCACAATGGCGACGCGGCTGCCCTCTCACTCGACGGAGCGTCTGATGAACAGACTCGCGCTTGCCTCCTGGAGTGCGTCGATGACTGCCAGGCAGAGGGATGCTGTATCGTTGAGACGTCCTCAGCGTGCTCAAGCCGACGGGACAGCGCATCCTCCCACGAGGAACATCAACACGAGCATTGAGTTTGATCGCCTTCTCGGGCTTGTCCACGCGTTTATGCACGTGTTGGATACTTGCTAAGAGTTGGACCCGAGCCAACTCCCAGCTTGTACAGCTTTTGCCACATTTTCAGCCTTCGCTTAGGGAGCTTGTGACCTCTTTCACATGGTTCTCCCCCTTGATCTTATCCTTTATTTTAATGGTCTTTGTGTGGCTCCGTGGGTTTTGACCGCGGGCTGGCGTTATCCGTGATTTGGGTGATGGCGGGACATCAAAACTCTCATTAGATCTGCGACTCTGCTATGTATCATAATTCTTTTCCTTTCCTTCTTTGACGGGTTGGCAGGCTATCATCTAGAGGAGGGTGTCTTTGAGGGGGTTGTCAACGGCTTTCTTGACCAACGACGGGTTACCGGTAACTGGAAAGAGAGAAAGAGCGCACGATCTTTTGATGAAAAGCGTTCCGTTCAATAAACTGTTTTCAATACCATAGATTAGCAACCTTGGCACTTGAGCAGAGAAAGTCAAGATCGAAGTCTTTGTGTGAACTGGTGTGTATTCTTATCATTACCGCTTGATCTATTCGACGTAATTTCAAGGCAAGCCTGGTTTGCTCTTTTGGCTGTTCTTTACCTCTGAATATATTTGCCTTGTTGCTCAGCTCACCTCTACAAAGCAATCATTCATGATCGAGACGGCGTAGTAGATTCGTCTTCTATATGGTGACGCTTAATGATATGTCTCCTCTCAAATGCATCAGCACATCTTTTACATGTACATCACATCTACCTAGGTGAAGCATATCCTGGTCTTACTCGTTCAACAGAATCCCACGCTCCTTACAGTCCCCCGAGCCATCCGACATCTACGCCATGCTCACCAAGACAAATATGCCCATACAAAGAAATCATCTACTTCGCAATTCCCTGAGAAATAAGCATCCAACATCTATATTTAGTTTCGCAAATACCGAATCTTCCTTTCGGTTGTTTCTTGAAACGAAAGAAAGCTTCAAGCACGCTTCCATCTGTCTACCTGGGGGTTGGGGGGGGGGCTCGCTCGCGTGTTTAGCATGAAGCGTAGGCGAGCAAAGACCTGAGACGACCCATTGAATTTGGCGAGCAAGCCCCCTTCTCCCTTATATACGATACTGGGAGCAGTAGTATGTATCTATTGTCTGGGGGGTTCATAGCGGGCATGGGGAGTTGGCATGATGGATGACTAGGATGCCTACTGACAGGTAGAGTTGCGTCTTAAAATAGAAGAGCTCGAGTGTAGCTTTGGCGAATCAACCTCGCTATTATGTGTGACCCGTCCTGAGCACGGAGCATATATGCATATACATACCTCCATACTCAGACTGATAACAGGCATCAATACCAACACAGCCATGACATGTACGTCTATACATCTATCTATGCTTTACAGAGGAAAACAATGATTCGACTCCATTCTACCCGTGTCGACAACCGTTGTTCCCAAGGGAGGAATCAAAACATACTACGATCTTCCCGCCTTCACCCCTTTACTTCCACGCCACCTGAGGTGCCAGACGGCACCCCCGGGAGAAAAACCCCATAGGCAAGAAACCACGATGTCGTCAGTCGTCAGTTGAACAACGAGGGAGACGGGGGAAAGACACGCCTTGACCGGGGGACACTTGGTACGTAGCCATCGCCTTGGATGGAACCCAGGTCCCCTAGGGAGGCTATCCATGGTGACAACATGGGGGGCCAGATCAAAAACATGTGGCTGCGATTGTTTCTTGGCATTTGGTATAACGGTGAAGACGGGGCAACCGGCTGCGTGCAAAACTGATACATATTCTCCGCTTCCTTACCGAGCGTTTACAAGGTACTCGTACTGCTAGGTGGTGGCAGCAGTGTCAACTCGGACAGTACAGGTGTCAAGGGAGAAACAAGCACCCACGGCTGTCTACGTATCAGAGCATATGCCAGTCAGGGCTTCAGGGAGCCGTGGGACGACGTGCAGCTGCACACGCCATTCCACGAGACGGAAAGGAAAAGGATCCCGAACTCCAGGTTGGGCCAGGCAGAAGCGAGATTGGCTTTCCGCGACCAGAAAGGAAACAAGACGCCATCGGGAGGGAAAAGGGATCCTCGTCCCATATCAAGGTGTGTACGAGTGGTTGATGCTTCGTCGTTACTCGCAGTACAGCAAGGTGTATTGCCACTGCTACAAGCAGTGCATCTGTGATTGTGTCAGTAGTGTCCCCGGGAATTGCCTCCTCGATATGGCCGGGCCACGACCTCCGTGCATGTCGTAAGGTGCCCTTTTCTGGACGGAAAGGGTCCCGTGTCTTTGTTGGACCGGGGGTTGGTCGAGATGAGGTGCTACAGCAATGGGGCGTGCAGCGATTTCCAAGGGTCTCCTTCGTATGACTTGGAATCGGAGGGATGAACATGAAGAACGGCAAGGCACGAGATATGTAGCAGCAATTGTTCAGCTTTATGCGTGGTTCGACTCAGCACCTGTCCTGGACGTCTTTCTCCCTTCAGTTTGTACATATCATGGTGATGGTTGAGAGGGCAAGGGTTGCCGAGGCGGGTACGAAGGGAGTAGGTAGCAGGGTAAGTGTCATGGGTCACGGAATTGCGCATTGTACTTCCCAGCTGCTTGCACACGCACGTTGCAGCGTCCGGCATGAAGTGAGTGGTGCTTCGAACGAAAACAGGCACAGTACCAGCTGGACAACAAGCAAAGCGGTCATTCGTGCCCATTGCGTCCGCAATCGAGATTTCCAACGGCAAGGGGCATACTCAGGAGAGGATTGCAGGCACGGAGAAACGGGGCGTGTCGTGTCGTCAATCGCAGTCGGAGCAGCTGCTCAAAGCGGGAACAGGCGAGCTGGGAGACGAGCTCTTTTGATTGCACAGCACTTTGATACGCCCGTGCCAGTTCCCTGCTTATTAGCCGCAGATGCGGGCAGAAGCGAAGGGGGCCGTATGTACTCGTACGAGTACGCAGCAGGCCGTATGAAGTACTCGTGCCAATATGCGGGCGGGACACAAGCTGGCTGGCACCGTAGCTCGTACAACGGAGTCGTCGGTGGCAGTCGACGCATCCAGCGCTGCAGGCGTGGTTACAATAGTGGTGTCTGTCCGTTGTAGGTCAGTAAGGAGGCGGCTTGGAGCCCATCACGAGCGACGGAACTGCTTGGTCATCCCTGGACCTCGACCGAATGCACCAGACAGCCCTGAACTTCATCTCGCCCGTCTGCTGCCAGCTGCGTGCGAGTACCAGGTACTCCGTATTCGAAATGAACACGGGGTGTGGAGAAGCAACTGAGGTCCCAGCAGCTTGGCCGGGGTGGTATGTCATAGTGCCAGAATAGGAAACACGCATCATTGCAGGATTGCTTGACCAACTGGTGGTACAATGCTCAGGTTTGCTGCTCTCTTTGCACACATTTCGCCGTTTGTACTTGGTAGTCTCTGGCATGTTCGAACACGGTGAGCTTTGTTGTGCAAAGAAGACTGGCTGGATTCGGATCCGAGGATCGAAATCGCTTCAGGTGCCGCCTCTGTTAATAAAGGTGAGGTATTTGGCCACAGCTCGTAGAGTAATCGAACTCGACTTCTCCCCGAGAATCTGCGACGGGTTGACGCCAACAGGCCACACTACGGAGTAGTCCCCCCCTGTATCTGACGGCAATATTGGTCGAGCCAGACGCTTCGGTGGAGTGCTTCCAGCTGGCGACTTCGCAGTCGGCCTCAGATCGGATCTGGGATCGCACGAAGGTGGTAGCAAGGCAGAACACGCAATGTATGCGGTAGCCGGTTTGGGAAGCTCGAAAAAAGTCGGTATAGAGGCAATATTGCACATCGCGATGCAGCCATCTTCCCACATAACTGTGCAGCAGCTACCTGTATACTCCGTATCCGCTTCAATATGAAGCTGTCCTCTGCACCACATGCCAAGTCAAACATGATACTCTCTGCTCGAAGCTGATTGATGGCGCAGTCTGTTATCAAGTTGCCTGCTTCTTTCAGTCATGTTTCGAGACCCCGCAGGCTTGCCAGACCTCAGCTGAAGTCTAGCCTCATCTGACTGGTGGCGTCGTGGCTAATTCATGCAGCATCGTCCAAGGTACAAGTGTGTTTCTCTATGCTGCTGCTTTATCGTCGATAAGGGCTCTCATAGGCCGGCCCAGATGACGCCGAGCCTGTGCATGCCTGAGAAATGGCAAATGCAACATTGCCTCAAGATCCTAGGGCATGGGATCGAATAGAGCGACCGGGCTGAGCGATTGGCCCGTCGAGCAACGAGTTGGTAGCGAGGCATTGCACCATCTTTATATGCCACCATGCAGAGCTTCGGAGGGAGCATTAGCAGAGGCAGCAAGACAAAGACCCAGGCTGGAAGCACGGGTTGATGTTTCGTTGCGAGGGCAGATCCCACCCTCAATGGCAGGGTCAGCAGGGCTCCGGAGTCCCAGTTCTGGCAGTATCTGAGACGACGGCGTTGCGCCTGGTCTGCGAGAGGCTGTAGACAGAGCAAACAGATGCCATTGATACGGCTTGAAGCAAAACAAATGCCTGAACAGCTTCAATCGCCTGTGGTTGTAAGGTCGAAGTTCTGCCAGCCCTGGATTTTGCAGCGTAACTCGTTTTTTTCTTCCATGTTCGACTCGGCAGGCTGTGGGTACCGCCTGCTTTGGTTGGACAATGGCTCCAGCACGGCAGGCACGGAGCACCACTTCTGGACTCCGTCAGGACTCGGACGCACCTGTACTTTGAAGTCCAATGCGCGAAGCGCCTTCCTTGGCTCTGCCAATCCCACTCGACTTTTGCTAATCTGAAGGTACTTTGGACCACAACTTCCACTAGCAGCAATGTAGTATCGTACTCGTACTTCAGAATCGTACCTCGTACTAACCTCCATGCTGTTCTCGATTCTGCTCCCCTCACATGCCTCGCCGATTTTTTTCTTTCTTCGGCTCCTCCTTTCTCCATTCAGCTTGCCTGGACCGAGACTTGGGCCACGATTTGCCAATTGGCCGAGCCAGACGGAGCTTAGCATAGGCCCAACGGTTTGTCATCGAGCGGCTGGGCTTGTGCAATTGGCTGGCGTCGGATGGATTCTGCCGTGCTTCGGGATCTTGATGTTCGGTGATGTTGCCAAGATGTGTCTACAGGCCCATGGAATGAAGGGCCTCGGTATCAGAAAGCCCTTTTACTTCGAGTTCAACCATCATCATTAGGACGGGTGCTAACAAGTGGTGGATTCAGATGCTCTATGGCGTCTGTCTTTGAGTAGACGTCATTTCGACTGACTAGCCCAGCTTGCTCAACCGTTCTGGGCCGCTGACAGCCATGCTGCTCATTTGCGGTCAAGAGGAAGCATGAGTGGTCTGGGCAACATCGCCGAAACGCAAGGATGCTCGTACAGTAGCATCGCAGTGGCTGATTGTTCACAAGTGCGAGTTCACTTGTTTGTACAGGCTGTAATGTACAAGTACGAGCATGTACTCGTACGTACGACGCAGCGCTGGACATGTTGACGTGACAAGGAGCAGGCTTCAACCTCTTAGACTCAGCTTGGGAACAGGATTTGCCCTTCCCGAAACCCCACGCGCCTTGACGCTACGATATTGGAACGCCTAAATACGTCCAATAGCCGCCGTCTATGCCGTGGCGATTTCGCGTTCATGTTCTTCTCTGCAGTTAGGGGCCATCCCTGCGTGTGCCAGTTCGTACCAATATCGATGCTTTGTACCGGGAAATTGTGACGTTGGAACGAATTACTGTACTACTCCTGGCAGGTCTTTGCTGCCTTCTCTTCGCTCCATCTTGTCCGTAAGCCAGAGCCGGAACATCATACTGGCTTGACTCAATGGGTGTCGGACTAGAAGTACTAATTGCATTGGAAACCTTGGGGAATCGCTAACCTTGGGCTCGTTGATGAGGCGACCAAGGTGGGACCGCTACGGGATACAACTGTCGTATGTTGAGACGCCTATTTTATATCACAACTGCAGATACGGTGTGACGTTTGGCGTGCTGCGTTCACTCTACCGCCAGAATCCTATGGCATTTTTCACGCCCGATGCAATCGACTGCAGCCAAAGCTCAAGGTGTCATCTCACGCTGTTCCAGCTTACCCAAGAACTTGTGCGTCGAACAAGTGACGAGTAATCAGCACCATCTCCAACGACTACCTTTCCGATGCAGGGCCGCCCGTTGGCCAAGACTCGCAGGACGCCGAGCCCCACGCAACTAAAGCCTTGATCCGAGATTCCAATCCAATAGGGCCCCCTGGCGTACCACGTCTTTGCATGCGATTCCCCAGTCGGTGCATCCGTGGAGGGGCAGACGCGACGCAGTAGCACATGGCCGCGCCCCGAATCAGCTGTCAGCTCATTGGCAGACGTGTAGGGAAAAGAGCAAGGAAAGCCCAGCATGCTACCAAAGTGCGGGATACATGTGCAAGTAGTACTAGGTGCATATCGCTGCCAGAGCCAACAAGACCTGTGCGCGCCAGCGAGGCACCCGCAACAAGCCGGCTCCATTCGGACACCGTGACCTCAGCCCGACGTACATTTGGAGGGGCGTTACTGCGAACCACAGCAGGCACTCCGTGATTGGAACAGTCAAGACTGGTAGTATGAGGGGAGGCAGCGACTGGCTTTGGCCGATATATGGAGTACCCGCGATATGTTACCTACGCGTATTCCAGAGAATGGACGAATGGACGGGAGTTTTATTTGGAGAGCCAGAGACGGCGCACCAAGTGATACGGAGCAGACAGTACCGACGGAATGCCGGAATACCGGCCACCGCCGGACTTGAGCGTGGCTGACGGCAGCCGGCGCCCCGGCTATTTAGTCGGAGTTGCAGGCGTACGGGCATCCCGGAGGCCGGAGGCGTTTTTGTTTCTGGGGGATTGGGTCTTAAGGTCTGGGCTTCGCGCGCGTCCTTGCATTGTCGCGTTGCTGGCCATTGCGAAGTCGTGTTCTGTTGCGGCGGCTATAATCCTCTTTCCCTCACGTATGTACCTATTATGCATGGCCAAGATAATTGCCGGCTTGTCGAGGGCGACATGCTACGGTATTCCGGGCCTAGTCGTCCCCTCCCAGGTGTTGCCAGGTATGTGCCACTTCGCACTTGTACTAATAGTACGAGTAGCAGATAGATACCGCATGGGATGTGCGCGTCTCCTGCAAAGTAGCACGCACCGCTAACTGCTCGGTAGGACCGCCGTCATCTTGCCACCGAGTCGGGCGGCTGCTACGTGAGACCATCGCCTACGGTGAAGCCATCGCCGATAGTGGGCGGAAGCCTATGTTGCGACGGCATCGTGCCTCATCATCAGCACGGCCAGTAGCCGAAAGACAAGTCAGTCGACACAGCTTAGGCATACGCCGAGTCCACATCGCGCCCAGCTGCTTGTACTGTACTCGTACAACGGTGAAGCCCACTCTGCACATGCATCCGCTTCTCGACCTGATTTTCAGCGACCCTGTCATCTTGGTACATGTACATGTAAGCTGCTGGCGGTGAAAGCTGCATGTTGCTACTCGGCGACAGGGTAAAGATTGTCACGACACATTGGCATTTGGAAGAAAATTCTATTGGGCTCTGGTTTCTTTTTCTGTTCCACCGTGGGAACCGCTCTTGCAGAGTGGAAACCGTGTTCTCCAATCGGTAGAACCTTTTCATTCAATGCTTTCCTCCGCTGGATACGGCCCCATTATGGATGCTTCGGGAAGACTTTTCTTCTCCGCTGTTAGCAAACTACGGAGGTAACTCTTTCTTCGCCAGCGGTGCTTATATGCGTGACGCCGTTATCTTGATCTGCGTCAAGACAATGCAAAGGTCTCTGCACATGTGCAACAAGAATCCTCCACTGCTACTACCTGGTAGGTTGACGGGCTTGCGGTCTAACGATACTGGAGCGATTCTGCATTTACCCAAGAGCTGTTGGACGCCACGGTATCCTTCTGCATGCCAACTTTGCCGCTACGGATTCTGTACTGTGCATCCGCCGGTGCACGCCCTGACAATATACATACTCGGACCCTACCTGTAAGAGTTAGATCTGACTACTACTACTTCAGAAGCGCGGCTACGGAGACGCGTCTGCGACGTGCCTCTTTTACCCTTGTTCTCACTATCTTGACGTGCTCCGTACATGACGCTTCGTTGGGGTCCGATCTAATGGCGCGAACCATGGGGTACATCGTGCCAGAACTGACCACCTACTACTAGTATTCTACATGCCGGCACTATCACGGATACCTTGGGTACTTGTCGTATGGGGAACAACTGCTGTCGGCGGTAGTGGTAGGAATTAGAGGCTTGCCATTGAGGAAAGATTTGACAGGTCCCCGAGCATATCTGCGCACGTATCGAGTTCCGGAGCACGGGTAGCTTTCGGCAAGACACCGTTCGTCGATACGCGCCTCATTGTTAGCTGCCCCCAGAGGCTAACGTTTCTGATACCACGGCGGAATCAGGCTGGTAAAGTCCAGTCCAGCCAATGCTTGGTGCATCCATTGGGATGCGATTGGGTCATCTGCTCTGTTGTATCGAGGTACGAGCAAGAGACAAAGGCAAGTGGGTACTACGGGCTCTACAACTTCTTATTGATACAAGCCCACACGACATCAACGAGCTTCGGTAAAGGAGCACAAGGGTTCAAAAGAGAGAAAGAAAAATGAAGTGGTGAAAAAGCCTCCCCCACCGCATCATAAGCCGACGCCCCAGAGCTCCGAACGAAGAGACGAGAAGCGGAGAAGGTTCTTTTCCTCTTTGGGAGAGCTCTTCAGCCTCGTTTCGTCTTTCCGCTTGACCATGCCGTATGTGGAAGGCTTCTAGAAGGGCGGACCCGCCTTGGGGAAGCTTTCACGCCGAACCATGTAAAATGCCAAATGCTTTTGTGACGTTTTAGTGCACATGCTTGTGCTATGAATAGCACCCAATTCGAGCATTAGTGCTTGCATTGGCTTGAGCACATGTGATTCACTGCAACTTCAATTGCGTTTGCTGGAGAAAACCAACGATGCGAAAGTGAACAAGAAGAGAAGAGACTTGAAGAAGAGAATCGAAGAAGAGCTCCGCCAAGACAGCGCCAATTGGTAAAAAGAAAGGAAGAGAAAAAAAACTTTTTCTTTTCGCACTTGTATGGATGTTCGGAATGCTCGTCCGAGTATATGTCAGTATGGTCCCATCCCGTCACCCAACGTTCAACCCAAAACCCCGAAAGAAAAAGAAGAGACAAATAGAAAAGGAAAATTTTTGCATTCTCCAGACAACCCCCAAGTGCCGCGATATCCACCACTTTTTTGCTTGGTCGTTTTGTCGTTTTTTTCTCTTCTTCTCTTTTTTTCTTTCCCGACTCCTCTTTTTACCTTTTTTGCAATCGTTACTGCAAGGCATGAATAGCGCGAAATGCTTTGGCTCTTTGCATTAGACATACCTACCGTAGAGTGAGGAGTCCGCTGGGTCCCATTTTGGTATAGACGCACGCCCCTCGAACTGGGGGGTCCGGGGGCCTCGTTTACTGTTCGCTTCAGCAGAATAGTGATGGCTTCACAATGTTAGGCGAAGAAGAGCAGCAAGTCCTCATCATCATTGGAATTTTTCCAAGGGATTCCCAATGCCGACCGAGAGAGAAGGAAGTCTTGACTATGATGACTCACCCCTCACATTGAACGGGGTTTCAATTTCATTTTCCGGCTTTCAGTTGAATGCAGACGATGTGTCTCCCTACCTACGAAATACGGAATACAGAGTGTATCTGTAGGAGGCTGGGCGCATATGCAATGTGTGTAACAAGATGCGTAAAGGGGCTTTATTTTTGCTCCCTTTTGTACGGAAAGTGCTTCGTTGGGTTTGGGTGTGATCCCATACTGTAGGTGGCATCGGAGACTTCACGGAACGGCGCTCTCTGTTTGTAGGTGGTCCAACCTCTTCTCTACAAAAAGGGAGCCTGATAACAGAAGCCGTGAAGCAGTCTTTCTGCTGCCATATAGAGCCAAGGCACTGGATTCAACATCGCCCAGCTTGAAGTAGTACATACTTTGTACAGGCAGGCACCAGGCGTCGCACCATGCCCGATCCATCCCACAAGAACAAACACACGTCACGGAAACCGACAGCTACCCTATCAAGAAAGAAAGAAAGAAAGGGGAAAAAAAAAGATATCACAAATCTCAAGGTTGCGCAACCGAGCCTCTCCTCCCCTTGCTTGTGACTGTCACTGTGAAATTCCGTGTCTTGTTCGATGCACGTTATGCGAAGGAGGCATGATTTCCCGCTGAAACGTCCAGGGCCCTGTTGGGACGCAAGGCTATAATACTATCCCTCCCGAGGGCTCGGCACAGCCTCGTTTTATTATTCACTTCTCCCTTGTTTCGGGGAGGCGGGTGTGATCCGGATTTCTTCAGGGAGAGGAGACGGACGGTTGCAGATTATACCGAGAAGAAGTGTGTTAGGCTGCGACAGAAACTCACATTCTGGGAAGGATACTGTAGTCTGTAGACTGAGGAGCATTCAAGTAGTACCACCGCTGAACGATATTCCCCCACGCTAATACTAACAGTGGAGTTGTCGACTTTGATGCTGTCACCGTGATGATGGGCTTGGAGAGTGTTTTGGCCAGCAAACTCTGCAGCCAAGGGAAGATTGATTGCAAGAAATGACTGAAATAATATGATTGATGCGCGAAAAAGGGATATCAAACCACGAGTCGTGCTTTTTCCAGCAGCGTCAAACACATGATCGACCACCCAGCCCGCCGTAATTGCCACCGCAACCGAAGACAGGAATAATACAAAGACGGCCACATTATCTCTAGTCTCCATTTCCAAACCCTTTGAGCGGCATTGTTGAGACGTAGATCTGAGTCTGCAATTATTTTAGTCTCAAATAGAAGGGTTTTCCTTTTCCTTTTCGTTCCTTGCTGAGGCGCGTTACGTAGGCGGTACTGTAGAAGATTGGCACCTCGGCATGTTGCATGGCCGCTTCTCGCAAGGTGCGACAATCTTCAATATCGCCTAAAGTGCCGCCGTTGTTACGCGGGCGCAGGGAGAGAGAGAGAGAGAAAACCCGGCCAACGCTAATAATAGGCTCGGAATCTTTGATTGAGATCTGAGCCAAAAAAGATTGAGGAGGAGGGGCATAGTCTTTGGGGTGCAAGAAACTAACACGAGCGGGTTGCTTGTCGAAACAAGTCTGTTCTGCTGGCTCCGGGGACGAAAGACTCCGATGCACGCCGCTCTTGGCTTGCTTAAAGCAGGTAGAACTGCGAATCAAGCCCGGTTGGCTGGATGAGGCACACCAGCCCAATGCTAATGCTGATGACTATCGAATGGCGTTTTTTTCCCGCCATGTATGAAATGCGAAGGATCAGCCTTGGGGCCGGGTTCATGGATCCTTGTAGTGCAAGCGCTGGTTTCCGACTACATTAGTAGGCAGAGGCGGTTTGCCCTGATGCGGACGCATATCGCATTGTCGTCCCCGTCAGTGATGTCGTTGTATACGAAGGAATACGGATCGTCGGTCACGGGCAATCAATCTCGGACCACAGGCACCCGGGCTTGCTTCATCAGACCGCAAAAAGTCAAAGTGGCACCCGCCAGCGTGGACGACGACGATCGCCTGAGGAACCGAGACCGAAGTTTCGAGTTCCTCCAGTATTATTCTGTATCGATTATCGAGCGTCAAAAGAGCAACCTCCTGAACGATCGCCTGCACCCAAAAGGGGGAGCGCCTAAGATGTAATGACGGATATGTATGGACACGCACAACACACAACACCATCTGACGATGCAAAGGACATCCCCATTCCCGAGTGGCGAGAGAGAGAAAGAGAGAGAGATGTTATGCTGCCCATTGTGTAGACACTGCGTGTCAGCCTGCCTTGAGACGGCCCGTGATTGGAGAGAAGAAGGCATCCGCCAAGCGCCCCCCCAAAGCAGCAGCCGGGAGATTGCGATTACCGCAACCGCAAAGGCGGATGGCATCATTCATAACGTCAGATTGGGCACGGCTTCCAGCGTGGTTCCTGATGAGGTCCACTGCTTTTGCTTGTTGCTGCTGTTGCGGGTGAGGGGTAAGACGAGAAGGCGACGTTTGGTCCAATCGATGCCATCGGGTCTTTTTTCCCTACGATTATCAGCAGGGGAGCTATGTAATGAGAGTAGGAGTAGGAGTTCGGAGCAGGAATGGGAGTAGCAGGTGGTAGCATTGCGAGCTCAGCCTGAATGGAAAATGGCCGACTGCCCGTTTGTGTGTACGTACGAGCATGTACGGACACACACACACACAACGGAAGTTGAGCCTCCAAACGTGAAGGATTCGGAACCTTCAAGGATGCAAAAG